GCCCAGGCGGGGATCAAAGTGATTTCAAAGTGATTTCTAGCTCTCCTCCGAGAGGCGGATAATGAAAGAGTGCGCAAAGAACCTATGGGTCATTTTCCGAGTCGGAGTAAGGCTTTTTAATACGTGACTAGAGGACTAAGGGGCCGTCCATAAATGGAGATGTTGCATGTGTGAGGAGTTTGCGATTTGACTGTTGATTCTTATGTAAAAGTTCGCGAGAATCACGATAGTGCCACTGGTTTTCTCTGAAATCAACTCCCGAGCTCAAAAAAAGCTCTCAAGTTGAGGCCAAAATGAAGGGGATATCCCACGCTATCCTGAGAGTCCACTTCTACATCAAGATAAACTCTCCATGCAAATATAGGGAGCAAATATATTTACAGGGCTGCCACTTTATTTTGGGACTCTAAAACTGAAAACACGGCAGCCCTGCTAATGTATTTGCTCCCTATCTTTGCATGGAGAGTTCGTCTTGATGTAGAGGTGGACTCTCGGGGTAGGGTGGGATCCACCTCTACATCAAAACAAAATCTCCGTACATATAAAGATAGGGATCAAATACATTAGCAGGGTTGCCACTTTATTTGGGGACTCCAAAACTGAAAACACGGCATCACTGCTAATGTATTTGCTCTCTATCTTTGCATGGAGAGTTTGTCTTGATGTAGAGGTGGACTCTCAGTGGGATATCCCCTCCATTTTGGCCTCAACTTGAGAGCTTTTTTTGAGCTTGGGAGTTGATTGCGAGAAAACCAGTGGCACCGTAGTGTTTTCCGCGAACTTTAACTTAAGAATCGATCGTCAAATCGCAAAGCCCTTGCACATGCAACATCTCCATTCATGGACGGCCCCGGCCCCCCCAGTCCCCTATGTAAAATTAAAACGTTAATATCTTGGTTAGGAGTTGATTTCACTGATTTTCGATGCAAGAATCGTGTTTTGCGTGGAATTTTGGTAAAGAATCGTGTATCAGAGTGATTAAGTCCGTACCTTGTTCAATGGTCCATTAAATGTGAAAAGAAAAAAATAACTTTCCTAACTTTTCTTGGAAAAAATATTTTTTTCGCCGGGTGGAACGAGGCAACGATGACATGCTCACACGGCGTCAAAACATAACATGGACCTTTTAAGCCCCACTATTTGATTCCGCGAGTATTCTAATGCGAGCTCGAATAATCACGCCAAACACAGTGCGGCCGGCGTTAAACGCATATTCGCGCCTGCAAGACCGTGGGAATACTTCTCGCATTGCGCCAAACTGTGCGATCAGCGTGACGCGCATATCAGCGCCTACAAGACTGGATGAATACTTCTCGCATTGCGCCAAACGCAGTGCAGTCGGTCAGTTGGCTATTAGACTGTAGGAATACTTGACGCATTGCGCACACAGCACATTGCGCGTTTTATTCGTTGTAATTTCTCGATGTCAGACCTACCGCCCGCGGTGCGGTGGACACAATATCCAACCAGTGCACAACGCGTCTAGTGATCCTTTGTCGTACCCCATGAAAGAACGTAATTACATTACAATGTTGCCAAATACCCCCTTGCAAATTGTATCTTTACCTGTAGAATTTCTGGATTTCCCATCTGAACTTTTCACTGATTTTTCTTCTCATCTCTTGCGGAAAGCAGAAAAATTTTGGACAAAGCTTGTACAGGTACATTCTTGTACTAAAATTAATTGTTCTGATCAATCTTGCAACCTTGATGTGAAGTTACGTTCCTCCATCCGAGAAACGACGATATGTCTCCCTGCACTCGGAACACAAATGCAAAACTGATGACTTTAACGTGTTCAAAAGTTTCGTGTATAGAGACGAAAAGAACATCGTTGATACTAGTCAGAGTTCAATAATTTTACTTAAATTGTCTTAATTCTACAAAAAGTCATTTGATTCTGCTTGTCGAAAAGCGTCATACGCACTTTTGCAATTTCCATAGATCGTGTTCGATACATCGAACAGGTGAAATTGTATCGATATCGATTGGTTCAACATGAATACGTAGCCTCAAAAGCCGATTGAGTAATCTGAAGGACCAAGTTATTAGTGGTTGATTTTTTATTTTTATGAAAACAAAAAGGCGTTGAAAAGTGAAATTGTTAGGAATTTGTTCATTTTCATCTTCTCCAACTTAAATCCTAAAATTTTTTATTGAGGGTGTGTTCTATTGTTTTGGACCAAACGATACATCGAACCACTATCGAATACGATCTATTGTTACTAGAATAAGAATTTCCTTCCGAACGATTATTTGACTAAATGGTTTACTAAAACGGAATGATTGTTTTTCAGCAGCTCGAGATCTGTACGAATTGCTAATGCAGAAAGAAGCACTAAACGAGCTGGCAGAAAACCACAGAATGGCACGAAAAAGCGCCCGAACGCCCTCGCTTAGGCTCAGATTTGGTCGACGGAGTGATCCCAACATGTCTTCATTCCAAGTGAGTTAGCCAACTTGGTCAAATTTTAAATCGGTAGTTTAGTTGCACTTACCATACGATAAAAGGCTCCTCAATAAGGTCATTGGAGGATCCAGAAATTCAGCAACCATGTTTTTTCCTCATTTAAACACGTGGAAAAGTATCGATTCTGGGAGGGGCCAGGTGCTCCAACAAGAATCGATTCTACAACAAAGGTTTAAATCGAAAAAAGATAGTGTTGCCAAATTGCTAGATCCGCCTCTGGCTTGAATTGAAGCACTGCGCAACATATTTTCTCTTCATAGTTACACAAGAAAACTAATCACTAGTGGCGTGGCGCGTGGCGTGCTTTGCAGTATATCGCTTGATATGTCATTTAAACATATGGAAAAGGATCGATAAACAGGATGTTCGCAACGAATACCTTAATAATCGATACTTTACCATAGCTTCAAATGAGGACATGTCGATAATCGATCAATCACGCCTCGCCACTGCTAATCACGCAACGGAGTCTAGAAATCAACCCCTAAACAAGATATCAATTCTACAGTTCTGCCGTGCTGAGGAAAAACGCCGAATGAACATTCGAGAGTTGCCAAATTTCCTCCGATAAAAGTTGTATTTTTAAAGAGATTTATGAATGTACTTCCTTGAAATTTTCAGGAACTTCAGGTGAAATTGAGAACAAAATAATCTGAAAAATTGGACGAAAAGTGTATAATCATACGTTTTCTCGAAAATTCGTGTTTTATCAAAAGAGATTTGGCAACGCCTGAAGGTTCATACGGCGTTTTTCCTTAGCACGGCAGAGTTGACATTGTGATGAAATTGTGCCGTGAAGAGCCTAGATGATTAATTTGAAGCTTACATCCACCTGACAAAGACTATTTTTAAATTTTACGGATGATTCCTTACAGCTTATAATATACTGAGTAACTAACGGTGAAAGTGAAGGGGTGGGTATCTCGTTTGCGGTGTTGCAAAATCTTCGTTCCCATTTTATTTTATTGGAGCAGAAGGGAAAATGAATGCTATTGCTTTAAATACTCAAAAGCTCACATAGGGAGAAACACAGGGGCATTTTCAAGAGATAGCGTTGAACAGTCTCCCATTCAGACGATAAAACATTAGAGGAAACTTGCAATATCGTAAACCGCGATGCGCGTCTCTTCAGTCTTACCTCTGCAAATTTGGCAACGTTGTTTTTTCCTCATTTAAAAATATGGAAATGTATCGATTCTAGGAGGTGCCGGATATTCCGACAAGAATCGATTATCCAACACGGGTTTAAATCGAAGGAAGGAAGTGTTGCCAAATTGCTGAATCCACCTATGTACCTCTGTTGTTTTTAACAGTATACTTTGGTATACTGTTCCGAAAAATATTTACAAACTAAGCTTTTTATCGCTCTTTTTCAGCAATCGCCGACCTTGCGACTAAGATTTGGGAAGAGGAGTGAAGCTGTCCCCAAGGATCAGGTATAAAACTTAACCGCTTTTCTTTAATTGGTCATCTTTTTTTCAGAGTAAGTGAAATTAATTTGAATAATGTTGGTCAATATAAGCAAATTATTCAAAGTATAGTGGGAAGGATTTCTGCGGTCGAAACGGTGTCAGGCGGGGGGAGAAGAAACCCCCCGAAACAAGGGGATCCGCCACTGAAAAAAAAATCTCGGTGTATTTACTAAGAAAAGGGTAAAATTACCAAGAATTCATGGTTCTATTTGATCTTAGTTTTTTCTTGGTAAAATTACCATTTATGGAATTGGTAATTTTACCAAGAAATCTTGGTAAAATTATTGAACTTTCTCGGTAATTTCACTGGACCTTGGTAAAAACGCCAATATTTTTTATCGACTGTGGTAGAATTACCAAGATAAAATGGCAAAGTTACCGGGAATTGATTACCAATAAAAGTGGTATTCTTACCTGAAAAAAGTAATAAAAATACTGGTTTTTAGGTAAGCTTACCAGTCTATCTTGGTAAAATTACCAATAATTGGTAAAAAAAGTGAGATGGTAAAGGTACCAACAGACCTTGGTAAGAACGCCGAGAATCTTCTTTCAGTATGCGGATTATTTTTCGTCTGATAAAGTCCGTTGATCGCCATCGATCCGAGAATATGCCCCGATTTTCGGTGGAACAGGGAATGATGATGGAATAAAAATATTTTCCCCGAGTAAAAGTAAGAAGTAACGGAAATAAATGATCGATTTTGCTCTTTTTTCAATCGACAAATTTTTTTTTGTTTTATTTTAGGAGCAAAAAGGGGTGGAATTTAGACAATTTCGATCAGTAATTTTTGGCAGTGCGTTGCTCCGTATGATAGAAAAGCGTTTGCTGCCAAAAGATCAAAGAAATAGTAAAATTCCAAACCTATGTTCAAAAGCTATCTTCATGATATTTATAAGTAGAATAAAACATTTATTACATGAAATTTCAAAGAAGAAAGCAATTCAACTGATGCATGAAGAGAATTAATATCCCAGATCTGATTTTCCCCGCCGCGAGGTGGATCGAGGTCATAGGAGAGGTCGGACAAAATTTGGAAAATTTAAAAGCTTTTAACTCCGTTTCTACAAAACATTGACGTTCTAAAAGTGGTTGCGTTGCATTGGTTCCCTCGTAAAATTTTCTCTTAGAAGCACCCCTTAAAATCTAAAATGTGGCGAAATTAACATTAAAATGTACAATTTTAGTCAAAAACTTCATGTCCGACCTCTCTGGTTGACTCGATTCACTGTGCGCCTCATTTTAAAAAAAGAATCGGAGTAAATACTAATTAAATCGTTTACTTTACAAAAGGGCAGATTTAAAAATAAAAACTAAATTCAGAAGACACAAATAACTGGGTTGTGAATCACCGAAGAGAATTTCCTGGAAGAAACTCAATGCCGAGTGGGGGAAAGGGGAGTCAAGTCAGCCCATTTATGAAATTAAGGATTCAACTATCTTGGAACTTCAGAATCAAAAAAGACACAAGTGTGAAACATGAACTATGGGCATTCATTTTTTTCTCTGTACAAGAAATGAGTAATTAGAGTGATAACGGGAGTAACTAGAACTGTTTTGATATAGAATTACTGGAGTGAATACGCCCCCTCATAGGTGCTTCAAAGGCTGAATGCCTTGCTTAAACCATCACGTCAAAACTAAAATCTGAAAGCACCCAACAAAGACTGAGCGGCTGGGGTTTTTTTTTTTTTTTTTTTNAAGACTGAGCGGCTGGGTTTTTTTTTTTTTTTTTTTTTTTTTTTTTTTTTTTTTTTTTGCATCATCCCCATCCCTCCCCCGCCCTAACACCATCTTCGCCACTACCTACATTACGTGGGATTACTCCCGTAATGATGTTGTCTTTTAAAATAAAATTCCCACCCGGTGACAAACTAAGCCCGCCGCGCTGAAAACACGCACACAGAGAACATACACACACACAAATAAAGAACATACGCACACACACACAGAGATTATACGCACACACTCACGGAGCTCCTGAAAGTTTCTCTCAGCATTGGCTCGGTCCCACTCGGCGGTGTCGTGGCGTGCTTTGCGATACATCGAGTAATCTACCATTTAAACCCAAGGAAATGATCGATTAACAGGGCGTTCGCGACGAACACCCAAATAATCGATTCTTTACCATATCTTTAAATGGGGAAATATCGATAATCGACCATTTCGTTGCTTTTTTTCGGGTCGGTAGGCTCGAGGGGTGTGAAGATTAAGCGCGTCCTTCACAAGAGGCCAACGGCCAAGCCGGCAACTTTAATGAATTGCTAATTAGGGGGAAGGGGCTTCATTATGAGCTCCAAGTTTCCTGTCGAGCGTGGTCAGTCTAGGGGGGTGGGATGGGGTGGGGGGGGGGGGGTGGTAGAGTTACTTTGCAAGTGATGAGAAGCTCGGATGACTAATTGCATCGATTTTTCTCGCTGATATAACACGACCGAAAGGTGGATAATGCTGTCACTAGTGAATTTTGGGATGAAGTACTGGACCACTTGACGGATTGAATATTATGGCGCTACGGTAGATAAACTTTAAAACCATAGTTTGGACCGCGTTTAACAGAAAGGAATCAGGCCACATCAGCTATTGCTAAATTTAATTCGGCGATTTAATTGTATACATGAAGGCGGTTCTGCGGATTTTTGTGCAAATTTCAGTGAATTTTCTCCAGGGTACGAAGCAAATTCCTTAAAATTCTCAAAGAAATCCGCGCAAACGTTCGCTCACGTAAAAAATTAAATTGCCCAGTCAAATTTGGCAATAGCTGACGTGGCTTGGTTCCTTTCTGTTAAACGCGGTCCATTTTCAAGTGCGTTCAAAATTTCCGGAAAGCTCTGTGCTTTTTAGCGACGAGAAAACCTACTTCGCGAGTAGCATAATATGTAATGAATTGCAATTACATGGTATTTATTGCTATTGTATAAGAGTGTTGTGCATGTTGTCTATTCGTTAATTGAAGGGGTTCCTCATATTGAAATTAATTAGATAGATTAGTAAATTTATTGCTACTATATTAGAGTGTTGTGCATGTTGTTTTTTGATTAATTAATTGAAAGGGCTCCTCTTATTGAAATAGATGGATCGATGGATGGATCGACTTAATACCAGGGGGACAATACCAAAATTATACTGTTACAATGAATCGATAAGATCTTTATCTTAATTAATATACCTTTTTTTTTAAATAAAATCACTAATCAAACAAATTAAACAATTAATCAAAATTCAGTCATTCAAAAATTGGAATGAGATTATGACCTATTTAATTTAGAGTAGGTAATCTATGACGATTAAAATTCATTTTATCAGCGAATTTAGCTTTTACATTTTCCTTCAATTAAATAGCTATATAATTAAGATAAAAATTTTAGTTAAGTTCCTCTATTTCCATATACTTTCTTCGATTAAAAAGCATTACATTTATTTAGTCATAATTCTTGAGTTCAATTTATCTTGGTTTAGTACTTATCTTCTAAAATTTGAATTATTAATCATTAAAATTTAGGTTATATTGATTACGAATGCAATTTTTGACACGGAAACTCCGAGGAGTTTATATGACCAGTCATATTCTCGGGTTACCTCCGTAGAATCCATATCCCCCCTAACAGAGCAGTAGCATGCTCCTTGAGCAGAAAGTAATCATACCAGTCAGACATGCCCAGGTATTTCAAATTGAAATTTATTGCAATATACCTGAAATAAGTTGCCATTTGTTTCGCATTGCGAATCGCCCACCTTTCTTACAATGAAAGTCAATCTCTTGGTTATTTCAAGGTCGGCTTAATGATGTAAAAATACGGCAATATCATAGTAATAGGATCCCAATTTTACTGCGTTACATTATTTCAAGATTTACGTTGCACCGAGCTTCCTAGGATTGAGAGAGAAACCTCGCAGTTATACAATCCGAATCGATTATTCGAAAGGGCACGTTGTGACACCGCGCTGATCGACTTTACCATGGGCTTTAAATCACGTAGCTAACGTATCGATGGTGTAACTGCAGAATGGCGTATCTCGGTTCGCGGCGTTGCAGACGTCCTGCCATACTTTATTTTTGGAATGGAAAATCACTCAACTTCAATGGAGATGTTGCATGTGTGAGGAATTTGCGATTTAACTGTTGATTCTAATGTAAAAGTTCACGAGAAGCACGACGGTACTACTGGTTTTCTCTGAAATCAACTCCCAAGCTCACAATAAGCTCTCAAGTTGAGGCCAAAATGGAGGGGATATCCCACGCTATCCTGAGAGTCCACCTCTACATCAAGACAAACTCTCCATGCAAAGATAGGGAGCAAATACATTGACAAGGCTGCCACTTTATTTGGGGACTCTAAAACTGAAAACACGGCAACCCTGCTAATGTATTTGCTCCCTATCTTTGCATGGAGAGTTCGTCTTGATGTAGAGGTGGACTCTCAGGATAGCGTGGGATATCCCCTCCATTTTGGCCTCAACTTGAGAGCTTTTTTTGAGCTTGGGAGTTGATTTCAGAGAAAACCAGTGGCCCCATCGTGCTCCTCGTGAACTTTTACACAAGAATCAACGTCAAATCGCAAATGCCTCAGACATGCAACATCTCCATTCTTGAAAACTTCCGTGATTTTTCTTCCCTGTCCGAAGAAAACTCCGTAAAAACTTCAAGGAATGATAATGATTTGGACGTATTTCTATCAAACAGAACTAAGCGCCAATTTAAGTTACTTTTGAGGAATTTAGAATCCCGGATAGCGCGTTCTGTCAAACGGACCTAAGCGCCATGGAAAAGCATTGCGAGTATAGGACGGAATAAGCCGGACGCCCGATTCCGCCGCCAATCCAAGCCCCCCTCTACCTGCCTCACCCTATGGCGCTTAGGTCCGTTTTATATAAATACGTCCATTTGTTTTTCTTTAATACAATAAAATGGGAGCGAAGATTTTTAAACACCGCAAACGAGATACGTGGTTTTGTAGCTTCTCCGTCGACATGACAACAGCGTGAGGATCTCTCGGCAGAAATATGAAATGCCTGCTGGCAGAATTATAGAACCGCGAATTGGTCGGGAGCCTAGCTCTTGTTTGAATAATTTTGGACGAGGCCGCGGCTGAAGTATCCGTTTTGAAAAGTTGCGGTCTACTCTGAGCTCATGAATCAAATGTCTGGCCACTTTAAGTTTAGAGCAGAGAGCCCTTGACGCAGGTCATATATTCGATCAAAACATGTTTGAACATTATTACCTACACGGTAAATCTTGGAAAGCTCATAGCTGCGGGGGAGTCAGATCCGGATATTGATGGTGAAACTGCATAAATGCGTACCTCGGTATGCGGCGTTGCAGACTTCCTGTCGAAAATGGACGAAAATTGACTGCTGATTTACCAATTGATTAATTAATTAATTGATGCAAAATTGCCAAAATTTTCAAAAGACGACGATTAATAGGCCTCCTTGCAGAAAATAAACTACACGGAAAAAAATTATATTGCTGACTTAACAACTAATTTTGCATTTTAAAAAAGTGTCCGACAAGTTTTTAATGTACATTTTACAACAAAAGGTAAGCAAATTTAACCACGAGAGTGGTTCAATTTGCATTTTTTTATTGTAAAATCTATATTGAAACTTGGCAGGCACTTTTTTAAAATACAAAATTAGTTGTTAAATCAGCAATATGATTTTTTTCCGTGTGGTTTATTTTCTGCAAGGAGGCCTATTAATCGTTCTTTTGAAAATTTTGGCGATTTTGCATCACTATGTTAAGAATATGCTCTAAGAATTTCATGACGTGGTGTTGATTCAGTCTCTTTTTAAATAATAAAATACGTAGTAGTCGTTTAAGCACCGCAACCGAGATACACATTTTAGAATTTTCACCGTCGATATATGACTGCAAAAATGTGAGCCTTGATTTGCGACACTGTTGGCTGCCCATCATATTTTCTTCTTTTTTTTTCTTTCCGATAAAATTTAGTGAAATCTTCAAACAGAGTCAACCAATAATTTCTCTGTAAAAAAATCGAATGGCGTCGGGAATTTTGAACCGTCGCACAGTGCATCGAGTCAATGAGAGAGGTCGGACATAAAATTTTTGACTAAAACTGCAAATTTTGATGTCTATTTTGTCACATTTTAAATTTCAATGGATGCTTTCTGAGGAAAATTTCACGAGGAAACCAATGAAACCACTTTTAGAGCCTCAAATCTTCGCATAAACGGAGTTATAAACGTTTAAAGTTTCCAAAGTTTGTCCGACCTCTCCTATTGACTCGATCTACTGTGCGTCGCATGACGTTTTGTGATACTTTGGCCGGAAGGGTAACGACTTAGCAAAACTTCTCTCGGAGAATATTTTATTTTGAGTTTACCCTAACTGGTATTGTCCATCATGTTCATCCACGAAAATTTACCTACTATTTTGAGGAAAATACTCTGATTAAAAATTGTTGACATATTTTGTTCGCAGATTGACGGGTTCGATCAGCATTTCCTCTCCGAGGTCGTGAAGGAGACTTAAAACGACCGCTCCTGCACCCTGAAACATATCTGTGGTTACCTTTTTCCCCCTCATCGCAACGCTGGCTGACGTACTTTCTTTTCGTTCCACTCTCACTCTCATTTTTTTCACCCCCCGCCCCGATGTTGGAAGTTTATTTACATTCTCTTATCTTGTTATTACCGTTTTGTGTCCTGAATAAATATAATTTTTAACCTTAATTGCTTCTGTTTTTTATCACGATCCCTCATAGTCTTGAGAAAGAGCGCACTCCCTCAAGGAGGAGGAAAGTCTTAAGAGTTTTCTGTCGTGCTAAGGAAGAACGCCGTATGAACATTCGAGAGTTGCCAAATTTCTCGGGATAAAATGTTTATTTTTGAAAGAAGTTATGCATGTATTTCCTTGAAACTTTCAAATATTTTAGATTAGACTGCAAAGAATAATGTCTGAAAAATTGGAAGAAAAATATGTTTGAGTGTCTCAATAAAGTTGTTTTTTTCTCCGAGGAATCTTGGCAACGCCTGAAGATTCATACAGCGTTCTGCCTTAGCGAGGCAGTATCCGAATGTTGTCTAATTCTCGCTTGGCAAAGAGGGTAAGATCTTTAGCCAAAACTGTTAGTAAAACTTGCAAATTATAATAATAAGACAACATGTACAAATTGTTAAAACGTTCATTTTAGGAAATCCCCATGGGTATTTTTGTGAGTGCCTAATATATACGAAAAGTGCAACATAGGTAAAACTTAAGTAAAGAAAAGTGTAAAAAAATCTCACTGGAAAAAAAAACACATTGGATCTAGAGTCCAGACTCTTGAAAACATTGACAAGAAAAAGGACTCTTGATTCAATCAGATTTAAGCTTAAATCAAAAGGAAATCCGCTCAAATTAAGAGGCTTGGTTCTTAGCTTAAATCTGATTGAATCAAGAGTATTTTTTCTTGTCGATGTTTTTAAGAGTCTGGACTGTAGATCCAATGTGCTTTTTTTCCAGAGCTCTGAAAATATTAATTTTAGTATTTCAACACTAAAAATGTGCAAACATAATGTAAAAAACTGTTTAAAAAGTAGTCATTTCTCTCAAGATCAAATATCACAAAGAGTTAAATTTTACTCTAAAAAATTACCAAAAAGGCTACAAGACCTGAAAGAAACGCTCAAAAGCTTTTTCAGAGTTTTCGAATAATTCTCTTTAAAGCTATTTGCAATTAGGGACATCAATACTTTTTTGGTGCCTTTAAGTTGATTGATGATTTGAGTTCCTTTTACTTAGTTATATTTCCTACCGCTTGTTTATGCTTAATTATTTTGTAAAAATCATCCATTTACAATTGCGAAGCCTAGCTCGAGCACACTTAAACTATGCGGTTAAAACTGCAATAGTGGCTAAGGAAAACCAACAAGACCAGCCCCGGCGAGGAGGCTGATTTGATATTGATCTTCCATCGTATCGCGAAGGCGCGACGATACAACTATTCGTACTCTCCGGAATGCGTGAGGTATCACGCCACAATTGAAGGCATTTTCGAAACTGCCAACTTTACACATCGGGACTCTTGAGTCGCATGAATAGGGTCCCTACTGAAACTGGCTGGCAAGTACTTTTACAGTACTTATTCAGTACCTTTCCATTAAATTCAGTATTACACAAGCGGAAAATTCAGTACTTTCTTGGTGACGTCAAGTGATGAAATTCGAAATTTGGCGAAATCCACGCGGAAATTGCGAGAAAAATGACGTGGCCATGAAATTCTAAGCTCAAAGGTGGCCTGATGATCAAATTGCTTTACCATCTCGATCTAGCAGCAAAATACTGCACTAAGAATCATCGCACAACGGATTGCATATTTTCCAGGCTGTTTTGACCCTCGTGGCATGGAGCAAAAAATTCCGGACTTTCATAGGGAATTTCCGTACTTTTTCAGTACTTCCGGACCATCCTCATAAAATCAGTACTATTTCTTGATTTTCAGGACCAGTAGACACCTTGTGAACTTTCTGTTCCGTTTTCTGTTTCCGTTCTTACGGTTTTTCTTCTTTTCTTTTGACGAGGCAAGTACATGACAAATCTTAGAAGTATTTTCAGAACAATTCCGTTGGAATATCAGACGAATAGGTAATAAAAAATCTGATAAAATTATATGGAAATGTGCTCAAGTTTTTGCGTGATAAAAAATGACTTGTGGGGAGGGAAACAAGAGTACTAAAAATGAGTTAGTGTGCTTTTGTTTACGACAGCAACTTCAATGCCAAATACTGACTACCTATCATCTTTTGGGGAAGGAACGTAATTCGTACGTGACATTCACACGATAATTATTATATGGGTATAGAAATTAGGTACTCAGTTTTATATTGTGTAAATTTTGCATCATGGTTGATCAAATTGCAGACAATTATTTTTGTGTAAAATCCTTTTAAGTTTTTAGATAATTTTAATGAGTGCCTCCTAGAACATTCGGTCTTAATGCACAAAAAAATCGAAAGTTGCGATTTTGGCGTATCTTCGATCGCGATGTTGCAAACTTCTGCTCATGTTCTATTTTTTTCAAATGAAAACTAGTCAAATGTTTTTATTGAAATCTTCAGATGTAAATTCCCTCCTATTACTCCAAAATACCCTTAGAAAATATTTATTAGATAGTTTCCTTTTGGAAAAGCAAGAATTAGTCGGAAATTTCGAAGTGCCACGGTTAAGATAAACATTTTTAACTGTATCCATCGAAAATGCTGCCGTGCTAGGGAAGAACGCCGTATAAAAATTAGGCGTTGCCAATTTTCCTTCGATAAAACACCAATTTTTGGGAAAATTTGTAAATATTTGTCTTTCAATTTTTCAGATAATCTTGTTCGGAATTTTGCCTGAAGTTACTTAAAATTTCTCAGGAAAATATTCGTAAATTTCCTCGAAAATAAAAATGTTATTGAAGGAAATTTGGCAACTCTAGAATGTTCATACGGTGTTTTTCCTGAGCATGGCAGAATGCCGCATGCAAGGCATTCGAAATAATTCCTTTCGATTGTCCCATGCGAATATCGCTGAATTTCGAAGTTAGGAGGACTTGGCTACACCAGTCCCCGGAGTGACATAGGAATTCAATATTGCCGCCGCAATGGTAAAATTTTCTGTCTCACAGACAATGTTGAAACTCGGCGTTTTGTCATCCACTTTTTGCTCCCGTTAAATATCTAGGGATTGTGCAACGCATAGTTGACCTTTACGTTCATACGTGTCTTGCAAAGTGATAGTGATTTGTTCACACAAGAGACGAAGTAAGATGCTTTGTATGTTTTCGGTGGAGGTATAAAAGGTTTCTTTGATACACATCAATAACCGAAGTGAGAAACCACGTATCTCTGTTAGCGACGTTGCTTACTGTCATCCTCCATGGTTTCCTTGAAAAAGTAGTCAACGTAATGGAGAATTTGCACAAAAAAATTTTATTGCTTCATCTAAGAGTGCGTTATGAGCTGAGTTTGCCGTATTTTTCATTATTTTTTACTGACATGGGACATTGGAGACAAGTATATTTAAGAGTGAGAAAATGTGCCGCCATACGACGTCATGTGGCGGCATTTTCCATTTAAACACATATTTAAGCAGATTAAGTTATTTTGTCATATTTTCTCCAATAATTGTTCAATTTAGAAACCAAGGATATTTTCGTCCTCAGTTTTCCTAGTTGTATCAGTTTAAATATGAAATTCACAAAGTTCAAGGCACCTGCAAACTCTCTATTCATCGAAAACTTCACAAAACTACTTCACAACAAGTGTGTTTCTGCAGCAGTAGCCAGAGCTGAGATAGAACATCAATACACTCATTATCCCGCTCCCTTGTTAAGGTGTAATATGATGCGGATTTTAATTTTAGTTTCAAGGAAGGATTTGTTTTTTTTTTCTTTCATACTTGCAACTCTAATTTTAGCCACTACGTTGATCATAATCAAAGTTTCTCTTCAATTTTCTCAAAATTTACACCAAGCATACATTTTGTTTGTAAGCTGTAGCAAGGCAGCCTCTAATGACAGGTTTATTTGTTCTCTTCTGAAGTTACACGGAAAAAAATAAATTGCTGATTCAACAATTCAATTGCTAAAAACAGTGAGTGCACGTTTCAACGTAGATTTTACAACAAAAAATGCTACTCTAACCACATTGTAATCTAATTTAACCACGGGGTGGTTAAAGTAGCATTTTTTTGTTGTAAAATCTACATTGAAACATTGCACTCACTGTTTTTAGCAACTGAATTGTTGGATCAGCAATTTAATTTTTTTCCGTGAGAGAAGCCCCGACGCCAGTGACTTTTTTGTGGAAACCATGCACATCAATTTCAATAAAGTTTTCAAAACTTGCTTCCGTTTATTTTTAAGTTGCCTTTTTTTATCGGTAGTTTTAAAAAAAGAAAAACACATAACTATTCCTGAGATAAAGTGCCGTTTTGCCAGATGCTACCTTGTTGGGAAAGCAAATTCTATCACGTCAGAGCAAAAAATTGTAACACGGATTTCCAATGAGAAACACACTACATATTATTGGTGATGATAAACTTTGAGTTTTTACTTCATTTTTAAGCCAGTAGAGGGCGTCAGGTTGCATAATAATAACGATTTGAAACTGAGAGCATGGTTGGTTAAAACCTCAAACATCTCTTTCACAAAAATATGTATTTTAAGCTGTAAGTTTCTGACAATTGAGAAGCTGATTTGGTGGGGAGAAAAAACAACAACACCTTCACATATTTTAATACACCCTCTAAGTTTCACAGCAGTTCTGTGGGTGGAAGCTTAAATCTCATATCTCACTACCTAGTTGGCTCCATTTTCTTTCAAAGAAGTTCACAAGAAAAAATCAAAATCAAAATCAAAATTCACGGACACTCACTCTTTATTTCAGCTTTTTAAAAAAATGTTGAGATTTACGGAAAGATACCTATACTGGATGTAGAGTGGTAAAGCTTAAAAAGTGTAAATTCAGTAACAGAAGGATTTCAATTGTTGGTATTTTTGTGTCGATTCTACAGCACAAAAAACAAATTAAAACATTTTGCAGTTGTTATCAAGCTGGACAACCATAGGTATAGTTAAAAATACAATTCTTGGAAGACAAGCTGAGGCGATTCTAGGAAGAGAATCTCTGTTCATGGCGGAACAAAGTCAGGTCTCACCAATTACTACCATTCACATCTTTGAAAATGGATGGTAGTTGACACAAAATATCCGAAGTTTCCATACTACACCCTGAGATTTTAAAAGTCTTATTTCCAGACTTTCTAACAATCGTAAGTGAGTCTCAGAACCCCTGCTTGAGCTTGACTTGATGAGCGTATTGGAAATTATGGTTTCCTGCAGAATAAATTGCAGGAGGAAGATTTGAAGGCGTTTTGAAGACTCAGAGTAATAGGTTGGTGTCGATTGCTAGTGCGTAATTTGCTATTAGGGGCGCTTCTGAAGGAACTTTTTCGAGAAAATTAATGAAACGACTTTTAAACGGCTATACGTTTCGTATCAACGAAGACATGAACTTTAAAACTTCGATGGCTAAAATGCGAAACCATGTATTTCCGTTTGCGGTGTCGCAGACTTTCTGTCATTCTTTATTTCCTCTTTGGAAAACTAGTCACTGTAATTTCTTAGAAACTTTCCTGATTTTTCCTCCTAGGTAGAGGAACAGTCTTTTCGAATTTCAAGCTGAAAAGTTAGGCTCCTTCTCTTTGAAAAATAGAAGCGGAGATGCTGAGATACCGCAAGGGAGATACGTGGTTTCACACTTTAGTCATTGATTTTTCACTCATGTCCCATTTCTCCCATGCACTCACTTCTCGACGCGACCACCGTTCCTTTCCTCTTTTTCTTTTTCCCGTTAGTTTAATGGCTTACATCTCTGTGGGGCATACAGCAGACAAATTGAAATGATATGGACGTGTTTATGTGACTGACGTGGTATGATTCAGATTGGGGGATGGGTAGAAGAGAGAAACGGGGACTCGGGGAAATGTTAAAGGAATTAAAATATCACCATCTTCATACCCTAAGGTTCGATAAGGTGATTCGGCGAATGCCATTTTTTGTGTCAAAACGACATGCGATATATCGCATTTATTCGTTCCATAATTTCAGCTACTTGTCATTTTTTCGAATTATGAGGTCACATTTGTGTTGTCATGAGTCTAAAGAATTCGTGCACCAAATTTGACAAAGACATTCAACGTAATAAAGGCGTGGTTTTTTTAGAGGAAAAATATCGCATTCATTACCGACATCGAAACTGCACTCGAATGCGATATTTTTCCTCTACAAAAACCACGCCTTTATTACGTTGAATACCTTTAATGTGTTACGGTTCATCAGTATTTCAGGCTATCGCGGAGCTCCAAAGTTGGCCCAATGTTAACAAACCTGACCCAGAGGAACACGCACTATCGGCTGAGAAATGAATGGTAATCTCACTCACAGCTTAATTTTCGGCAAAAATACTCATCACAGTTCGATCCGAACTCACTTCAGAAATGGAATTTGAAAACAATTCTATCACATCCATAATCACGTCTAGAACTTTGTGAAACTTTGTCACCATCTCGTTTGTTTACATTGGGCCAAACTAAGAGCGGAGGAGCTGGGGTTTGTTTACATTGGGCCAACTTTGGGGCTCCCGGCTTCATGACAGCCGACCAATCAGAGAGCGGCACACTTTTTCTGTAGTAAAAGGATTGAGATGGCAATACTCTTCCGTATACAGGTACTCTACCCGCTTCCACCATGGGATCCATCCATTTTTTCTTCGTTTTCTTTGTCTATAGCTTTGTCTATCAAGTTCAATAATCGGCCCGCTGGCGCGGCAGTAAGCGCCGTGGGTTCTCTTCTCATGCACTGAGAGGATCAACGTATTTATCTTGTCCCACTTATCTTCACGGGCGAAACTACAAAGATAAGTCTGGGTAAACCCGGCAATAATCCCGACAGAACTTTGTATACTCGAGTGCAGAAACTCATGAGTATGTACTCTGTCTCCATCTCAACTGTTTTAGTTGATTGAGGTGTCGAAAAAATCAGAGCGAGGAATCAGTCATACGAGCGCCTACAATATTGAGCAGTTCGCGTCTTATTCATAATGAACATTCCAGTGTAATTTTACGCTCACTCGCGTTATTTTTTTTCTTTTTTTCATTGCAATGTCAGTCTTGTAATAATCAAAAATTTAGTTTAAAAGGAAAGAAAGAAAATACGGAGCTGTGTGCGAGACCCAGCATGCTTTTCTCGCTAAACGCGTTTCTTTGAAATGTGCACGTAGAATTTTTGTGGAAAAAAGACTCTCAGATCGATATTTTTAGTGCGCGTCGAAACCCAATGATAATCGCGTCCTTCGACGGATGTTCAAGTGTAAAACGATTCATTAATTAATTTGCGGTGTTCAGTATGCCCTACGGAGTTCTAGATAACATAAGTGACCTTACACAATTCTACATTGAAGGTGGGCTGAGTTCGATGTGGTAGGGTCCAATTAGAGCCATATCTATAAAAACAATTGTATATCTGTGCTTTTTGAGCTTGTTTCCTTACTTCCGGAGACTCAGGAGTAAGTAGTATGAACCGACAAATTACTAACGTACCTCGTTAGACCTAGGAGAATCAATTTAAATTCGCTAATAATCTACAATTCCCGAAAAATAACAAGTTTGTGATTTGCTCATTGTTTTAATTTTCACTTTAAAATTTCGGTTTTTTAAAACCATTTGGAAAAACTATTGGTTACGTCGTAAATTTTATAATTTATTTTTATTATGGACTCTTTTGGCTTCTACTTGAAAAAAAGAACATCAATATCGGACAATTGGCAACAAATATATAGCACTTAAAAAAAAAGATTGGCCGCCATCTTGGATCCTGCACGAATTTGAAGGTGGTTCTACGGGCGAAAAAAAACTACCTTAACATCTAGTATAACCTCCCGATGGCAATTTCCAATAAAAAAATCGTCCATTGTGATCGTACCCACCGTACTATCTTCTTCCTTATTCCTTCCTCTGTTTCGTGCTGAAACTTTTTCTTCTCTGCCATGTGAATCGTACGGCTTCCGGATTTTCCCAAACGGAACTACGCAGTGCTGCCATTTTACTATATCAAAAGATTTCGAATTAATTCCGATTTCCGGAAACATATTCCGATTTGCCAAAGTTCCGAGAAAAATTCCGGGGAAACATTCCGAAATATGCCCGGTCGATTTAGTTCCAAGGATCGTCAAATTTGATCAAAAAGTCCCGAAATTTGATCAAATAAATGGTCAAATTGGCAAAATACCGCAAATTCCGAGGAATTTACGAAAATAGCTGAAAATTCCGGGGATTCAGATGATTGCGGGAAAAGTTTCGATTATTTGAAAAGTTCCGAATTTCGGAATTAATTCCCCCTGGTAAAAATTGGCAGTAGAATCTGTGTTCCAAAACACCATGGACCTAGAGCCGGCTGTACGATCTCCAATAGCTTCTACAGCCGGCAACACAATTTCTTATAGCCTTTTATAGCCGATGGCGATTAAGCAATAGCCTGGTGATAAAGTGGACTAATTACGGATGCTAGAACTTAGTGAGTTTTTGGACTACCGCTCTCTTTTTGGACCGTAGTATCTTGATTTATTTTGCGAGGAAAGCTCCGTACTTTTGAAGGATGCCTGCTATTCCTAATATGTTGGAGCGCCTTCAATCTCGTATGATACTGTGCAATACCTCTGGTGTGAAATAGTTGCTTCAAGCGCCGTGGTACGCTGCGGCGCGGCGCGGAGGACGGGCAGCCAGCATTGGCGCCTACAAACCTAACGGGGATACTTCACGCGTTGCGTAATGCGTGAAGTATCCCTGTTAGGTTTGTAGGCGCCAGTGCACCGCCGCTCCGCTTTGTGTTAGGCTCTATTAATAATCTCGTGGAGTCTTTCAACTCATGACTTTGAAATGTTTGCACACTCTGTATGGATTATTCTCTTTTAATTGATGAAAAAAAATATGTAGTAAAGGAAAATATAATGTGCGTTTTGTAAATATTAAGGTGATTCTGTACAAACTTAAGGAATTACAAAACACACGAATTTCTACACAATTTTTTAAAGCCTTTTATAGCCGATGGCGAAATAGCAACAGCCAGGCGATAAAGTGTAAAGCCCGGCGATAGGAACTATAGCCCGGCTGTATTATTTTTTATTGCTTCGTGTAGCCCGGCCGTATTATTTTTTCCACTTTCTACAGCCAGCTATATGATTTTCTATCGCCTTCTTCAGTCGGCAATCTCGGAAACTCCTATGATATTTTGAAACGCAGCTCCTACCGCCAATTTTTACCAGGGCCGGGAAATGGCAGAACTGAACACAAAGAACACACACAAATTGGCGCATGGCATTGACGCATTGGCATTGGCACATTGGCAGATCTAGCAAATTGGCGACATTGTCTTTCCTCCATTCAAACCTAATGATAATGAAATATATCGATTCTTGGAGGGGCTAGGTGCTCCCGCAAGAATCGATTATTCAGCATGGGTTTAAATGAAGGAAATCCGGTGTTGCCAAATTGCTAGATCCGCCAATGTGCCAAATGCTAATGCGCCAATGCCATGTGCCAATGTGTGTGTGTTTTTCGTGTTCAGTTCTACAATTTCCCGGAATTAATTCCGAAATTCGGAACTTTTCAAATAATCGGAACTTTTCCCGGAAATCTCCTGAATCCCCGGAATTTTCAGCTATTTCCAGCTTTTCAGGAATTTTTATTAAGCATGGGGTGACCTCGTCGAGTATCGCACATGAAAAACTAAGTTTTTTATTTTTTTTTTTATTTTTTTTTTTCAATTTTAATTTTCAGAGGAGGAATAAAGAAAGGAGGGGAATGATTGGCCTTGGTGAACACTAATTTTCCCAAATTTTTCCACAAATTTCCACAAATTTTCCCTATCGACGGCGATGAATGGTGATCCCCGGGACGATGTCCATCGCGAATGGCCTCATCCTCCTGGCCTGGCTCAGCGTGGCCACCCTGTCGACGACTAGCGCGACCGGTTCACCGAGCTGCTTCACGGAGACCTACGAGGAGAACAAGGTGCTCCTGAACTGCGCGCACACGCACATGCGGCGGCTCAACGTGAGCGGCCACGACGCGGGGCTCAAGCGCGTCGTCTACATGCTGGACGTCTCCGACAACGAGATCTCGGTGGTGAGCGAGCGGGCCCTCTCGGACTTCGCGGGCCTCAACATCCTGATCCTGTCCAGGAACCGGCTCAACGACACGAGGGCCCTCCACTTCGGCCCCCGGGCTCTAACCCGCCTCCAAGTTCTGGACCTCAGCTTCAACAAGCTCGAGCACCTGAGCTGGGGCTTCCTTCAGGTAGGATCCCGTCCAGGGCGCTTTATTTCAGCAGTGCTGCCATTTTATTTGGATTGCATTTTGCAAAAAGGAACCGAGAGCATTCAAATGTTGTTGGGATTGTGCAACATACATGCTTTGCAATAAGACTAATAAAATAATGAAACAAATCAGATTTACAAAGGTGATTTTCGTCTTCAATTCATAGTTTATTGAGAGTAAAGATAAAACTAGTATTGATAATCGGTTTATACTTACAGGGTGAAACAAGCAAAATTTTATCGACACTGGAATGCTCCTAGTTTCTTTTTGCAAAATGCAATCCATTTTATCCAAAGATTCCGAAATAATTCCGATAACCGGAAACAGATTCCGATTTGCCAAAGCTCCGAAAAAAATTCCGAGGAAAAATTCCGAAATCCGCCCAGATTCAGTTTCGAAGATCGTTCAGTTTCAAAATTTGATCAAAAAGTCCCTTAATTTGATCAAATAAATGGTCAAACTAGCGAAAATCCGCAAATTGTGAGGAAATCCCAAAAATAGCTGAAAATTCCGGGCAAAGTTCTGATTATTTGAAAAATTTCGAATATCGGAATTCATTCCGGTAAATGGTAGCACTGTAATTTCAGAGACAAGAGACCCTCCATTTTTTTGAGATTTTGAGGACCGACAATGTTGCGATAAATTTGAGCTATCAATGCATTTTTCGAGAACTCGACACTATATGACGACAAAACCCAGAATAGTTTACTTCATTGGCACAATATGCGACGTTGAAATTAAGTTGAGGTGCACTAGAAACATGTATAGTACGCTCAGATAGTATCGTATGCGACGAACGCTGAACGAATTTCATTTTAACTCCTGCACGCAACTACTCGAACTCCACGGATGTTCGTGTCGCATACGCACGGGATTGAAGGCGTTTTGACTCTCTCGGCAGTTCGGCACTCACTGTTTCACACGCGGCTGCGGGCTGAAGTGCTGAACTGCGAGGATCCAAAAGTGACAGAGCTCCTTCAATTGGACGTATTTCTATCACACGGAACTATGTGCATTATGACGTGCGCCCTGTTATGCACATATTCTTATGGGTCTCAGGGCTCATGTCTTAATGCACACAGTTCCGTTTGATAGAAATACGTCCATTTTTCTGTTATTGGTGACTTGGAAATTTTAATTTTGTACAGAACGTGCCGGGACTGAAGATCCTGGACGTTTCGAACAACCTGATCGGGGCGATCTCACCTCCGCCGGCTCCGGAGAAGGTGGCCCTGGAGAAGCTGCTCATCTCTCATAACCCACTGCGCTGCATCGAGAACGTCCCGATCGGGGTGCGGGACCTGGACCTCTCGGGCACGGAGGCGACACCCCAGGATCTGACGCGGCTCAGCGCTTTCAACAACTTGGTTTATTTGAAGCTCGATCGCATGCCCAACTTGAACGAGACCCTCAAGCGGACCTTCGGCGAGCTGGAGAATTTGGAAGAGGTCTCCTTCAGGTGAGTTCGCACTTTCATTCTTCCCCAGAGCCAGCGGCGGATCCAGCAATTTGGCAACACCGGATTTCTTCCATTTAAACCTATGCTAATTAATCAATGGAGATGTTGCATGTGTGAGGGATTTGCGATTTGACTGTTGATTCTTATGTAAAAGTTCGCGAGAAACTCGATGGTGCCACTGGTTTTCTCTGAAATCAACTCCCGAGCTCAAAAAAAGCTCTCAAGTTGAGGCCAAAATGGAGGGGATATCCCACGCTATCCTGTGAGTTCACCTCTATATCAAAACAAACTCTCCATGCAAAGATAGGGAGCAAATACATTGACAGGGCTGCCATTTTATTTGGGGACTCTAAAATTGGAAACGAGGCAACACTGCTAATGTATTTGCTTCCTACCTTTGCATGGGGAGTTTGTTTTGATGTAGAGGTGGACTCTCAGGATAGCGTGGGATATCCCCTCCATTTTGGGCTCAACTTGAGAGTTTTTTTGAGCTTGGGAGATGATTTCAGAGAAAACCAGTGGCACCATCGTGTTTCTCACAAACTTTTACGTAAGAATCAACAATCAAATCGCAAATTCCTCACACATACAACATCACCATTCTTGTCGGAGGACCTGGCCCCTCCAAGAATCGATATATTTCCACAGGTTTAAATGGAGAAAAGACGATGTGGCCGATTCGCTGGATCCGCAAATGTTGTCCTGCTCAGTAGCGAGGTGTGAATGATCGATTAGGTATTGATATTTTCCCGTTTGAAGCTATGGTAAAAAACTATACTAGGGCCCACGAACGATGATCCCTGAAAAATCGGGCGAATAAACGCGTGGGCCATGTAAATGACAACGCTGCAGGGTCGAGCACGCACATCGACGAGACCGGGTATTGTGAACGCGAAAAGCTATTGTATGCGAACTGCTGCTATTCTACCCCTATCTTCAGGTCAAAATTCTTCATAGGATCCCCTTTCGTAAAAGATCAATTTCTTGTAATTTTGCCCCAATCTCTTCGTCCATTACATGGTTGGATTGCTCGTAAAATTCTGAGCTAAATCATACATAATTGTTATATACAATTTTTATTTTTTCCTTCTTTTCCCTTTCCAAAGCGAAGTCCAATTTTTATTTATAACATCGTAACTCGAACTGTAACTTTGCTGCTATTTGACCGATTTTTATAAACGAGCGCCTCTTTTTACTCGTGTTTTAAAGGAGAGTAACGAAACACTTGCTAAAAAAATGTTACACAACTTTCAACAAATTTTGGTTTTTTCTAGCGGGAGGGTGAAATTGTAAACTACGCGTAAGTAATTAGGGTTCGATTGTGGCTCGGCTCGGCATTGTCCCCGAACTCGAGACTCGGTTCGGGCCGGGGTGTCGCTGTTGCCAGTGTTTGCAAGAAATACCCGCGGCTCAGGGATCATCGTTCGTGGGCCCTAGTATAATCATTAAAGAGTTCGTTGTGAACACGTTTATCGATCCCTCCCGGTAGGTTTAAAGACGAATCAATCGATGGATCGGAAAGCACGCCACGTAACTATCCCTGGTAAAAATGAGTGATCCACTCGTCAATCTCACACTACACTGGAAAATTGAAAACATGGGCCCGAGTGGTTACCTTCTTCAGTATATTTATCAAAAATTCAGTTCCTCCAAAGCAGAAAGAATTCATTACTTTTTCGATGCCTTTAAGTTGATTGTTAAATTGAGTTCATATTATTTAGTTCTATTTCTTACTGCGCTTGTTTACTTTTAATTCTTCTAAAATATTATCTTTTCACTATACACAAGCGTACCTTACTCAAACTTAAACTTTGGGGTCAAAACTGCAACAGCAGTAAAGGAAAACGGACCAGGCCGTAGCTTGGAGGCTTATTGAATTTCAATCTTCCATCGCATTGCTAAGGCGCAATGATACAACTATTCGTACTCTCCGGAACGCATGAGGTATCACGCCAATTCGAAGGCGTTTTCGAAACTGCCAATTTTCCGAATTAGGAATTGTTCACGAATTTGTTCATTTTTAATTCTTCTAAAATATTATCTTTTCACTATATACCAGCCTAATTTCATCACCTCTAAACTTTGCGGTCAAAACTGCAACAGCAGTAAAGGAAAACTAACCAGACCGCATATGGAGGCTGAATTAATATCAATTTTCCATCGCTTTTCTAAGGCGTAATGATACAACTATTCGCACTCTCCGGAACGCGTGAGGTATCACGACACAGTTGAAGGCGTTTTCAAATATGCCAACTTTCCGAATTAGGAACCTTGTGTCGCGTAGATAGGCTTCAACCAAAACTGGCCGGGAATATTAAGCAGTTTTGAAGCCCTACTTCTGAATATTTAATAAAAATTCAGTTCCTCTAAAGCAGAGAGAATGCAGTACTTTTTCGATGCCTTATAAGTTGATTGTTAAATTGAGTTCATATTACTTAGTTCTCTTTCTTCCTGCGCTTGTTTACTTTTAATTCTTCTAAAATATTATCTTTTCACTAAATACAAGTGTAGGTTGATCACGCTGAAACTTTGCGGTCAAAACTGCAACAGCAGTAAAGGAAAACTGACCAGGCCGCAGCATGGAGGCTGATTAAATATCAATCTTCCATCACAGTGCTAAGGCGCAATGATACAACTATTCGTACTCTCCGGAACGCGTGAGGTATCACGCCAATTTGAAGGCGTTTTCGAAACTGCCAACTTTCCCAATCAGGAACCTTGCGTCGCATAGATAGGCGTCAACCAAAACTGGCCGGCAAATATTAAGCACTTGTGCAGCCCTTCTTCTGTATACTTACGGGCCACACAGACATACCGTCCGCGTTCCGGGCTCAGAGGCCGAAAGTTCTGGGCGTAGCATCCGGAGCAATCGAAGCTACGGCTCCAGAACCCGGAACTTTCGGCCTCTGAGCATGGAAAGGACGGTATGTCTGTAAAGCCCGTAACTTTTTTTTCAGTGCACAGACACTCAGCTCTGTAAGATTTGATTGCATGTAAATATATTGGAATTGATTGCAGGGGCTGCAGGAATTTGGTGAGACTTGACGAGGACACGTTCTCGCGGGGGAACAGGAAGCTGCGATGGGTGGACCTCTCGCACTGCGCCCTGACGACCTTGCCGAAGAAGTTGGAGCCGGTGTTGCTGAGATTGCAGTGGTTGGATCTGCGGGGGAACCCGTGGAGCTGCGACAAACGCATCCACTGGATGTGGAGACTCCATCTGGCGCCCGCCCTCACCGTTCCCGAATTTCGGTGCGTTTCTCACCGATCACTTTTCACCCACAGAGATTTACGTGTAGTGTAGAGTCTCTTTAGACTGAGAGTTGACGGCGGCAGATCTTTAGGCTGATTATTTAAATTGATAGACGAAGCCATAGACAAAGAAGGCATAGGGAGTACGGAGCAACCCTATTAGTTGAAATGGGTGGCTCCTATAGACTAAGGGAGACAATAGGATTTCTTGTGAGTTGCCGTTAGTTGTCTATTGCCTACCTCATACATACTGGTACTGCGACTAGACATGAAGCGCCTTCAACTACACGCGCTACAATTTTTAATACTTGTTACACTGAAAAAAAAAAAAATATCGGTGTATTTACTAAGAAAAGGGTAAAATTACCAAGAATTCAGGGTTCTATTTGATCCCAGTTTTTTCTTGGTAAAATTACCATTTATGGAATTGGTAATCTTACCGAGAAATCTCGGTAAAATTATTGAACTTTCTCGGTAATTTTACTGGACCTTGGTAAAAACGCCAATATTTTTTATCGACTATGGTAGAATTACCGAGATAAAATGGCGAAGTTACCGGGAACTGATTACCAATAAAAGAGGTATTCTTACCTCAAAAAACAGTAAAAATACCGGTTTTTAGGTAAGTTTACGAGTCTGTCTTGGTAAAATGACCGATACTTGGTAAAAAAAGTGAGATGGTAAAGGTACCAACGGACCTTGGTAATTTTTTTTCAGTGCAGCTCTGTGGGCTGATTATTGAAATTTATAGACGAGGACAAAGAAGACATAGGGAGTATGGAGCAACCCTATTGGTTGAAATGGGTGGTTCCTATAGACTGAGGGAGACAATGATGGACTAATTATAGAATTTCTTGTGGGTTGCCGTTAGTTAGTCTATCGCCTACCTCATACATACTGGCACTGCGACTAGACGTAAAGCGCCTTCAACTAGACGTGCTACAATTTTTCATACTTGTTCGTATTTAAAGTGGTATTCGTCTTATTTGAAGGATGTTTTACCTCCGTCAACAATTGCGTCGTTAAAACTCGGAGTGAGGGAATATTTTTCGACGGGAATCTCAAATTTTTGTTAAAATTTCAAAATCTCGAAATCTAAGATGGCGAGCGTCGCTTAAAATTCTTTCTCGGCTCCTGCTTCGTCGATTTTTGTGCAAATCGGTGGAATAAGAAGATGGAGACGAAGGTTTTGTTTTTGCATCAAACTTAAAAGCTATGAAGGGCGGCTCGAGGAGCGAGTCGCAGATTCATCGCGAAGCGAAAAGGACAGGCGCTCGAAAAGTTAGGAGGCGACCTACATTTGGGGGCCCCTCCTGTGGTTCGGGGGGACCCTCTCCCAGAAAATTGTGAATATTTCGCCCTTTTCAAACGCAATTTTAAGCATTTTTCGGAGTCAAATTCAAGAGTAGGTATCTGAACTTCAAAATAACCCATTCTACGGATTCTTCGGGAGCCCTTTCATCACGTCTAGGACCCAAGGAGCCCACTACATTTCCCTATATATCATGCATCATAAGCTTTCGGCGACCTTTTATATTTCTTAGTGACACATTTTCAAGGATTTTGGGGTCTTGTAGTAACTGAAAAGGATTGTAAAATTACAACATTACGAGGAAAAAACGATGACTCGAAAAACCAATCGCCGCGGAGGCCCCTTCAGGGCCCCTTCAGGGCCCCTTCAGGGCCCTCAGGGCCCCTTCAGGGCCCTCAGGGCGTATTGTTAGGAGGCGATCTTCTCCCCGCCCCCATGGCCAATCCGCCTCTGTCCGCGGCTAGGCGTGACAGCTCGCAAAGCGAGCGAATCACGGCTAGTTATCAGATAAAGGTGACTTAAAATTTTTTACTGACAGTTCCGTCATTTTCCCTGACATTTCCAGGTTTTCCCGGTATACCCTAACAGTGACAACCCCGTTGGTCTAGTGATCACCCATTGCCCATCGTAAACAAAGTATACGTCCGCAGATTAATGATAGGCGGGAATTTTTTGTTGCAGTTGTGTGAATCCGCCGGGACTGCGGAATATGGGATCGTCGAATTTTCTGGCGACCCGAGTTCATCTCCACTCGGTGCACTCCAAGATGTTGGCAGGAGTGTGGCTCACCATCCTCATCGGCGCCGCAGCGGTGGCCGTCTACATGATCAAGCGACGCCTCAATAGAATCAAGCTCAATGTTGACACCGCCAAGTACAGCGTCCGCCACTACAGCAGGCTCAATGAAAGCTCCGATAACGTCTACTGATCCGTGCAACAAGATGTCGTCACCTTCCGGCCGAAGCATCACGAACGCCATGCGACGCTATGGTAAAAGTGAGTCAGCCTGACGTCAGGCTATGTTTCATAAACTACCCCGAGTCAGACTGATTCAGGCTGACGTCAGTCTGACATCATTCTGAAATCAGGCTGACATCATTCTGACATCAATCTGACATCCGTCTGATATCAGTCTGACATCAGTCTGAAATCAGTCGGGCATCAGTCGGGCGTCAGTCTGACTCAGGGTAGTTTACAAAACATAGCCCGACGTCAGGCTGACTCACTTTTACTGGGGGCGCTTGAAAATTTCAGCTGCCATTTATTTTTTTAAAAAGAGAAATTGTTCGACGAAACTTTCCAAAAATTTCACTGAATTTTCTTTGCGCTGCCGATAAAATTCAGTGGGATTTTCAAACAGATTCAACTAACAATTGCTCTGTAAAAAAATAAAATGGCGCCTGAAATTATTAAACGTTGCATGGCGTTTTTGATTTTTTGGCCGGAAAGTGACGATGTACGCAATACGAGTCAATTTGACTACATTTCGCAATTTGGAACTATAATGTCTGACTCGTTGATAAACACACTTATATTTGCATGGAGAAACTATTGCTACATACACTGTTTCTGAACTGAGGCGGAAATTGTGGTCCCTGATTGCAAAATGATGTCCAACTGGCTGCTTCACATCACTGCCGTGTTATACGGATAGTCCAGGCGCCTGGTAAGTCTACCTGGAATTTTGGGTATACAGGTACACATTTTTGGCTTACTTTATGTTTTTTGGGTCGCTGAATCCGAATCTGAAGTTTCCTACCGCGTTTCTGGTGAGCATTTTCCGCCATTTTCAAAAAATGGCCTATAAAGGCCTTTTTTGCGGTTTTTCTTAAATAGCGACTACGCATGAGAAAAAGTCCCAGATTTAGCTAATGTTTTGAATAGCTGACAAAATTTGGAAGAAAATGGTATATAGATATGCTAAGTTTGCTCAAAAATTGATGAACCTCGGATCTCGGAACTTTGGAACGCTTCGGAACTTAGCTGACCGCGGCGAGCCGGATCACGCGTTAACGGGTGCGCCGCGAAAACGTGAATGGGCGCGATGTTCACGATGCTGTATCTTCCTCAATTTTTAAGCAAACCTAGCATATGTTTACACCATTTTCTTCCAAATTTTGTCAGCTATTCAAAACATTAGCTAAATCCGGGATTTTTTCTTATGCGTAGCTGCTACATAAAAAATACCGCAAAAAAAGGCCTTTTCAGGCCATTTTTTCAAAATGGCGGAAAATGCTCACCAGAAACGCGGTAGGAAACTTCAGATTCGGATTCAGCGACCCAAAAAACATGAAGTAAGCCCAAAAAATCGCTGTGTACCCAAAATTCCAGGTAGCCTCATTTTTGGACCCAGGTTGGCCGCGAGCCCAAGAACTTTTATTGGATCCTGTTTTTGGTAAAATTGTCAACCAATCATCGAGCAATCCTTGATGAGTTGTCGCTCGAAAGTCTGAGAATTGAGAAATTTTAAAAACATCTAATTTTTACAATAAAAATTATTAATTTTTTTTTATTTTGTGTTGAGCAACACAGGCACCTATACTGCCGGCCGTGCTAAGGAAAACCCCGTAAAAACCTTCAGGCGTTGCCAAATTTCCTTTCATAAAACGCGAATTTTCTGTTAAACTTAAGAATATTTTCCTCCCAATTTTTCAGATAACTTTGTTCGCAGTTTCATCTAAAGATTCTGAAATTTTAAAGGATAGATATTCATAACTTTCCTCAAAAATAAACATTTTATCGAAGTAAATTTGGCAACTCTCGAATGTTCATACGACGTTCTTCCTTAGCACGGCAGCATACGACACCGACACCCCTTGCCACTTTTCTTGGGTGGTCACAGATTACATTCAATGGCCAAAAGGCGAAACCTCGTATCTCCGTTTGCGACGTTGCATAATTCTTGGCATACTATATTTTCTCTTCAGAAAACTGGTCGACTTAATTTCTGGAAAACTTCCTTAATTTTCTACTCTATTAGCAGAATATTCCGAATAAATTTCAAGTTAAAACGTTGGCTAGTCTCTCTTTGAAAAAAATTAAATAGGAGCAGAGATTTTGAAGCACCGCAATGGAAATACGCGGTTTTGCACTTCAGCCGTATCGATATGGCACCCCTTTCTGCATGGTTTTTTGGCGTCGTTACGAATATTAGATACTTAACGAATCTGCGGGCTGATTATAGAAATTTTGACAGGTTTTCTACAGGAATTTGAATCCTACCGAAAATTTCAAATCGCATCAATCGAGAATTGCTCATAAGTTTCTCCATGGGCGGGGGTGAAAACTTCCCTTAGTTATCTTCAGTTTTGAAGATGAACAAATTTGAGTTCTTTTCGTCCATATAGACCGATTGTGAAAGCCCTGGTAAAAATTGGCGATAGGAGCTGCGTTTCAAAATACCATAGGAGTTCTTATAGCCGACTAAAGAAGGCTATTGAAAAGCATATAGCTGGCTGTAGAAAGCGGAGCAAATCATACAGCCATGCTATACGAAGCTATAAAAAATTATACAGTCGGACTATCGTTCCTATCGCCGGGCTTTACACTTTGTTGCCATTGGCTATAAACTATAAGAAATTGTGTAGAAATTCGTGTGCTTTGGAAATGATTAAGTTTGATACGGAACCACCTTAATATTTACTAAACACACATTATATTTTCCTTTAAAACATATTTTTTTTCATCAATTAAAATGAGATTAGTCCATACAGAGTGTGCAAACATTTCAAAATCATGAGTTGAAAAACGCTGACTGCGCGAGATTAAATATTACAGCCTAACACAAAGCGGAGCGGTGACGCACTGGCGCCTACAAACCTAACAGGGATACTTCACGTATTGCGCAATGCGTGAAGTATCTCTGTTAGGTTTGTGGGCGCCAATGCGCGTTTCGCGCCGCAGCGTGCCACGGCGTCTGAAGCAAATATTTCACACCAGAGGTATTGCACAGTATCATAAGAAATTGAAGGCGCTCGAACATATTAAGAATTACAGGCATCCTTCAAAAGTACGGAGCTTTCCTCGCAAAATAAATCAGGATACTACGGCACAAAAAGAGAACGGTAGTCCAAAAACTACCGAAGTCCTAGTATCCGTATTTAGTAACGTTCAGCATAAACTTTATCGTCTGGCTGTTGCTTAATCGCCATCGGCTATAAAAGGTTATAAGAAATTGTACAGCCGGCTACAGAAGCTATTGGAAATCTTACAGCCAGCTTTAGGTTTATAGTATTTTGGAACACACATTCTACTGCCAATTTTTACCGGGGAGTGCAGAAGTGCGTATCTCGATTTTTGACGGTTTTGAGTTAGGTAGCTTTATGAACATGTTGTTTAAAATGTCGTCTATCTGCCAGCAAGAGACTATAATCGAAAAAAATCGGTAAGTCTCTGAAACCGTAGAGCTTTTTTCGCGTATCTCGGGCTTAAGTGCAGAAACGAGATACGTGTTCTGAGAAGTTTCACCGTCGGAATAGACTTGAATGAGACATTAAAATAATATTTTTCGTCATATCTCCATACAAGACGAGTTATTTCAGTAAAATTTTCTTTTATCCCGGAATCTTTTTGGTTTTCAAAGTTAAACCAGTTTGGAGGCTGACAGTAATCCATTTACTGAGTTTCCTTTTTTTAGAATGGACCAGTAGACAAGGTACGAATTAAGCATTCTGATATACGTTTCTTAACCAGGATTTCACGTAAAACATGATTCTCGCATTGATAATTACTAAAGTCAACTCCAAACTGGACGTACTTCTGCCAAACGGAACCATGTACATTTAGACATGAGCCCTAAAACCCATAAGAATATATGCATAACAGGGCTCACGTCATAGGTAATGCACATGGTTTCGTTTGACAGAAATACGTCCAACTAAGATATTAGCGTTTTTGTTTTACGTTGGTTACAGGAAATTTGAATAGCCCGGTCACAAGAAACGCAATACTCTACGCATGCGTGAGTCAAAACTCGCACAACAACAGTTTTGGCAAGCCTCTCAATTGAGCAATTTTCCCTCCTCTCCATCTGTTGTTTAAAGTGTTAACAGCAAGCAACGGCTGAGCCAAAGTACCAAGATAGAGGTTGCCATAGTTTCAAACCGCAGAGACTGTTGCGGTAACATGGGAATCCTTTCTTTTGGCTGAAGCTTTTCAAGATCTCTCTGAATTTATCCCCTCTGCTTAACTTCTTTGCTTAATGTTCTTTCATTTCTTAAAGTGTCAATAATTCACTACTATCAGTCTCTCTGTCATCTAATTTGCTATAATTGCTGTCTTTTCTTCCACTATATTTGAACTTTGTAAATCTTGCTAGCCCTAGAAATGTCTGTGATGTTCTAAGTGTAATTACGTCTGACTATTAAAATAGCCCCTTTTGGTGGCTTTATGTATGCTTTGTAAAATAAAAATAAAGGTTTGGTGCGCGATTTGACAAGCGTTGACCATTGTGTTTTTATGAGTGGGAGTTTTGGATTCACACATCAAGAAACATTAAATATCTTGGTGGGAGTTAATTTCAGTAATTTTCTATGAGCAAATCATGTTCTGCAAGAAATTTATGTTAAAAAACATGCATGCTTAACTGCGGTCCACGGCTCATCAGTGTCAATTTTGAGAGCCTTGTTTTTTGGAATAACTCATACACTGAAACACGCTAAAAAATTTACGTCCTTGAAAGGAGGACTATTAAAATATAAATAAATTAACATGGAAATAACAATGAATACGCTTTTTAATAATTAACATATTTTTGATATAATATGTAAGAGTTCATATGTGCGTTATTTACAATCCCGTAAAACAAGTTACGCTAAAATTTGTTGAATATTAAATGGACACTGAATTATGAAAAGATCAACTTAGAGGGTACTAAAAAAACTAAAAGACTTAGAAAAGAACATTTTCAATGTTAAAACCTTGTTTGCATTCAAAATGCGGGTACCTTATAAATGCATCATAATAAAAAGCTTAACTATTACAGAGAATCAGGAAAAACTGGACGAAACAAAACTTGTAGAGCAAGATTTTGATTTGAAATCAATGATGCAAAAACAATTTGCTATTGGTGGATTGACTTAGTTTTTCACCGAATACAGCAAAAAGTCACTAAAAATACTCGGGAGTAAAACTTTGCTTTACAAGAAATTGTTGTGCCAGGTTTCCCTGGTAACTACTATCTCCGTAATCACTTCTTGAATAGAATCGGTAGGCAAATAGAACAATGATTCGAACAGACAGTTACAATACACGAAGGGAGAAAAAGAAAATAGAGATCTTCAAAAAACAATTATTCTAGAGTCAGAGTATACATACTTTTTTAGAGGCTCATTACAAAAACGAAGAAGACAAAATAAAAATAATAACAACAAAAATTTGGAGGCATCCAGGAGTTGCCTCCAGGAGAATCACTTTTTTACGGTGAATATTTTAATTAGGAGTTATTAGGCCAAACTTGAAATTAATACAGGTAGGCACAATATAACACTGACAGATGAATTAACAAAAACTCACAAAATTTTATCCAATTCCACCTCACTAGCAGACACAAAATTAAAGAAAGACAAAGAAATCTCTTCCATCTTCTTATTTTAAGATAATTAATTTACAGTTAACTGTGAAATGAGGCTGGATCTTCAAAAATGAGTTATGAGAGAGCTACTAATATGGCGCCCTGTCAAAAATAAAATTCCATGTGCCCTCAACTAAAAATATATTGTAAATAAACAAACTTGAAATTTATTTTGGGGGCCTAAATTTGTAGATTCAAATAAATTGCTTGGTTAAAAACGAATGATTACACAGGAGTCCAACGAAGTGCGAAACGTCCGATTTAATGTCTGAAACATCAAATCACAGCTTTAAATAATGCTCTGAAGGACGAGAAACAAATGCACCTGAATCAGAGGGTAAGTTGCAGAACAGAAATAGGAGAAAACATCAAGATAAAAATTAAATATAATTATCAATGTCTAAATATCAGAAAACTGCAAGGTCTAGTCCTTAAATCGACGAGGAAGTTGTGATTATAATATTGGTTACTGATGAAGCAGTAATAAGGAACTGTTAAGAAAAGTCTTAAAGACAATTCAATATCAGGAGAGCTCACTGAGATATCTTGACACACGCGTACAATCAAAACACATACACACGGACACACACAAAAAAGAAGTACACAAGAAAATGAAAACTTGAGGAAGGTCAGTCATCGGCAGCTAGGCCGTCACTGTAGCATTTTATCAGCCGAGGCCTTCGAGTGAAATGACGAGTTTTATATGTTCACTATTTATTCAAATGATCTATTGTATTTAATCCCTAACCAAGTCTTAAGCTTTTCACAATGATCCTATCAACGCAACAAAAGAGAAATTGGTTTTATATTTGACAAACTTCCAAAACTGTGAAAAATCCAAATAGAAATAGAAACTTCCCTAATAGTAGTGACTTCCACCTTTTCATAAAAGGGGGAAAAAAGGATAAAGTTGAGGAGGAATTAGCTTTAAAAAGGAACTGTTAATGTTTACAAATTTAAAGAGAACTCTTTTTCAATTCATTTTTACGAGTAAAAATAATTGAATTTTCCGTAATTTGTTTACAATTATTACATATTATTTTTCACATAACATAAACTATAATTTGCATTGAAATTTAGTGGATATTCAAGTACAAAATCATTTAACTTCACATGCAAATTTATGTAATTCTCTGATAAATTTTATGATACGTATACTGAGAAGGATACTACATATCTTCTTCATTTGAATATTTGGAAAAATTCACTTATACAAACCAATAAAAGTCTTCCGTTTTTGAAAAAAGAGTTTCTCAATTTGTAAAAACTTACAGTTTTTTTTTTTTAAAATGTAAAACTAAACTCCTCCTATATTTACTCCTCTTTTTTTTTAATTCTATGAGGAGTTTTTACAATTTCTTAATAAACAAGTACCGCCAGCAGGATTTTCTGTGCGTTCTATAATTTTAAGCTCCACGTATAAATGGGCACACTTACTGAAAGTCTTACGGAAGAGTTCATTGGCCATTTGAAAAATTAAAGAAAATAAAAAACATAGGTGACATTCATTTGTAAAGAGAGGAGAAAATTACAAAGGGTGATGAAAACCTTATGAGAACAATCACGCAGAATTAGTAATCCTGTTCATTCAGATTACAATTGAACAGATTTTAAAGTACACGTAGCGGTACAGTTAACAAATCCAACTAATGAGAGAGGACGATTAGTGTTCACAGGTTTCAAAAAAGTTCAATTTTTTGTCCACCCCTTTTAAATTGAATGGAGGCTCTTGTACTACTTTATAAAGTAACCTTAAAAATTCCAGGGACTATGCCTAGCAGATTGAAATCAGTCTTCCAACAGTTTTATAGATTCAAAATAGACTGCAGTCCAGTGCTTAGAGCATCCAGACAGAAATAAGAATTTTCCGCTTACAACTACAGTTAACACACTGACTACCACAATAGAAACTACCAATGCTGACTTAACGTTTCAATTTATCTCTCTTTTTTTTGTAGAAAAAGAGAAAAATCTGAAGGGCTAGCCATCTTCACAGCACACAAGATAAGATTCCTTTCTAGCCGTGGCGAAATTGAAGGCAAAAAATGCCATGGCAGTCAACATGTTAAATTCAATTAGATACACTCCTCAGCCAAAATCTTGCTGATTGTAGCTGCTTGCAAATCATGCAGAATAATCTAAACATTAGCGGAATCAACTGACATGAGAGCTTACTACAAATTAACAAACAGGTAGCATCTCACAAAAATCAAGAAGCAGAATTTGGGCCCTGAAAAACAGTCTGTAGTATGCTTTTTGATGAGAGACTTCCTTGGTTCATTACATAATTTCCAGTTGAATTCCAGTTCACTTGAGGCGCGCCTCAGCCTTACAAAAACTTTCCACTCATCATGTCTGACAATATAAAATGTATGACTATTCGAGGAAAAAGGGACCTCTGGGAACACACAGAGGAAGATTTACTGCGAGAGCAACTTTTAACGGGCCGTAATATTTGAGTTTTTAACCAGCAATAATAAGTAGTCCTCAGTTGAATTCATTTGTGTACCAAAAAAAAGCTTAGAGGTGCATTATGGGCGAACAACTTGGAGCTCTCGACATAACAGACTAAAATGTTAAATCGCTTTTTCACAAATTTAAGATTTTTTGCGAATAAATTCGAAGCATTGAACCCTAGTTTCGTTTAAAATATTTTAAGCAATTGTGTTCATGTAACACTCCTCTCTACAATGATATAATTAAACAAATTTTAGGTTCTTCACGTCTAAGGTCCCTCTTTCTGTGAACGATTTTGGAAGCTGAGAAAAGTCTGTCATTTGTTAAAGAAAAGAATTCAATTCATAACTCTCATCTAACGCTTAACTTTAGGTTTAAAAGCTTTGAAGTGAAGGAATATTTTTCATTCCTCAGCCTACATCGAGCTTAAGTCTTGATGTTTTCGAAGTAAAAATTGATTCCATTGGAACAGATCACAACAACAGTTTACGAACTGTCGTAAGTTTGCAAATCAAAAAAAGGTGATACTAGAATGTCGACTGTCTCGTCAAATCTTACTCTCTAATATAAAATCATAAGAGTAACGCATAACACCTGAGGCGCGATGCGTTTCAGGGGGTTGGACCGCAAAGCGGTCAGGAGGCATGGCCCCCTGGTACAGAAAAACAGGAAGATGAAGCAAAGTCAATAGGTTTCAATAACATATTAGTGACTAAGTCAGCAATGACTGACGGTGAATACTGACTAATCAGTTATTCAAATACACTTAACAAATAATTTTTTCCTTTAAACTAAAAAAACATTGACTAGAAATTGGCATTGAATCATAATTAGATAACACTTGTTCTACTCTAAGGGTTAAAATATCTAAATTTTATAAAATTTATTCAAAATTTAACAAGTATCTAAAGACTATAAATCAGTTTATAAATTAATTAAAAGACACAACTAACATGGTTTCATGATTTAAGCTTACTCTCAAAGGTTTTGCACAAGACAAGCAAGCGACACGATCTGACATTTCAAGTCTAAGAAATACTTGGGACAGGCATTGAAAATTCGAGGAAGCAAGTCGAGAGGGGATTGGCAGGCGATTAGTCTAGAAGTAAAATCGGAGGATTACGAGTCTCAATAAGACCTAAAGTTACGAATTTGTAGATAATTACATCACTTCCAGGGTTACCACAGAATTTAGAGAATTAATTGCCCTGACAATTCCTTAATTTCCCTGATAAATTTTGGTAAAATTCCCTGACAATTAAAGATTTGCCAAATGGTTAAAAAGACATGATTAGAAATAGTTTTCAGGCAAAATTTGTTGCTTGAAACGTCAAACCCATTTTTAGAAAGCAAGTAAAAACTTGACAATTTTCCCCTCACTATTTCGTCGTCTTCCCTGACATTTCCAGGTTTCCTTTTCAAGATTCCCTAACATTTCCCGGCATTCCCTGGCTGTGGCAACCCTGCAGTCCTCCCTAAGGTCTCTGTACAAAATTTATTTGATGACACAGCTATGATACTTGAGGAGGGCGATTGAAAGCGCTCCTTATTTTTGGATACGGCTCCATTTTATAAATTGGCTGTGATGCAGAGTAGAGACTCTTCATTTTTCGTGGACTTTCCAACAAAATATTGTCCACAACTAATTGCTCCTCCAAAAATTTACACTCTTTTGAATGGTGCGTAATATTGCAGTTCGAGCTTAGTTCGACAGAAACGCACCGCGTTATACTATGAAAAACTTAGTCTATTTATCCCCTTTGAAAGAACTATGAAATACTTGAACACTCTCTCGGAGAGCATGGGATTTTTTGAAAAATACTACCAAATGAAGTGAGAGATCGAAAATTTTGAAACTGAACATCAAATATTTGATTACAGAGAGAATTTTTCAAAAGGAGAGACAGAATACTGAAACCTAGCTTACTGTTCATCAAAATACCAGAGACATGACAAGTACTTGGCATTGAGAAACATATTAATTTTTGATGGAGAGGGTCTGATCAGCTTTGAATTCATGTCAGGCAAACAAATGACCGCTTCAACTAAAAATAAAATACTGATGTTATGAAGTTGGCGTAATATACTGAGAAAGGAACAAAATCAGGTTAGTTACGAGTCAAACTCAATAAAATTTGAATTTCATATTGATGGATCACAAGAACAGTCATTTAGAATGCCCATTAAGTAACACTAACGGTAAGGAGAAAGACTGAATTCCTCATATATTGGAGAGATACTTCACCTCAAGAAATGTTTAAAATGTATGGAACTTGTTGGGGCAACAGAATGGTTACAAAAACAACCTATCTAAAGGGCTTCTTTGAGAATGACATTAAAAGAAGAGGGAGGAAGGATGAGTAAAAGAAATGCACCCTCTACTGATGGAGCAGTAATTGTCAAAGAGTTGGACAGATTATGCGCCATGAATTGTAACAAAATTATGAGTTTTGATGGTAAAGGAGAAAAACTCAAAAAGTTAGCTGTATCTATTGTGTGCTACAGGCTCAGTGTCTGTGAAAATGGGCCAATTGAATCTCCTTATCAAGTCTAAACTCTGACATTTAGATTTCCTTCAAATGCAGGCTAAGTTAAACTTATCGGGACAAACCTAGATGAAATGAAAAATGTTACATACAAGCTATGCTAATACTGTCTGACGGAAGAAAATCTTTAAAAACCCGAGTTGATATAACTGGTTTGCGGAGGAATATCAATGAAGTAGTAATTACACCCCGGCCATTTATCAAACTATAGGGGGTTTGCAAGTAGAAAATCAATTTGTCTATCGATCTGAGAATGGATTGATCTTTGAAATACAACGTTAATGACAAAATATTTTGATAATAAAAAGGAAAATACTAGAGAAAAATATAAGTGCGCTTACAGTGGGATGCACTAAATCCTTAAAGGATGGGCATTAGAAGTGTGATTTGACTAGAGACTACCCTGAGGAAGTTCAGTGATGAGCGAAATAAGCGATAGTAAAGGGGACACATGATTGAGGGGACCTCATTCATGGGTGGATGTTTAGCACAAATTTTAGATACTTGAGAGAGAAAATCATCTCTGCTCGAAAAAGTATACCTTTTTGTATGGGAGTGATTTCTTTAGTCATAGACGGTTGTCTGATGCACATGTGCTGTCAGCCCAGAAAATATTGAATGTCACTAGCTAAAGTAAAAAATGCGTACCTCGATTGCTACATTTCAAAATCTCTGATCATGTTTCCTTTTTTTTTTTCAAAAATAACTTTAGTCTGCGGTACAAACAGTGGCAGCTGAGCGGAAGAGTCAGGTAAGTAGCTTGATTTGCATTGTGAGTAGATTTTGTAAAAATGTTTGAAAGATTTGGTATGGTGTGACAGGTTTATATAGTGATGTATGACAATACAAATGAAGGAATGACCCCTACTTGTGTATAGTGATGTAAAACTGGAATTGAAACAGGATTTTTTTTTTCCTCTGGTAAAACATGAATGATGCGAGAATTTTTGTTCTTTTGAGCACAGCACACAGGTTACCTCAGTAAAAGTTTGCTTTAATTCGACTTGATGTGGTCTGAGAGTGCAAGATTTTGAAGAATTTCCTTCAGCACAGAAGAGAAAGTACCTAGATTCACCACTGAGCACATCGAAAACCTCAGTTTCTTAAAATAACAAAACACAGCTTACTTTACCTGCAAGCTGATTATTGAAATTGATAGACGAAGCGATAGACAAAGTAATTGACAAAGAAGACAAAGGGTAAGCAAAATGGTGGACGAAGGAGGTATGTAATAGGCTAATGAATGGCAACCCACAAGAGATCTTATGAATAGTCTATCATGTTCCTCTTTGGTCTATTACAGCCACCCATTTCAACCAATAAGATCTCTCCATTTTGCCTTTGTATTTTTTGTTCATCGCTTTATCTATCAATTTCAATAATCAGCCCGCTGTTTAATAATTCAGGCTTTTAAAAAAAATGCTTAATCGAGCAGTATCCGTCTTTCACGCTTAAAAACTGTATACAATTATTTTCGATAAGTTTTCTCATGAGAGCAACCTGTTGAAAGTATATACTTCAAAGTTGGAGTATACCCTGAGTAGTAAAATTTTGATTTTCAGAAGTTTAAGTTTGTGCACGCCACAGAAAAACCGGTAGGAGAGGGCTGACAGAATTTAAAAGCACACGATTTTCATACAAAAATTCCCTGTTGACATGCCCGATGGTCGAATAAAAAATCAAACCTTTACTGAATTTATCATACAATTACAGAAACACAGATCATAAAAGTAAAAGAGTAAAATCCTACATTAATAATGTTGAAATGACTAGATTCAAATGCAAATTTGTTCGACTGTTATGCATCTTAACCATGATCTATTATGCTATCAGAATGAGGGAAGAGAGAAAAAGAAAGGGAAAATTTTTAGGAATAAATGGAGCCACAGCAACTTTTGAAATGAGTTAATTGCGAACAGTATAGAGTTACATTTTGATTTTAGCAGTTTGCAATTCAGTGGTGATGATAAAATTGGTTTAAGCGTCAAAGTATTCAGACATGATACCAAGAAATTCGACGATAGCCATATTTCAATATTATTTTACATGATGTTCCTTCCGACCTCCTGAGCAAAATGGGCTTTAAAAATCGTATGCACTTTTTTTGTGCCAATGTTGAGAAAAGCTGGGCTAAAAGAAACTTGTATGCAATAACAGATACCATGATTATAAATGAAATCAATCTTTGAATCTATTACTGTCAAATTGGGCCAGTTGTATCATGGAAAACAAAATTCACCTAACACATATTTTTTTGATGGATGAGCTAAAGCCTTCACATTCAAATGAACATCGTAAAAATGAACCAACAACGAAATATACACATAACAAAATACCCTTTCCATTTATGTTCCTTAACTTGTGTATAGTTGGCTACAACCTTTAAATTTTCGGTTACTTTTACTTTTGATCATTGCTCAAACAATGATATTCTTTTCAAACAATGACAAGATAACAGCATTTTCAGAATCAAATTGTGGATGCCCTAAGTAAAATCGAAAGAGTTTGGCAAAGAAAAACACAAAAGAAGAAAGCATTGAAGCAACTTGCGTTGCTGTGGCCGATACAAATCTTTTTAAAAAGTTTTGATTTATATTAAAGTTAACTTTGACACGCTCGTTAACGACAAATCTTGATTGAAAAAATATAAAACAAAGTAAAAAAAATAAATAAGTAAAAACAACAGCAAAAATCCAGGCTGTAATAGGATGCTGATAAATAGCAGTGGCTTATTTCTTATATTGTTGCTAAATGCCAAAGGTATCCACCATGTTATGTTTGGTTCAGCATAAATTGTTGATGACAACCTTAATACTGTAGCAGTAAGGACGAAAAAAACAGAGGAAAAAGTAGTGTCTGACACGGCGGATACAGCCAAAAATTGGCCAAAATCGAATTGCAATGGATTCTGGGGGATCTACTTTTGAAGCTTTGATCCCATAAAAATCATACTTTAATACTGTAAAGCTGCCTTTAAGCTCCCAACTGAACTGTGCGCGTTAAGTAATTAAAAAGTTTCTACGGACAAAGAAAGTCTTTAAATGAAACTTGAACAATGAGCAACAAAAAAAAGAAAAACAAATAAAAATTAAGTAAAGATAAATGGTCGTTTGAGTCAGAACCTGACATTTCATTGTGCATAGACTTAGACAGCGAAGCACTTACTTTTGGTTGAATTAAAGGAGGCTATTCCAAGAGTGCACTAGAAAAATTTAACGGCTTTAACTTTTTCTAGTACGGTGTAGATTTTTCTTAACTTAGATCAACAGTTCCAACTTTTAGAAGGTCCAACGACTGACGATCAAGCCTAGAAAACAAAGCTTAATCAAAGTTAAGCCGTTGGACATAACTATTTCAAGCCTATCGCCAAGTTCTACGAAAAGACAACAAACGTACAAAACAGCTGAGATAGAACATTAGAGCTTAGGCTGCTAACTATACAGCTAATAATACAATAATTTGTACTGCTGTATTGAAAGAAAGTTTATGATACATTAGCAGGTAGAATATGCGAGCTTATTTTACAAATGATTCCGGTTGGATTATAGAAAAGTCTTCCCCAACTAGGAGCGAATGATTCCCTAAAAATGAGAAATTACAAGGCAGAGGTCCTTTTGTAGAAGGCTGTTGCTCCTGACTTGGCAAGACGAAAAGAGCAAAGCAACGGAGTTGCTGATCGGCTGGTTGGATTGCATTTTTTAACAATGTTCGCTGGGTGAGGAAACGCCTTAATTTAAGTTATCAGATACCCTAAAACCTCACAGAAGTTTAAAAGTCATAGAGGCATTGATAAATTGGCTCAATTTAAAAACTAAATCAAAGTTTTATGTCTGGTTCCTACCGTTCATCTCGCTTAGAAACCTGTTATATTAGGCTAGTCTCCAGTGAATAGATACGTCAACAATCATCTTAATAAATTCATTCTGATAAAGCAGAATGCAGTATTTTGCATTCAATTCTTATTTTCTTTAAATAGACAACTCTGATGCATCTTTTCGCAGAATAAACCTGCTTTTCTTTGAAGAGAACAGAGACAGTACTTCAAGGTAACACTTTAATAGTATGACCGTTCTTCTGAAGATTCGTCTTGAGCAAGCTTTGAGGCACGAAAGTAATTTCAGCGATTTGCTAAAAAATGCTCTCCATCATACCGCACGAGGAGACTTCTTCAATTGCGGCTAACGAGCCTAAAAAAGAGACAACTGACCGACCATTTGCTTAATCATTGAATGTTTACACTTACGTCTCTGAGAGACGCTTGAATTTTAGGCATATGACGCCTAGACAATTAATCCTTACAGATAATTTGATTATTAGTGCCATGTTTAGCAGAGTCGTAACTGCATTCCAGATTTCATCTTTTCTCACCTAAATATTCAACAGCACGAAAACGAACAAACTTTACTTCTAGGTTTGCCTTAATGAAGCAAAGTAATGATACAAATTTTAATTACATAGGTGTAGAGGTCTCATCAAAACCGAACACCTTGATGAACGAAAAATGTTCGACGGCCAGAATGGAGTTACAACACTTCAGCTGAAAACTGCAGATAATGACAGCAGTATTGTCTACGATTTTTAGGTTGCGCAATTTTTTTCATCAGCATTGAATGGAATTTCCTGCCTGACTTGCACCTAAACTGCACTTACGTAGTTGGTGCCATGTTCGCGATCGGAGACACAAAAGTTTTCAGTCTATCTATAGGTACCAATGGAGGAATGACAAATTAGAATACTGCTTTTGAAAATGTTTGCTATGCCGCGCTAAATATGAGGTAAGATGTGATCAGCTGTTTTTTTTAGAATGACAACTGCTAGTCTGTTGAAATAGTTACTTGGAAAATTCAGGATGGAAACGTCCAGGATCGAAGTCGGGGTTGACGAAAGAGAACCCTCGGAACTCGTCTTGGTTGATCGAGATGAGCACTTCTTGTTTCACTGGGGTTAATGTGGGCTCCTCTTTGGTGAATTCAGAATCAAAGTTTAGCACGTCTTTCTTACTTTTCTGAAAGTTAAACAAATTGTTACGATTAACTTCTAGTGCAAAAGAAACAAGAGTGTGACGTAATTTTAAAAATGGACTGCCGGACAGGGTAAAATACTCACTGGGTGCTACCACGATACACGTTTCAGAGTATCTACAGACCTAGGAGATAAAATTTTGAGACTTCCAGGCTTTCGCGGATCAAAATGATGAAAATTCCCTGATCTTTAGACCTGTGCGATTAATCAAACGTTAATCGTAATCGCAATTAATTTTTTTCATCGTAATCATTATCAGTTTGAGAAATTAATTGTGATTGACTCGATTAATTTGACTTGACGAAATGTCCAGTTTCGCGCCGCATTTTGAATTTGAAATTTCTGCCACTTGTTTGAATTTGCTTCACGTCTACGGTAGCATGCTGCTAACCCCTAGCGGTAAAAACTCGCACTGAAAAAAAATGGTGAAATCCCTGCGAAAATATCCCCATCGGGCTTGTGCCGCGATTTCACGTCGATGATAAAGGTTCTTCGAATACTTTTGATTAAAGAGGTTGGCAGGGCATCAAATAAAAAACAAAATTAAATAGTTGGCGAGTTCATGGTCACGAAAACCAAAAAATAACTTCGTTTTTGTCACAAAAAAGAAGAAGAAAAAAAAAATTATCGCGCTCTGTTTAACTTTTTCGGTTTTTTCCCGATTAGGATTTGAATCGTAATCACAATTAAAATCAAATTGAAAAATCCATAATCGCACAGGTCTACTGATTTTTTAAACTGTCAATTTTAACGCATGAAACTGAAAATAAACAGGGTGTGGCATTAACTTTATTTCGCTAGAAATGGGATAGAATAGAAGCTCCGAATAGAAAATTATGAACTTTTCACCTTCCTTCTTCAGGTAGGTAAGTGCTCAGTTAATTAAAATTGAAATTCCTTGCAGAAATTTATTTTTCTGCTCATTTTCCAGGCAGTATTGCAGAGCACTGAGCCTCAAATCAGACTGAGGATACGTTTGAGAGTATAATGATTTATGATTTCAAATTCCAAGATTTGTTAATTCTCCTGTTGTTTTCATGAAATTCCTAGACTTTTCCCTGATTACCTTAACTTAATAAAATTCCCCGACAATACCTGGTTTTTCAGACCTGTAGACACGCTGCATTATCCTACGTAGTAATTTCATGTGAATTGTACATAGTGTTTCATGTGTGAAAAAGTCTACGTGCGGAATAGAAAGAAATTCGGCACAGGCTTTTTTTGTGTGACATTATGACATTCCTTATGGCCTTCTGAGCACGATTAGCTCTTAAAATCAAACTTAGTAGCCATATGCAACATCATGTAAAAAATATCGAAATTTAGCCGGCGCCAAATTTCTTAGTATTCTGTGGGTAGTCCTTTCTAAATGCAACTTCTGAAATTTCCTTTGAATTGTGGTAATCATGCACATCCATGAAAGCCCTCTGATCAAGGATAAAAACAAAAACAAAAAACTTGCAAACTTGATTGCTCTCTCGGGAGCCTTCAACAATATAATACCTTTGTGATGATTGTACGTTAAGAAACGTTATTTCTTGATCTATCACATAGAAAACTTATAAAGTTAATAAAACCTTGACTTGGTGAGAAGCTGGATGTTTTAGTGCATACAGGAAGACACACTTCTTTTTTTAGTAAAATGATCGAAATTTTTATAAAACGCTTCCTTTCATCTTAAAATCTTTGCAACAAAAGTAAAACCAGCGAAATCTTTAAGTCCCAACAATGAGTCGTCGAAAAATTGCGGTAAAAGTTATCAACTATGATATAGCAAAGAATAATAGCTACCAGAAAATTAACTATTAGCTTCTCCTGTAAGAGCACGTATGGTCACTTTTGAGAAGTGGATTTGGGACCATTCCCTTGTAAAATTACAAACGGCAGAGGTAGAAAAAAGATGCACCGTGAAAGAATATTAAACTTACAATTTTTGGCTTGAATGGAGGTTTAACGTTTCTATTTTCTAGAGCCTCCCAATCAACATCTTTGAAAAATGGATGATTTCTAATGGCAGCATCACCTCCTTCAGATGCGACACAACCGAGACGCTTAGCTGGATTCTTTGTCATAAACTGAACAAAAAAACAGAAATGGCATTCAAGTTAATGACAGCACAAGTCAAAAAGAGTCGAGGACTTCAAAATTTTGAAAGACCTAAAAATTCAGGCCGGTTAGAATTCAGGATAGAATTTCTGCTATTCCACCACTGTGCCATTTGAGATCTTACTGCCAGAGGACAGCTTTTAAAGAATTAGATTATTAATAACTGATATCTGATCATTGATAAGCGTTACGAATACTTAAAAATTGTTATTTTTCTCATTAAACTTAGAGAGGCCTGCTCCTTAAAATGGTAGAAGGGAAAAAATGATGTACGGCATAAAAGTTTCATTAGAGCCAAAAGAATAAATTCTTATAGTATCTGCATTTCTAATCAGGTCATCTTTTATCTAGAAAAGGCGATCCAAAAAATAAGAAAGAATCTTTAGCCATTAAGTAGATAACATTTCATTGCAACACAGAGAGTGTAGAAGGTTAGAGGCCCGACTGGATAAGGAAGAATTGAAACAGAAAAGAAGCCGTAAGCAAAAAGTTGCGTACGTTAGTGCGAAAGTGTGCGGCAAGCGGGATTCCCCATACTACTGCACTCATTAGCTAAGCAACAGTTGCAGACAGACGATGTATGAAAAATTGCCTGCAAGGAGGTGGTCCGACAGCACCATACCTGCCACTAGTCACTGGAAAACAATAGAAAATAGTAGTTGCGTATGTTGCCAGCGAGCAAGGGCCTCTGTTTCAATATCTTGGCATTAAGTCAGGCCTCTGACCTTCCATACTCTCTGTTGCAACACCCTTTGAGATCAAGACCGTTCAGTTATGATCCAAATAAGTAGTAAATGAGTTACATACCCCTTTAAGAATTGAAATGGCTTCCTTGGACAACCACACTGGGTACAGAACATCATCACGAAGGATTGAATCGAATAAATCATCCTCATTATCAGCTTCAAATGGCGGTTGGCCTGCCATCATTTCATACATGAGGACACCCAACGCCCACCAGTCCACGCTCGGTCCATATTCGAGTTCTTGCAATATCTGAACAAAAATAAATGAAAAATTGTTAGAAGACAATCTTTAGTCAATAAAGATTTCAAGGTTGTTGAAAATTCTTAACTGAGTCAGAACTCTTTGCATTGAGGACTTAGGTGTGAAAAAAATACTTCTCAGTTTCAGTGCTACGAAATTCCTTTCACCTTTATAAGTACTTTTCTCAAAAGTAAAATACAGTACCTATGACGGGAAATCTGCAATACTTCAAACTGTGGTTTGCATTTCTGTAGTTTCACTGTCAATATGAATCACTCCAAATTATTTAAATCAGTATTGTAAATTGTTGTAAGATATGGTGTCACTGTGTCAGTCATTTTCGATGGAATTTTGAATTCTGCTGATTTTTCTATGGATTAATAAAACAATAGGCAACCAGCCAAGATCTGCAGTGGAAGAAATTGTCAAATTTATCCTCTTCAAAATCTTAAGTAGAGAACTTTTCACATACATGGGAAGTTCGAAAACCAACTCCTGAACAAAATATTAACAAGTGTTTCCAACACAGATCAAATGGAAGTTGGATCATACAAATGAGACGTCATTTACATGTTTGCTATTTAACAACTATTAATTGTGAACATCTGTATCTTGTTTAGGAGGTGATTCCCCGGGCTCTAGTTGTACAATTCGTTGTCGTCATGAAGTTTTGATGAAGAAACATGTTATGTGGTACTTTAACTCATACCTTGTCATACCTTGGCCCATAAAATCAATTTTTCTTTTTTTTGTTTATGTGCACTGACAGGTTCATTTATCATGCAAACCAGTTGAAAATTAGAGACAAATTATTTGAAAGTCACCCATTTAGGTATCTATGACAGAGAATCATGAGAGAAGGAACCATTGAAGCCAACGAAAAGAGCTAAACTCACTTCAGGAGCTATGTAATCGGGCGTTCCGCAAAATGTGGTTGTTAAAACGCCATTACAGATGCCTTCTTTGCACATTCCAAAATCAGCTAGCTTACAATGACCCTCGTTATCCAGTAAAATGTTGTCTAATTTCAGATCCCTGTGAAAAATCAAAATACAGAATGGTATAAAATAGAAGCAACATGTGAGAGACTCTTTAAAGCCTGGTCAAAGATTAGGAACTAGTGATTCAAAATTTGGCTATGTACTAACAAAAAAAGAAAAAAAAAATTGCACGAGAAGATTTGGACTTATATTTGGGCAGAGGGCACAGCCAAGTAAACAGACTATCTTCAAATAAAAAGTTGCTGAAAACTCGTGATGAGCACATCAGAGAAGTCTGAAATCCGCTGCATAGCAAACAATTTAAATAGCTTGTATCTCTCTTTATCAAATTTCCTGCGTCTACAGGTAGTTTTTCTTAGTGGCAAACAATCAAATTTGCCCAGAGAGACATGTGAGAAGACTTAATCTAATGTAAATAAACCAATAATCTTGCAAATTGCTACAAACTTTCCTTGTTTCGAATTTTTTCATTGAATTAAAGCTACTGTTTTTGCGACACAAAGTAATGGAAAAAGATACAAATGCTTGAAAACGATTGAAATCATACTTGATGAGAAGTTTGCAAGACCATTGTTTATTTAGGTTACCTTTGCTTGCGTCTCTCTCTGGGAAAACTTGATTTTCAGCCACTAAAAAAACTGCCCGCAAACACAGACAATTCGAAACATCTTAAAAACTATACAGATTACGCACAAAGGAGTTTATTTCAAACTTTTTTGATGAGCCCTTTGTGCTATTTACACAATGAACCACTAGACAAGGTACGAATTTCAGCATTCTGATAAATGCTTCTTAACCAAAATTTCAAGTAGAACACAATGCGCACAACGAAAATTACCAAAATCAATTCCTTACGAAGATATTCAATAATTTTTGATTCGTGAATTCAAACCACCCACTCATGAAAACTCAATGCTCTACGTGATTCACATCGCACGCTAAACGTTTATCATAACAGTCTCTGCGATATAAAAATCTGGCAACCTCAATCTTGACGCTTTGGCTCAGCTATAGCAAATTGCTTATAGTTTGAAAAACACATGGTGGGAAATGAACATTGCTTGATTGAGAAGATTGCTGAAATCGTTGTAGTGCGCGATTTGACTCAAGTAGAGCTTTGAGTTTCTTGTGAGCGGGCAGATCAAATTCCTTGTAACCAATGTGAAATAAAAACGTTAATATCTTCGTTAGGAATTGGTTTCAGTCATTTTCATTGCGTGAATCGTTTTCTGCGTGAAATTTTGGTTAAGGAACATGTGTCAGAATCCTTTATTCCGTACCTTGTCTAGTGGTTCATTGTACCTGATTGTTCACAAGGCTGTATCTCTCACAAGAAACAGACTCTTTGAAGGGTTTGCTTCTAATTTGAAGTTAGACAGAATAAATTCTTACCTGTAAATTACGCCATGACCATGTAAAAATTGTAAAGCTAAGGTAACTTCTGCTGCGTAAAACCGAGCTCGAGGTTCATCAAACTTGCGGGCCCGTTGAATTTGAAACATTAAATCACCACCATTGACATATTCCATAACGAAAAACAGCCGATCCTGAGAAGAAAAATTAGAGCATGTAAAAAAGGGGAAATGAGGGATTTTTAGTTCCTTATTTTTGAGCTGTGAAAATCACCATGATTACCATTCCTAGAAATAGAAACTTAGAAGAAAAAGGACAATTTTGCAGGAGAGCGATTATGACCCTCCAGTAATTAGAAGGTTTTGAAAGCCTTGAGTCTGCTTTAAACTCGATTTTAGGCCAGAGCAGCAGACCGATTATTGAAAAAAATAGACAAAGCTTTAGACAAAGAAGACAAAAGGGATATGGAGGGATTCTATAGGTGGAAGCGGGTGGGCAATGGACAAAGTAGATCTAGTGGACTTGCTAATGGCATCCCACTAAAGACCCTTTAGTTAGTCAATAATTTCCTCCCTTAGCCTATGGGAACCACCCATTTCAACAAATAGGACTGTTCCTTACTCCCCGTGTCTTCTTTGACTATCTTTGACTTAACTTTGTCTATAGCATTATCCACAGATGTCAATAATCAGCCCACAGACGCTATGTTGTATTTCTGACAAAACTTTATGGAGGTTTGTTTAAATTGCAAATCATGTGCTCGGGAGGGGATTCAACAAGTAAATTCTTTAGAAGAGCTTTCAAGACTCAAAAGATCCTTTTTTCAAATGGATATCTTGGAGCAAATTGATGGTGGGCGGCTAGCTATAAAATAAATAAAACCTACCTCTGTTTGAAAACAAGAATGGAGGGCAGTCAGGAACGGATGATTGGCAGCTAATGCCAAAATACGTTTTTCAGTCATGGTACAATCTACATCTTCATCTTGAATTATCACATCTTTCTTTAGCACCTGTAACAGAAAAATAAGATGAAAATTTCAATAAGATTTGCCATTCAACATTCTGGACAACAGAACTTACTCAAAATAGGTATACTTTCAAAACATCAGAAATGTGAACATAAAAATTCCTGAATATGTATGTATTGATGTGTTTCTCACATTTTCCAGTAATTGTTCACAGACTTTAGTATGTTTTCACAAATGTTTAGAAAAACTTAACAGCACAGAGAAAGAGCCGCTGATGTCTCACATTGATTAAGTGAGAGGATGTAAAATAAAGGCAATTAACATGAATACAATTGGTTGAAACTTACCTTAACAGCAAATACTTCTCCACTAGTTTTCTTCTCTGCTAGCATTACTTTGCCAAAACTACCTTTACCGAGAACTTTTAGGAAATGGAAGTCTTCCAAGCCAAATTTCTTTTCCCTATCTCTGTCTGGACCTTTACCTGAAAGTTATTAGGAAAAACAAGAGATAAAATAAGACATAAAACACTTGTTTCAATTTACAGCTACAGATAATGAAGAGAACTTTACATTTGGACGTATTTCTGCCAAACGGAACAAGAGATAGAAGGGAAAGAAGGGGTGTGGTCGTTAGTCCAGGGACATGAGAATGAATGGGAATTGTGTGACGTCAGCAGCACTGAAGACATCTTTGTTGTTGCCCTTGGTTGGCATTAACTCATGAGCCCTGTTCAAAACGCTCTTTTCCATGCCCATGGCTCATGAGTGCAGCATTCAGTTGGCATACAGTTCCATTTGACAGAATGTGCAATCTCACTTTTCCAAGTCTCTAAAGGGAGTCATGTACAATTGAACATTGTTTCTTATGTAGCTTTCTAGAGCACACCCCATCTTTCTCACTCATCTTTCGTTCCGTTTGGCAAAAATACGTCCACTTCACGATAAAAGCTACTTTCTACAGCAATGATGTCGATTTGATGTCATCGAATTCAGTGGAGGTTTCTAATTTAAATGCTCTAAAAATAAGATTTCTACACAAGTCCAACTTTCGCCTTTTCCTTAGCTGTCGTGTAATAAGAACAAAGTAAAAAAATTCTACTCCAGTCAAATTATTGACCCAGCCTAAAAAGGCTACAACTGCCTGTGGTTATGGTGGGTATTTTTCATTTTTTTTCAATTTTACCCCCAATAGAAAAGTCCGCAGGTAGCTTGAAACTCTGGGTCTACGGAGACAAAAGTTTAGTCAGTAAACAGATTATGGAGAACTGCACAAGGAAAAGTTCAAAACCAACATGAATACCTACGTGAACGTAAATTGATATCAAGTTTGAGGACGCGTTTTGCTGGTTCTACTCTTTGACATCCTCAGAGCCACTGTTTGAGTCCTGTTGAGGATGCTGGAGAGTCGAGCCAGGAAAATGCATCCACAATATCAATATCAATTTGCACGCAAATGAGTATTTACATTATTTATTTATTCATTTCGTTGTACACATAGACATCCCAGATAGGGCTTGTACAGGATCTCTCATAAATCATAGGAAATAACAATAGAATATAACAATAAATTGAAAATGTTGATGGAGACCTATTTCAGAATCCACCTGGTGAATAAATTACTTGGACAATCAAATGTTTTGGAACTGACTTGCAAAAAACTTTGCAGTTAGCTGTTTCTTTGATTTCCTTTGGTAATTTCTTGAAATTTTTTTGACCTTCTGCCATAATGGAATTCTTTTTGCTTTCTTTTCTGCCTATTTTTCTCACTTCTTCTATGTTCCTGGCATTATAATTGGACGTATTTCTATCAAACGGAACTAAGCGCCAATTTGAGTTCCTTTTGAGGAATTTAGAATGTCAGATAGCACGTTCTGTCAAACAGACCTAAGCGCCATGGAAAAGCATTGCGAGTGTAGGACGGAATAAGCCGGACATCAGATTCCGCCACCAATCCAAGCCCCCCTCTACCTTTCTCATCCTATGGCGTTTAGGTCCGTTTGATAGAAATACGTCCAATTGTGCACGTCTTTATTTTTTAATAACATATCTTTACTGTTAAAATACTTCATTATTAAACTCAAAAATGTGAAAACTGGGATCATTATAAGATTGTATCCTTAAAAATGTCTGCTCACGATGCATCTTCACCCAGTTTATGCATGATTCTATTTGAACAGGAGAAAATCTGTTTAGATTGCTAGGATCATCAACATCTGAGCGATTATCCTCGATCTTGTTGCAATAAAATCGCGGTATTATCGCCCGGCAAATTATCACGATATTATCAAAACATAAATCGCGATATATGGCGATTTAATCTAGATTTTATGGAAAAAAATTGATCACAATTTTATCGAACAAAAAATTGCGATACATATAAATTTAATTGCCATAAATCGCAATTTTTTATTCGATAATATCGCAATAAATTGTCACCGATATAATCCTGATAAAATCTCTATTTTTTCGATCACTGCTTCTTGGGTTAGTGACATGATTTGTAAAAAAAAATTAGGAAATAAAAATCGATGTGAGTTTTCTTTACCTCGGTCTGAATCACCTTTCTTCTTATCGTCGGAAGGCTTCAATGGTTCAGAATCACTACCTGCCTCACCATCGCCCGAAGCAGCTGAGCTTGATGATCCTACAGGAACAGCTCCGGCGCCTGCAGGTCCACTTGCCCCTCCCTGGAAGTTCAGGGCAGAAGTATTCGCCACTCCGCCACCACCGGAGACCTAGGGGCAGAAAAAAAGGAGATGAATTGTAAGTAATAAATATTTACAGCAGGAAGCGCATCAAATTTAGAATTTAAGGAGTAATGGACCTCTGGAAAAGGTGCTAATTTAAGTATCGAAAAACATTTTCTCATCAAAATTTCAAGTAAAATGCTATTTTTATACAATTATTTTTCTAACTGAGACTCAGTTTGATTGTGAGGATATTGCTGATCTTTAACAGAGTTCAAGTTTCAAGATTTTTCTAATTTCCGGTCTTTTTCATAAATTCCCTAACTTTTCTCTTCTTTCTCTGACCTGATGAATAACTCTTACAATACCTGGTTTTTAAGAACTCTTGTCACCCCAGTGGGATGCACTGATTAAGTAATTTTCTAAAATCAGATTTATGGTACTTTCTTGGAAAAACAAAACACTTTACCTTTAAAACTCCAAGATTAGACAAGGCTTCAGCCAGCTCTTTAGAATTTATACCACAGTTATTTGCTACGTTTTTTTGACATCGTCGGTGAACGTTAAATTTACAAACTGAAAAATAAAAAAAACGACAATGTTAGCAATACTAATAATATTAAAAGAAAATTCTACAATCAAATATATCTCTCTGGAAAATCTGTTCTTTGCAAAACAGCGATGTTGATGAGCTTCCTTGAAAAAACAATGAATATTGACACACATGAAGCTCAAGACTTTTAGTGCACGGGAAATTGAGCAATTGAGATCATTGATATTGGAAATTGAGATCATTTTGAACCTGAAGAAGCAAAAAACTTCTAACCTTCAAAAGTTCATTAACCAAGACTCCTACTACTAGGAAGAAAATAAACCTTAAAATACAACATGAGGAGGTTCAAAAATATTTTACATTTTTTCTCCTAGGTGATTTATGGTTATGGTTTATTTTTTATCAACGACCAACTCATCATTTCAACTTAGCATATGGTACCTACAGGTACATGAGAGATAGCATTACCTGTACACTGAAGTCCTTGCTTATAAAATCCGTAGAGCAACGAACCACAATGATCACAAAATGTTAGCAGCTTGTAGGTATGACTTTCAAACATGTGTGGAACATTAACGCCAAATCTCTGGGAGGAGGCCGCTGATTGAGAAGACTGAAAAATTACCCAAATTATAAAATAAAGGTAAAAATGATAAAAAGCAATCAAATTTGATCGAATGATCCAAAAACCTAGAGATGGCCATAATGGGGCAGTAGCAAGGAATTTTTGCAGGGTTTTGTCGTGTCGTTTATCGGGTGAAAAAATTTGTTACAAAACGAAAAAGTCTATTAAAAAGTTCAAGAGAGCATTTCTAAGGGGAGAAAAAGCTTTCTATGTGCGTCTCTATAAATGATAGACTCTGAACGCCAAAATTTCGTATTTCAAGGAAGTAAAATGAAAACTGATGATTTCATCATAATATTTCACTGACAGGAACTGTGCTTAAAAGTGCAAGAAATTGTGTTACACGAAATTAGATGACAAAAATAAAAAGATAACTTAGGCATGGAAAATAAAGCACAAAAACAGAACAAAAAAGTAAGAGTTTACATAAAAAAAGTGAAAATAGAGATCCAGCACCTCCGACACCAGTGAAAATAATAGCCCCAAGTTAATTATCTTTAAAACTCTTCTAACCTTAAGGACAGGGGGTTCTGGTAATTGCCTATGGAGTGATTTTCGCCCTCCAATTATCTTCGGGGTCTTGGGAAAAAATCAAAAAAACAAAAATGAAATGAAACAAACAGAGGCACAAACCAAAGAAACGGTGAACAGGCAAAAATGAAAAATAAAACAACTGAACAGGAAGCTTTAAAATCAAAGGAGCAATTTTTTAACCTCTCGGTTCGTTTTTTTTAAACAGGAGCTGAGAGTATTGACAAGATACAAAATCTATGGAGTAATTAGACTTTAGACGCCATGTTGAAATAAATAAATACTGACACTATGAGGTATGACCTGTGGAGGTTATGAACAGAATTATTCTTAATATCTGTTCCATCCAAAAGATCACATTTTTGGTTGTAAAAGTATGCATTTTATTAAAATGAAGAATGCTTTGACATGGAATCTGTTTGCGCTTGCCTCGAGGATTGCTTGATTAACTAAAGTGCGTTCCACTATTATCATGTTTTTCTTTTCTTCTTTTTTTTCCAACTTAGAAGATAAGACAGAGTTTACAGGGGACCGAAATTAAGTGGAAAATACAGCGTGGACTGAACACAAGAATTCCCTTGGTCTCTAAATCTAACAATTCTTGGAGAAGATATGATAAAATGACCTAATCTGCTAAAATACATGTGTTAGATGGGAGATGCTGTCTAATGACGTTGCAAGGGGGTACATTTTCTCAATTTTAAATCTATTTTTCTTTAATTCTCCATGACATGAAAAATTATGAAAAATAATGCAAGCGTAGCTCACAAACAACGGAAACTTCCCAAGCTGCCGCCTCCGATCGGGCTGAGAAAATTTGTACTAACTCTTCGGATGAATCCATTGGACCCGTGCGTAGCAGCACTCTTCCTACATCGGGCGGTGGCTCTGCGGTAGAGCGCTTGCCTCATAAGCGGGCGGTCCCGGGTTCGGTCCCCGGACAAGGTGACTACTTTTTACTATCAAATTTTATATTGTTACACATTTTCAGCAACAGCACTTCACATCAAATCACATTTAAGACGTTGGAACTTAAAACATCAATTCCATCACCAAAAACAAATTAATAAATGATCAATAACTTCTTCAATTAGAATTTTTTCAGCCCTATTGGAGGCGGCAGCTTGGGAAGTTCCCCTTGTAAGGACATCCAATACAAGTATGTTGTGCAAATTCTCTATTGCTTGAATAAGATTTTTTCTCAAACCATTCTCAAAGTAGTTCATGCAATGGCCCATGTAATGAAAAAAGGCAGAGTCGAGTGATCAAAATAGTCCTTCAATCTATTGGACTAAGGGTCTGCAACACAAGCAACTTCCCTAAACAGAGAGATTCTGAGTAAAATTGTAACATTTCAGAACTTTCGAACTGAAAACTATTTTCAACCTTGATTTGCTACATTCTCTTTCAAACTCTTCCATTAATATGCCTGAAACACCTGTGATGAATGCTATTGACGAGTCTTTGTGCAAAAGACGTGAGTTCAAATGTATAGACCATATTTCAAAAGGAATATTGACACACAAAAAGCCATTACTGAAAAAAAAATAAATAAATAATAAAAATGAGAGGAAAGATGGAAAAGTAGAACAGAGAAATTCTCATTGCGCACAAATAAAAAGTTCAGAGATTACTTCATACCTCATCTTTCATTCCTGGACACTTGGTTAGGACAGACTCATGACAACGTTTGTGAGTTACTAGAGTACAAACTGTAAAAGAGAAAAACATTGAATTGGCACCCTATTTTGAATCTAAGTGTAGTGTGCGGTGAATCTTCAGCATAAAAAAAAATCACCATGTTGCACTGCTGAAATCTAGCTCCAAAATAAGCGATTATTTTGAAAACACATAAGATTCAAGATATTCTAAGACTCATAAGTTCTAGTAGCACAAGTCTAAAATAAGTAAAAATAAAAACGAGATTTGTAAAATCAATAGTAAAATCTTGAAAATTTATCCCAGTTCCGTTTTTGGAATACCTATCAAAGCGAGAGAGATGGATTGCTGTGTAAAAGGGATATCTGCAACTGCTGAGAGTGATTACTATGTGTTGGTCCTATCAGGGTTATTTCACCTGACCCTATTTTTATTTTGAGATCAAGTTTCAGATCTTTAGAAATCATACATTTTATTCATTATGATCTTGATGGGAAGAAAAATGTTTTAGCTACAATTTATGACATTTCAATTTTGGAAGAACTCTTCTTAATTCTCGCACCAACTTGAGAACTCATGGTACGCTGTAAAAAACTCTATCAATATAATCAAAAAAAATCATAACTTGGCAGTGCTGGCCCTTGCATGGAGAAATCGCTCACTACAAATCGCTGAAGATTCATCCGAAGAACATTTTGAAACAAGATGTTGGCTGAGGTCTTATTCAATTTGTTTTTATTTGTTTCATACGATAATCTTTTTTTCAAGCCATCCTTCAAAAAACTAAATGCAATCGTTCATTTATGTCTCAGGAAAGTACCAAGGTAGGTAAATAACACAGATACTGCTGTCTTGAATATGAGTCTGAGGATTCAATTTCAGAGTTACCTCCAATGAGCAAAAAATCGGATGAAAAAGAGCAGTAAAAAATTCAGGATGAGTTCTGGAAGATATAAAAAGTACTAAGTGATAAGCCCAAGTATAATTTTCTGACAGAAAAATGCGAGTTGAATGAAAAAGCCACTTCACATTTGATATTTGCTTTCTATCATTGCAGTATTGTATTTTGGGACTTTTGTTTTATTGATATGGAAAAAGAAGTGGTCAAAAATCTAGAGGAAAAATATTCTTCTTGATTTTCTTGGGTACCTAAGTAAAATTATTTGCTGATAGTTAGTATTTTTTTTTCTTCTTTGAATTTAAAAATTTATACCTAATTATCATGGAAATTGATTCTGAGATCATGGTTTATTGAATATTCATAAAAAATTCAAAATGACAATGTGAATTGGACTCACCTTGGCACTGGTAACCTTGTTTACCTATACCCCTGTGAAAAATGAAACAGACAAAAAATTAGAAACATAAAGACAGAAAATGGTTATATTTACGATAAAAATTGTTGAAATAACAGCAGTTACCAGCTTTTAACTTGTTCACTGCCAAACATAAAGTGAAAGTATCAATCACTTAAAAACAGACATGATAAAGAGCTCGTTTTATTAGAAGTGCTAACAGGTTTTGTAAAAGGGGAAGCTGAAACTTTACATCCCATGCGACATGCGCTTTCTCAGCAGAGCAGTGATTAGGTAAAATATTTTTGTAACTCACTCCTGGAAAACTTGGTCACCAGGGACTGAGGAAAGAGTATGCTTGGACAAAGGGTTCTAGAAAATGTGTAATACAGACTACTCAAGTTGTACATCACAGAATGGATTTTAGACTTATGATGTGCCCAATATGCTTTTAAAAGGTCCTTTCAATTTCTTGTACCTCATAGGCGTAACGGATTCATTCTAGGGTAACTTTAGAATGGGTGAACAGTAAAGAAGGAATACATACCAAATAAAGAAACGACAGTGAGAGCAGAATGTTGGTTGGGGTAGGAACAAAGCCATGAACTTGTGGCCATTGACTTGATGCACCTTTCTACGCATGGCACCACGACCTCTCCTGAAGCCTTGATTACGTTCTTTGAACTCCTTAGGCTTGCGCTGGTCTCGATTTTCTGAAAAAGAAAAACGTCAATCAGATGGAGCTACTTCCCTCAGCAGAGCAAAAACAAGGACTAGGCAGGTCTTTTATTTTTATTGGGACACAGCCCTTGTAACAATGATATTAATTAGTTGCAATTCGACTAACAAGAGGAGATCATGTATTTCACAAACTAGTAAAAAACTAATTTCTCACTAATTGGCAGAACTTGACAATTAGTATGACTGCCTATTTCAAATCTACATGAAATGAAAAATGAAAAAAATCAGATACTATGATGCTCTCTTTAAAATTATTTCCAGCAGTAGTAGACATCCATTTCAAACATGATACTTCATTAAATTATGTTCTTATCTAGGTACTTATTTATTAAAAGAGATGAAAAGAGATTGAATAATAGCTGAGAGGAGACTTGAAAACTGTACACATTGAATCAAAACGAACAATTCTTGCGAATGAAGGATAACATGTGATTGATTCGGATTTTATTGTACGTAATTTGGCTAAAAAAAAGAAAGAGGAACTTGAGTGAAGTGCCTACATAAGAGAGGATGATGAGACAAAATCTCAAGTGCTTTCTTGAACAAAACGAGTTTTCAAATCGATTTTCGTGTCTAATTAGTGCCTCTCAAATAAAAATTACAGAATGAGCACACAGCTGATATTGTGTTGTGCTTACTTTTCAAATTACTTTAAAATCTTCTTCTAACTTTCATAATACCTGGTAGCAGACCTCATAAAATAACTCTGAAAGAAAAAGTAAAGCTGGTATTTCAAACGAGTTTGAAAGTTGTAGTAAGTAAAAGATCTTGTGAAGAAGTTGTAAATAGTCCGAGTTCAAGAATTTTATGTAAACAAAGTATGATCATAGATATAAAAACAGGTAATTCATAATTATTATGCACTGTTCTTGTAAAAGATACTGCATCTCTCTGCATATGTATATATATATTTCTTTTGGTCTATTTTGCTACTTCTCTTTTCCATATTAAGTATGCATTTCTTTTTTGGTCTGTTTAACAACTTTTTTAAGAGGTTTTTTATACGATGTACTGTTTTCTAAATTGTATGTTTTGTGCTACTAGGGATTACAGACACCTTGAGACCAAATGAATTACATTTCACATTACTTACTTACTTATGTGTATTAGGAGATTTGTTAATTTCTAATCTTACCTCGAGTGGAATGATATTTTATTTGAAACATGTAATGAACCCTCTTCCCTCCCCCCTTCCCCACAACCAAAAAAAGAACAAAACATCAGCAAATTTACAAGATGCTTACCTTCCGTTTCGTGAAGCAGATCCACAACCAAATGTATCCTACCATGAGGTTCAAGATCAACCTAAAAATACAAAAGAAAGTTTAATATTTTTCTTTCTTTTCCATTTACATGAGAGCAGATTTGGCAACATGATTACAATAACAACTTAACTCTCTGTGGCATGATGTTACATATTTGTACCGATGCATTTTTTGGTTTTTTGAAAATTGAATCTTTCTTCTGCTGCATGACTTCACAAGTTTCATCCTGAGTGTTTTCTGTTTTGAAAAACGATTACCAAACATTGAAAATCTTTAGCTGTAACGATAGCATTACTGAGGGTGGGAATTGAAAAATCTGAAAACTCCATTACTTTTTTTCTTTTTGTCTTTGTTTTTAAAGGAAGTTTTACGCACAACTTACATAAGTAAGAGGAAGAAAAATCACGGGAAATTAAGAAATAAAAATGCCTGTTTCCCCTTGAAATTAAAAGGAAATTTTGCATTGCCATGAAGCAAGATTTACGATTTTCAAGTTTTACTGCCGCCACATAATAGGATTCGCCTGATGTAGGCATAAGTAATTGTAAACAATCGCAAGTAAAACATTGCGCTCATTAGATAGATACAAAAGGCGGAAGTAATCATGAGATACTGAGACAGCCTTCCTATGAGGTGAAAAGTAATACTTAGGGCAAGGTTCAAGAGTCAATAGACAAATATCAAAGCTTAAAAAGCTCTACTCAGTAAAGGAAAAGATGCATGAGAGGTTTGTCGCAAGTCTAATGCACTTGCCCCAGTAAGGAGCAGAAATAGGTCAACTACCGGAGACCTCTCAAAACATTCCAAATAGAGTACGTTACCTGACATTCAACTTAATGACGAAATTGTGAGTAAACAATTAATTCAAAACAAGTCTGATATATCAATACTTTACGATCCATTAGAGTGCATTCAAGTAAAATTGCTTTGATCAGCTGATTGGATGACATTTCAGAACACAGTCGACAGTCTCCACGAAGCGAGAGATCATAAGGAATCCAGAACAGAAATTGAGAACGTCATGTTTTTTAAGTCAAAGTGACCCACATTACTTATGTTTGTGGATGATTCCTCGGGTAGAGAAAGATTTAACGGAGACAAAACTTGGTCAGGACTTGGGGCTTCGGATCGAGGGAACTTATCAGGGGTGGATGGAGAGAGGTGATAGAGTGAACCTACCCAAAAATCAGGAGTTTCCTTGACCATATCTCCGAGTTTAGCGAAGGAAATAGCGCAATTGGCGACGAAATCATCTGGTGGGATGGCAGCATCATGGAACACTGTCAACCCTATGGTCTTGGCTTTGTGGACTTCATGCACGAATAACTCATTCCAAACGGGGTCGAACGTTTTGGTTTTGATCGTGGTTCGATCCAAATAGGTCTCGTCTACGTTGATGGCTACATACGGGTCGATCAACTGTTCCTCGGTCTTCCCAAAGCTGATGGAGTGACGCTTTTGAAAATCTGTAGGCCTCAACCCACAAGCCTCGCATATTTTTAATCGTACCGTTCCAGTAAACATTGGCGAAATTAACCGAAACACTTAGCAAAAATTACTTGAAAGCACCAAAACTTTGTACGCTAGGGTTGCCATGACGTGAAAAATGCACTAGACTTAAAATATTCGCACTAAAAGAATGGATATCACTAAAATTACTGAAATAAGGTCGATCTAGTTATTCGGATAAGTATCTGTCAGTGCAGAGAATGATACACACAAGAATACACGAAGACCCACAATGCATTGTTGACGAGCTTTATTTCCAAATTGGTAAACTGTTGAACAAAATTGTTGTGATAAGGCGGCTTAACTTTTGCCAATATATTCGCTTTTAGAAGGTGAACTTTCTTTAATTGGATCAAATTCTTTTAATGCAGACATGAAAAATTAGAATGAATTTTTAAAAGTCTATTTGTGTCGTCATCAATCAAAAACATCGGGTCGGCATTGTTTAAAGTGAGTTTCCCAAGTTTGTTTACATGTTTCGTCATTCCAGAGGTGGCAGACATCATGTCTGTTATCAGAGCGATGTTTCTGCGCAAATCTCTATTTACAGGGTAAATATATCTCTTACTTTAATTATTTTAATGAGGTGCTCTTAAATTCATACCACACACGGTCTGATTCACTAATTTTCGAGTGACAGTTTCGCTATGGGTCTATCTTCCCTCTGTAAACCGAGCACCTGCCCTGCCAATCTCTTATCACCAATGTTGTGAGCAGATATTATCATGCTCTTTTTACCCCTTACCTACCCTTGAGTGAATGAGTGATACAGTCCAATTATTATTATTGATTCATCAGATCAGTATCATCCCTCATCGATCGATCTTTGCGAATGTCATCCAAATTTTCCCTATCATTTCTGCGTATTGCATCATTCTATTAATTTGCCCATCAGCATGATTTTTTCATTATTACCCACTTCGCGCCTCGTCTATGGGCCGTTCACTCGGCAAGTATTCTCAATATTTTTTTTAAAATAATGCCCTAGACATCATGGTATTTCTATAATTGCATTGCACCTCAGCAACATAACGCTCTTGAAAGTTGCATGACATATATCTTAACTGCGATGTTTCAATATCTCCGCTTTGGTTTTAATGTCGTAAAGGAAAACCAATGAATATTATTGCTCAGATTTTTCAGATTGAAAAGAAACTAGTCAACGTCTTAAGAAATAATAATATTGCAGTTTTAAACTGAAAATACCAAGCCAATAACCAAAATTTTTTGTTTCTCAGGTTGAGATTCCTCAGCAGCGTTGCTCAAAAAGCTGAAACCAAGTCTGAATTGCTCATAAGCGATAGTTGCGTGAAAAGATTACAAGAAATCGCCAAAGATGGCAGTGCTCTCAGAGTAATCATTGAAGGAGGTGGTTGCTCAGGTTTCCAGTACAAATTTGACCTCGAGGACCCGAAAAATTTTACAAATGAAGATAGGTATGTTAGCACTTCTGTATTTGAAAATTTCACAACAGAACTCATCTAGTGTCAAACAACTTAAGTTTGCTTAGAATCAAACTAAAAAACCAATTAAAGTCAAGGGTAATCATTTATCATACGGTGAAATGAAGGAAATTTTTTCCTCAATGTGTTAACCTCAGAAGAATGAATCAAAAAGTTCTTTTTCATACTTTTCACCCTTGAGAGCCACTATCGTTACGAAAGTGTCAATTATGTCACAGAAGAATTGCTTTATTTTCCAACATTTCGGGAGATCCCAAATGTCCCAGGAGCACTCATAAAATTTCAAGTATATATCTCAATTTGCTCAGAAGTTACAAGAACGATACCTGGTGCCATTGGTGCAAGGCTTCTGGATCACCCCGAATGTGACAGAGGTTCTTCTTATCACCTATTTGTACGGATTCTTGAGCTAAGCATATAAGCCTGCTAATTTATCACTTGTTTCTCTAAATTTTCAGAATATTTCAAAAAGATGGTGCCACAGTTGTAATTGACGAAGTTTCTTTGAACTACGTTAAAGGTTCGACGATAGACTATCAAGTAGAGCTGATTCGCTCGGCATTCAGGATCGTTAACAACCCTCTGGCAGACCAAGGCTGTTCCTGCGGTGCCTCTTTTTCAATAAAAGTGTGAAAATATGTTTTTGAGTCATTTTGTATGAGTGAATTTTCGCCTCATCTTTGTCTTGTAGTTAGTTGTAAATATTTAATTTTTGTCTGAAAAGTTGTAAATACCTACCGTTTGTTACTTATTTAAAAATCATCTTGTTTTTTCCAAAAATGTTTGTTCTTTTTTGAAGCCTCTTTTTTTTCTTTTTTTTTTAAAAAACCTTAAAAAGGTGCAACGGAGACTGGAGCAATGCATTTCTCTTTTTTTTTCATTTTGCGTTTTGTTGCACATTAAACTTTAATGTAGGAGTACCGCCTTGAATTACTTGTGAGATTTTTTATGATTTTTTCTAGGCAACCAAAAGATGTTTGTCAATAATTGTTCTCATAAGTTCTCTTTTGAAAAATAAAAATAGAGCGAAGGTTTTGTAATAACGCAATTAAAATACAAGCCTTTCTAATTTTAGCGTCGATACTAGGGCTTGCAAAAAGAAGCTCTTATGGCGGATTAGAGATTGATTCGTGTTAATAAGTTTTGAAGAATAAGCAAAAAGAAGTGATACATGAAGTGTAACAAATTTTTCTTTAATTTCAAATTCGTTTAAAACAGATTACAGAATAACAATATCGTTTCTGTATAGGCGTGTCTTTTTTTGTGTAGAGACAGAAAAGTTATTAACTACATGTTATGATTTAAAAAATACAATGATACATGAATACACGGGTTTCTAGTAATGTTAACTCTCGGTTAGGTGTTGGTTTAGTTTTTGCATTCTATGGAAACAGGATATCAAATAATGATAATCATTTATTTTAAACCAAACACTTTGAAAAGAATTGAATTGAAAAAAATCATATGAATGTATTTGGCATGAAAATATGTAATTAAAACTTTACTTGAGAAGTGGCAGCGAAGATGGAGATAGGAGAGCATTTGAATTGCAATCTTTTGCGAAAGTTTTCAACTTTTTCTCAAAAAGTAAGATTTTAAGGGGGTCAAATACACAGTCAATTATCTCAACAACAAAAATTATTGGGAGAGTATCGAGACAGGCTGTGTTTTGGCCAACCCTAGCTGAATTTCAGTAATTTAATGCTTTTTTGCTCATTGAAAATCTATATTTTATATAATGCATCACATATTTGGAAATTTCCTGTCTGTTAAGAGTCTAACACTGGTCTATACATGGGTCTGAAGGCCGCTTATTGCAAAAAATGTGGATTTTTTTATATACTTACTTACTTCTTGAATAATTAGACCCGAGAAAAGACCAAATCATGATGCAAAAATCATAAAGTTAAGGAAATTCAGAGTGGTTTTGTTGTTACTCCTTCTGTTTAAAATAGAAAAATCAAAAGTAGTGGGGATCATTGAGTGCTTCCTGAGGAAAATAAGTAGGTAACGCAAATAGTTACAATTTCCCAACACTTACAAAGTCCAAACATTGCTGGCCCATCAAAAATTGAAGGATAAATTTTCAGAAGTAGCTATCAATTACCAAAATAAAAAATTAAATTGCTTTTGAAACAAAAGCTAAAATAAAAATAATTTTCACAATACTTAAAACGTATAGGCACCTCTGCCTTGCGAACGGAATGAAATCATTCTAAAAAAGAGGAACTTAGAGAAATCTCTAAAATGGCCTGAAAACCTTCCTTCAAAAATTTGCTAAAAAAATAAAGCTATGAAACAAGAGTGACAGTGGTTGAAAGAACGCTTGAGGCTAAATTTTCAAGCTTTAGTCACTGATTTGTCAGTAACAAATCCTGATGATGCACTTTCCTAACGTCATTCTTAAAAAAACAAGAGAAAAAAATTGAAACAATAGTTCTGACAGTTCTACTTTTTTTCCCCACTTGGGAAAATTATAATACTTGCTAGAACCGGATCACGATTAGCAGTATACATTAAAAAATTCGAAGTTGATCCATACTTGGAAATATCCTTTATCACAGGTAAATGCTTGCGAAACTGACTCCTGAGGACTGAGGACGAAATGCTACTTTTTTCTTCTGGCATTCTGAAAAAAAAGGAAACTCATTGTAAAACAAATGACAGAAATGTTATTAAAAACCACATGCAAAAGTTCCATGGTCAAGTATTGGTGGACAAACTTCACAACACTGGACAGTGGACAAGCTCTAGACTGGGTAAGGATATTGAGTGAATTGTAATCCTCAACTGACCATTTCCATTAGCTTCCGAATGTAGAGTTAAAGTATCTTTACAGAAAGAAAGCAAATTTTATTTAGAGGTTTGGTACCTACTAAATGTGTGCCTGAACCTCCGAGCTGCCATTCTACTCAAGTTCGGAACTTCTTATTCGGTAACTTACGAATCGCACTGATTTTGGTACCATCTCGCAAGGTGGTTCTAAAAAAGGTTCAACCTATCGAAAACCAACGGATCTGATTGGTTGAATCTGGTAACAACGGTGTCTACTGGTGTTGGTGATTGATGAGACAAACCAGCACAGAACTTCCCAAAGAGGTTTGGAACTTTAAATAAAATTCGCTTAGAGAGTATCGCCATGAGGCGGCTGTTCTATATTTGCTCCTCCATCTTGGGTTTTCTTGGAGCTCTCAACACCCAAAAATGGTGCCCTTTGGAAACTCATAAATGCTAGAATAACTGAGACTGTGATTTAATTTGCCTTTGATCCCACGCATTTTGCTTCAATAACGTAAATCTACAGATTTTAACACTTATTTAATCAAATTCAATGATTTGAAGGCGATTCAATTATCAACCTGCAGGTGGAATTGAACTCTTTGATAGCAATCTGTTCAATCAAAAGTTAATTTTATGCTGATCATATCTGAAGCATCTAGCACAACTAAATTTGACTGCCTGCTTGAATTTTGTTGTACCCAATGTTACGAATACCATCCATATTCCTAAAAAATCACGAGGACAAAATTTGCCATGTTGGAGTTCTACTCTGCCCAATCCAGAGCTAAAATATGCCTTAAATGGAGACCTCTTCGGCGATAATTTACTTGCAAAAATTGAACAAAATTCAATTGCTTTTCATGAAATTCCCTGCTTACCCTTCCGTTTTTTCATTTTTTTCCTTTCTCCTTCTCTCTCCCTAGATTTCCCCAGTTTTTTTGTCTTATCAACACCCTGTATGTGCATTAAAGTATAGGAAAAAAACCTAATTAATTTACTTTCACAATCCAATCAATAAATCAGTGAGAAGTACTCCCTCGGAGAGATACTTGATTGAAATAAAGAAAACCGGAATTAAAAAACTCAAACTCACAAAATATAAAATTAAATCACCAATGCATTTCGGGGCCCCCTAGAGCCATCAGGCAGCCTAAAAGCATCGGTGGTTTAATTTTATTTTTTGTAGGTTTGAGTTTTTTAATTCCGGTTTTTTTTTTTTTTTTTTATTTCATTTAATAGCCCACAGCTTGTTACCTTGGGTTCCGTTTTTTTTATTACATTCCGTTTAGTAGATACTTTATTGTTTTCTCAAAATTTTTGGCAGACAGAACATGCCCACTTCAATGCTGCCTTTTATTGGGAGAAAAAAGCTTCAATCTGCCATGCATTCAGGAGAAAAAAAAAAAAAAAAAAAAAACTTACGTTTAACTGTATTTTAAACTGCTCTAGCTGGTCTGTCTGTCCTGCAAGCTTGTCATTGAGGTTTGCCAGATGATCCGACATTGTTGAAAGCTGCGTTTCATAACTCTGCTTTGTCAGCTGTAGCTTTTCATTGAGCTCTAATACTTTGTCATTACATTCATTCAATTTCTTTTCGCTCTCTCTCCGCGCTTCGCTGCTTATCTCCAAATGCCTCTGTAATGCGTGCATCTGAAATAGAATAAAAAAATTAATCTTTCTAAATATATTTGCGACATGTTACCTGCCCAAATAGAGTGTTGTTTTAAACAAGCAAATAATTTTCTTCCATTGGCGATACTTTGTTAAAATTGAAATGACTTTGAAAAACAATATAAAAAGAAAGGACAATTGTTTGTGGGAAGAGGGGAAACTGTTCAAAGGTAAAAAATAATCTAGATGAACACTTTCAAAAAATAAAAAATTCAGAGCTTTAGCATGTTTTTGGTTTTAAATTTGTCATGTACACTGATTGAGCAATCGTAAATGATATTGTCTTTTGAAAAAGGGACATCAGTTCCTAAATGCTAATGTTTCAAAGGTACAGTTTTTGTTGAGTTTCGTAAAAAATTGAGTATTATACATCAAAATCAACGACTCTAGTATCCTACAGAATAATTTGCAGGCTATTTTCTTATTTTTTGTGTCTATAGAGTGCAGAGCATTTATTAAAGGGAAACCAATTCAATTACGGTGTTGTAAAAATTGTGCATTTTTAACTGAAAAATTTCCTAAAACAGCGAACAGTTTATGTTTATCCACCAAAGAATTGTTAATTTTAAAGGAGGCCGATGACATGAATTTTATCACTGTACGTACTTACGAATATTTTTAAGGAAACAAGAAGTTGTACCATTTAAAAAACACAGCAATCCCATTGGTTCCCTTCTATTAAATGTAGTTCAATTAACTGTAGAGTGGAATTTTACTCTGACCAATAATTTTGAGAGGCCAACAACTGGCAGATAAAACTGGTGACACAATTTTTTTGGAGGTAAATTTTGCAAACTGAAAATTTCAAAATATCATCATTCCAATTTAAAAAGACATTTAAAGGTGTTTTTTGAGCCAAATGCTCATGTGACTCAATTTGAAGTTTTAAGCTGGGGTTCTTAGACCCATCAGCAATCACAAATCGACAGTCATATTGCAGAAATGCGCATCTCAGTTTGTAACATTACAGATTTCCAGTCATACTTTATTTCCTACACGACAAGCAAATAGTTACATACTCAAAACTTCTGCGACTTTTCTTCCCTATGTAAAGAATATTCTAGGTATGAAAATTTCAAGCTTTAGAGTTGCGTTAGTCTCCTTTTAACAATTAGTATAGGAGCGTGGATTTTAAAACACCACAACTGGGTTACACATTTGCGCAGTTTCATCATCAAAGTTTAAAAAAATATTTAAGAACAGAAACGTTGGGAAAACTAAATGGTTTACAGCTTAAAATAAAAACTGGAACTTGATGAAAGAGTGTAGCCATTACCTCAAGTGAAAAATTATTAGCTTTGGCAAGTGCTTCTTGATTTTTAACGACCATGCTGTTCATCTGTTCGGAGAAGTACTTTTTCAACTGCTCCTCTCGTTCCACGACCTCGGCTGGTAAGCATATTGGTGGATCGATCTTTCCCATCAAATTTGGATCGGAGAAATGTTTTGGATCTTGTTCAGGTGGACTAGGTACTGGCTCTCCTTTCATCTTCAATATGTTGAATTCATTTCTGAATTTTATCAGTTCTTTTTCAAGCTCAACTATGGTGCCCTGTGCTTCTTCCAATTGTTTCAACAACTGTGTTTTCCACACAGCATCATCCTCAGTCTTGACTACATTTCTCAGAGAAGCAACATTCGCCTCAAGTTCCAATTTCGCTTCTTTGTTGTTGAGTTGGTTTTTGAGCTGAGTTGCTAGATCTTCTGGAATGTCGGAGGAATTCAATTCTAACAGAAGACTTAGTAACTGAAAAAATCAATGACACGATAAAATTAACAAGTGGGGAGGTTGAATAAAGAGGAATGAAAGATTGGAACAAAAGATTGTTGCTGGTAGATTTGAAATATGTACAACCTCCCTCTCCCAACCAGAAACTTACTTCGTCATACCTATGTATTACTATTTTCCGTTTTTTTAGAAGCAATTTTTCATTTTTCCACTGGTACTAGAGAATTCATAATTTATTAAGACTTAAAGAGGGTTTGCAATATTTTGCAGAGAAGTACCTGAACATAAAACTTATAGTTTTAAGAAACTATCATTACCAAAAATCTTTGAAGTTACAATCTCAACAAACAACTTCACTTAACTTCATTGAGCTATATGCTTTGTCAACTCCATTGAATTTCAGTTAATGTACCTATCACCAATAGCTTCACTCAAGATATCATCAACGACTTCACCGATAATGTTACCCACAGACCTGAAAATATCATTAACAGACTTCTGCTACGCCACTTTATGTACATAAATGAGACCATTTGGCATGTTAACAGAGCGAGGCTGACATTAGTGATGAATTTTAAACCTTGTCAAAATAATCAAATTGATGAATACAACATCAACATGGACGAAAAACGATTATAAAAGTGCCATGCTTGTAGCAGACTCTGAAATAGAATCTTCAATTACCTAAAACAAACCAGAAAAAAATTAAAACTACACTATGTGACTTACCGACTGTAATGACGCAGATAAACTGGCGAGCAAATGAACACAATTAATATTTGTGGTTTGTAAATCTGACTGCACATTTAAAAGTTCGAAGTTCATTTTGTTGTCTAAAAGAATATCCTTCTCCACTTTTTCTTTCGTGGAAAAAGTTGATCTGACTTCTGTAAAAATGAGAGAGAAAAGGTAAGTAATTGAGTAATCAGAAAAAATAACTGTTTTTGCGGTTTTTGGAATAATTACTACATAAAATGAACGACTAAGAGTGCACTGAATTTCCGGTTTACTAGAAAAACCAAGGCCTACTTTGGTTCAATCAGGCACTAAATTACTTTTAATGCTTCTCTATGATGTCATGATTTTCAGAATGCTAAATTTTCATGAGAAACTTTAAAATTACCATGCACTCATCAAAAAAGAAGGAAAGGGTGAAATTAATTCTATTTATTACCTTTCAGTGCAAGTTTGTTTTCAATAACGAATTTGCTCATTGCTCAGTAAGTTTTTTTTTTTTTTTTGCCTTGAGGAAGTTTAAAATACCTACTTATTTTAATGTAAGTCATAAAACATTTCTCACTTAGAAGCTAGTTCAGGACTAATTAAACAACTTTAACTTATTCGGCATGCAATTTTGATGAGAAAAAATAAATTATACCTAAAAATGCCTTAATTGGATTGCAATTAGTAGAAAGAAACTGGCGCAATTACAGTGGTGTAAAAATTGAGCCTCTTTATCTGAAAAATTCCTAGAGTAACCAATAGTTTTTGTTCGATGAACTACCGAAATTGCTGATTTTAAAGGAAAACAATTCTTTAAATTGTATTACCTACTGTGCATATATTTGGTATTTTCTGAGTTGAAGAAAAAATTGTATGATTCAGAAAACACTATAATTGCATTAGTTTCATTTCACTACATGCGATCCAATTCTGACGAGAATAGAGGTCTTAAACGTAAAAAGTACCTTCAAGGGACCGTGTTGCCGTAAAGAGGAGTCTGATCAACGCTGCATTAACGCCACCTGTCTCTTGCATAGTTGTTTGCCCCACACAACTTTCAAGCAAAGATGAAGTTTTCATGAAAAACTGCATGAGTTGTAGTACAGCTCTTGACAAATCCTGGTTAATCTTTCGCAGCTCTGGATTGCACCACGGTGCTTTTTCTTCTTCACTGAGACTTTGCAGAAATAATGGAAGAAGCGATTTAGAGTGTTTGCTAAATTTAAAAAACAATGGCGAGAGGAAATTTGCCAAGTTTGTGGACCGGTCACTCACCACATCGCAAGCTAACGATGTGTTGAATTCACTTGCAGGCACATCTTTCATTACAGAAGGGTGCAGTAAATGCAGTCTTTTTTTCAAGCTTGAGAAAAATAGTGTAAAATAAAGCGTTAGGTTTTCTACTTCTCTCTTGGCTGTTAGCTCTTTAGAGATGTTACATTCTAGTTTCGGGGAGGAGGTGTCAATAAATGGCAAGTAAGTAGCGATGATCAGAAGCGCAGCCTCCAAGTGCGGGACAGTTTCAAGCTTAAATTTATTGAGATTGACTAGTTCTTCAGTTAAGGACTTCAAATGCTGCTCATGAAGTTTAATTGTTTCATATAATTCACCCTTTTCACGTTCTAGCTTTAGGATTGTTGCTTTGAATTTTTCCTCCGCGACTGAGTTCACTTTGCTGTACTGATCTATCTCTTTTTGAAACTTATCTATTTGTTCATTGAGCAGGCTGATTTCTTGTTTATGCTCTTCTTCCGAGTCGTACATCTTCGACAACAGCTGAGCATTTTCCTCAACCATTTTCTTGAACTCCAGGTCCAAGACATTGCTACTACTTTGTTCATTTGGCTTCTGACCGGACGACTTCTTGGTCACTTTCTTGTTTTGACAACTGTCAAGCTCATCCTGCAGGAATGCTACCCTTTTTGTAAGCTGTTGATTGCGGAATGTTAGCGATTCTATTTCTTGATCTGTCTTTCGTAGGCTCTGTTCTTTTTCCCGTAGACGTTCTTGAAGCTCAGCATTTTTTCCTTGCTCTTCCACAACAGCTTTTTTCAGCACAGTTGCTTGAGCACGAATTTTTGAGTACTCTGCAGCTACTCTCTGATATTTGACCTGGAGATCTCCACCTGGAATAGGGGATGTCCGATTCACAGAAGAGTCGCTAAATTCTGACATCTGAAAATTAAAAAAATTTTCAAGGGTTAACTTGGGTCTTCAGTTGATTTAAATTAAAATGAAGTCAAACGCCACAATCTTTGATAATATTTTACAATGTTTTTCTTATCATCCATTAGAGATGGAGATGGAGATGGAGTGTCTAAAAGTATTAGTAAAAGGGGCAATGCAAATCACTCCACTTCAACCACTAAATCTGTGTTTCTCGAGTCCACACCAAAACGTTCTAGAAACACAGCTAATAAAGCAACAGCCTGATTTCAGTATGAACTGTGGTTGTAGACTTCCAATGAAAATAATCTAATAATGCGCTAAGAAAACGAGGTCTCTCAATTTTGGGGAATTTGGTTCATTGAATTCTTCTGCGGGAATGTATACGCAGGTCAGCCCTTATCTATTAAAAAACACTAACGTAGCACCCTCAAGCTGCCATCGTGAACAAAGGTATATCAACAGGAGGGTGTTACTGGTGATAGCAAGCAACGTATCCTGCTGACTAATTTAAAAGCTAGATCATAAATTTCCTCCTATTGCTGATAAGATAAATTTCTTTCAGTTGGGTAGAGTGCTGTTGCACTGAACTGATAAGGTGTGTAAAATCGACTCACCCTTCTGACTTACATTACAGATGATGAATATCAAAGCTAATGATGCATACTTTCTGAGCAAAAAAGAAATAATTAAGGAAAATCTTATCACAGTCACAAACCCTCAGGTAAAAATGCCACCTTGTTTACGAATTGCTAAAATGAATACCGAAGGGATAAAACGAATGGTGGCAGGGGGGGGGGAGGACTTTTAATCAGTAACATTGACGTATAATACAATCTAGACCGCGCATTGGGCCCGACTTTGGGCGGGGAAGGTAAGACAGCTAGGGGGGTAAAGACGCGCCTTCAGCTTAGTTGATACCGCCGGATATACGAGCTAAGTGTACCCGTATCAGGCAACGGCACTGGCAAGACTGGCATTTCCTAGAGTCCCTTTATACTGAGAGTCAAGACAATTCGGCTCATGGATGTCACAAACGGGAATAAAGATTACAGAAATTGAACGTTTTTCGTAATCTTTGATCGGCCCATTCTCAAATGCCTTTCTCCGTTCCTCCTCTCATTCCGTTTGTTCCTTGCCGAACCCGTAATTCCCTGGTCCATTCCAGATTATAATCTTTGCAATTGGTGAAAATGTAATCTTTATTCCCGTTTGTGACACTGTGGAGGCCTAAAATACGAGAACCAATCAGAAATGGATTCAAATTGTCTTGACTCTCAGTATAAAGGGACTCTAGCATTTCCACGAATTCCACCATTGTCTCGCCGGTACACTTGCTGTGTGTTGCTGGGTTGCCTATCGTCTCGCTTGAATTTCGTAATGCGCGGTCTAGATTGTATTATACGTCAATGATCAGTAATCAAAATACGCCAACGTTGCAGGTGTTCGATGGCTGTTGACAGTCGTCAGTGATTGTAACTTACTGAATTACTGATAAGTGATAAAAATAAAGTTCGAGCTTTTAGCAGAGTTGTGCCACGTTCGGAGGTCGACAATTGGTGAAGGAGAAGGACCTTGACAAGCAAAAATCGCTCAACAAACAGGTTTCGTGAGATTTGTGACCGTCAGTTGACCGTTCGCGTGTTTTTTGATCGAGATTTCGATTTGCAGGGTCTTGTATCTCGTGAGGCAGCACCATGATTCTTCCTGTAAGTAGCCCACAATTTTCCTTAAATTCCGTCCTTTTTCCTCCAATATTTCGTCGATTATTCTTCACTAATTCCTTGGTTTTTTCTCTTTTCAGAAGTCTTTATTGCTCGTGGGAAGGAGGTCTTTCAGCACCTCTCGGACAGCCCCTGCACAGTTGGTAAGTTTTGGATGGCATTTCCTCCTTGTCTTATCAGTTTAATTGATAAGAACTCCACCCCCAATCGTCCAAACATAATTGGAATTTGGGTTGTTTGTCACAGGCTTCTTGGTTAGTCGTCTCCTGTCAAAGTTACTTTGACAGAAGGTGTCAACATTCGAGTATAAACACATGTGCCTCCGGGGATGTCAAGTCAAGGGCAAATACGATTATAAATCAATTTATTGTAATCCAATTGACTTGAATCGTTGCACCAATTTTTTCGAGTTTATAACTCGGTTTATGAAAGTTTGGTTTTCTTCACACTGTTGAAATTTAGCGAGCTTACGGGAATTTTCCCACATGATCATGAAATTTTTAAGGTTAGGATAGTGCTGAGAGCGCATTTCATCATTTTAAAGTCAAGACTTGAAACTGTGCTCGATGAAACCTCATTACATTACAGTCGCTGCTTTAAATAATTATCAGAAATCAATTGTTTTTTGAACGAGTTTTAACTTTAATTACATCATCCTGCTTCTACCTTTATTGGGTTAATTATCTCTGAAATTTTCAAAAAATAAAGTTCGAGAGTTGGCAATTTGGCGTGTAGAATGTTCACTAACTGGCGATCTGTATTTTGCGGGTAAATGGTGTAAACTCCGAAACACAGTGTTCACTCTGGCAGTAGGCACGCTGATTTTTATCAGATTTACTTGATTACGCTGAATTTTGTTAAAATTACTTCAATCACGCTAAACTTTTGTCGAATCTAGGTACTTAGACGGCGCAGCGTAACAGTGAGAAGGGAAAATTTGCGTTTTGCTGGTAAAAGCATACAGTGATGTACCTTCAGCACCCCTGTTTGCGATTGCTCCAATCACTTTACACTAATTTTAAATTGCATTGACTCTTCAATCTTATCCTTTCACGATAAATATAATACTTTCTTAAAAACTAAAAAACCAGAGACTGGACTGGTTTCATATTGATCAATAGGATTTATGCCTACACAAGAGGATTAAGAAATTTGGCACCGGCTAAATTTCAATATTTTTTGTATGATGTTCCTCATGACCTCCTGAGCGAAATGAGCCGTGAAAGTCAAACTTTTCTTATTTCAATCCTAAGAAAAGAGGGTCTGAAAAGTGAATATTTTGGTATTTTTCACGTAACAAAATTTCCAACACACTTAGTTGGAAGTAAAATAAGTGCACCAAGATGACAGTTCTGAAAAAAATCCTATTCAATTTCAAATAATACTTCCTTGTCTCTCATGCTTCAGATGACTGTTCGAGACGCCCTGAACTCAGCTTTAGATGAGGAAATGGAGCGTGATGAGAGAGTTTTCTTACTCGGAGAAGAAGTCGCCCAGTATGATGGAGCATACAAAGTATCCCGAGGCTTGTGGAAGAAGTACGGAGACAAGCGTGTCATTGACACCCCTATCACAGAAATTGGTTTTGCTGGTATCGCAGTTGGTGCTGCCATGGTAATTCTTCTTTGATATTAATAATGTAGAGGTTGTAAGACTCCTATTCGACTATGCTTTGATTTTTGTTTGGTAAGTAACCAAGTCTTACACAGATTAAAAAAAATCACTTTCATGACGAGGAGGCATCTTCAACTAGAACTAATCAGAATCAAGACAGGTGCCAAAACTAGTTGGAAGTTATGATGGATACAGGTAACTGAAGCTCAGAAGTGCCAAGGCCCTTTGAAAAATTTACATTTACTTAACTCAGATTTTGGCAAATATAATCAATCTAGGCCTTGAGTTATGTGACTTTACGTCTTTTGTGTTGTTCCTTGCATCAATTTCAACAGCATGAAAGATTGAAGCTAGAGGAGTCAATCAAAATGAGAGTGGCCAAGGAAGTTCTAACTGCCAGCTGAATCAGTGCAGGAATATAGGAAGTAAAGTTAGCAGTTTTAACAATTAAGTAACAGGCTAATAAATTAACTGTAAATTATCCCCCCTCCCCCTTTCAATCTTGCTTGAGACTCTTGTCTCTGGACTTATCCAAGCTCATTTTGTAATGTTACCTAATCTTGATTTTTGGTTTTTCTCTGCATATTTTCCCCTTGGAATAGTGTGAAGTCAACACTGTTCCACCATACTTTTTCCAGGAGTAAAGTGCAGTCATGTTTCAACCATTTCTTGATCAGTTTCCAACCCTTTAAGTAAATGGATTTGAGTTGAAGTTGGATGTTTTGAGGAAAGAAGTAAAAATATGTCTTGTCTAGAAGAAAGTCAAATCAAACATTTCTGTTCTTTTTTTCTAAATGTTTATTATCTTTATTTTTGTTTTTTATTTTGTGTGTTTCTTCAATTCAATAACCCAAGTTATTTTATTTCTCATTTTAGGCTGGACTAAGACCCATTTGCGAGTTCATGACCTTCAATTTCTCGATGCAAGCTATCGACCATGTCATCAATTCTGCAGCCAAAACTTTTTACATGTCCGCAGGATTGGTATGAATTTAACAATTTAATTTTTAGTATTGCAGTGAAAAAACCTTTGCATAAATAACCCAGGAAAGAGTTCTTCAGCATTTTCCACAGCTGTTTGTTGTGTATTTGTATCTATTTATGGTGGCATTTCGATTTGGGCGACCAACACAAAAATTTTAAACTGAAAAAACTTGAAAGCTATTCCTTCTTGAGATTATTATTTTGTTAAAATACGAGTTAAAAAAAAACCAAATTCGAAAAATTGTCTCAGAGTTCTTGTTTGTTGGGAAAACGCTCGGCAGCTATTTTCAACAGCCATCTTATAAAAATCGAAATTGGATTTTTGATGAGCCTGAGTCTTGTGCATAAACCCTAGGGTGGTTCTCTTTCCAAAAAAGCTTCTCATAACCATCAAAATGAATCTGGTAAGCAGCAATTTCCTATCTAAAAGCACAGGATTTTTGCCGTTTATGGACTGAACCTTGTTTTAAAAGTAAGAAGCTATTATTACATAGTCTGTCAACGGCTGGTAGATGACAACCTGTGATTGATTTAGTAGCAGCATACCCTTAAACATAGAGTGTCATGACGATTTTTAAACCTTTTTAATCCACTTTTTTTAATGCTCCAACTGTCAAAAAAATGTCAAAACATCATGTTAGAACAAATGAAGGGCTCCTCTCTTTTAAAATGAATTGGAAAGAAAATTCTTGCTAATGACCCATTAGCCTCCATCTTATTCAGCATTTTCGATAAATGCCCAACAGTAAGACCCTAAAATCAGAAAATGAAGGGTTTGTTAAAATTTCTGAAAAATCAGCTGTTCAAATGCCACTGCAAGCATAGCAACTAGCTTAGCCACCTTGACGCATTCAGGAGAGTGCACCATCTAATTATTTTCACAAAGTTGCTGTGCCTTGCATTTCCCTCGAAAACAGGTCCTAAAACTAGTGATTTAGGGAGGAGAGGTAGAGGTTTTTTTTTTTCTTTTTTGATTGAAGTTATTCTTTCTGCTTCCAGATTAATGTACCAATTGTGTTCCGTGGTCCAAATGGTGCAGCAGCTGGTGTAGCAGCACAACATTCCCAGTGTTTTGGTGCATGGTACAGCCATTGTCCAGGACTCAAGGTAAAAAACCCTACAGCTCATAAACCTACCTTTAAGTATAATAGATCAGTTGTGCTGGTTGCAGAATTGTGTTTTGATGTTTGATTCTTGTAGATTAGCTAAAACTAATAACATCTGTCCAAACAGCAACTCCTTTTGTTCAATATTAACCGAGATATTGCCCTTTGAAAAATCACGTTTTTGACGAGATCCACAGCGGTAGTGACACCATTGGTTTCTTCCACCTTGCTTTCATCCGAGTTTCACGTTGAGTAATCAATGCAAATGTATGTCACACTGACTGATGAAAGTAATGTGGAAGAAACAAAGGGTGTCACTACCGCGGTGGATGACGTCAAAAACTCGACTTTTCTGAAGGATGTCTCCGTTACTATTGTACGTTTAAAGTTGCTTTTTTGCCCGACCTTATTGTTTTTAGCCAATCTAAAAAGAATATAGCATCCAAAAACGATTCTGTTACCCCCAATCGGAAATTTGACCTTGGGCAGATCGGAATAATATTGTGGCAACCTTAGCGAGATTGTGAGCATATTTCAACAGAAAGGTTGGCCTGAGAATCTTGGTACAATATGCCATCAATACTGGATATATGACCTTAGTATTTTAATATTGCACCAATATTAGCAACATTAGAAATCCAACGTCAGATGGTGCTCGGTGATTCCAAGATTGTCACAATGTTGTCACAATATTGGTTATACAATATTGGTAAACTAATACTGTCGTAGAGTTATGTTTTCAATATTGCAGTGGTATGTTGGTTTTAACATTGGCGCATTATTAAAAAAAATACTGAACATAGGCTTCTGATTGTAATATTGACACAATATTGACACAATATTAGGAAAACAAAATTGCTAAAATAATATCGAGACGATGTTATCTCTGTGATACTGCGGTATTGTTATTATGTTAACATTCAATTAACGTTAGAACAACAAACATAACATGCTTCTGTTCGTAATATTGTCATAATATTGACACAATATTGGATATCTAAAACTGCTGAATTGATATTATGCTAACATTATTTTTACAACATTGTGGTAATATTCGCACTTTAACATTGTCACAAGATTAAGAAAATAAACATTTTAGGCTTCTGTTTCTAATATTGTCATAAGATTAACACAATATTGTGCGCGACGAGCACAATTCGACCGCGTTTGCTATTTCCGCCACCAGGGCGCGCTCGCCGCGGATCTGCCGTTGCGGTCCCTTTAAGGGCAAATTAAAGGGCAAAAACTGCGACCTTTCGCGTTTTGACGTAATAGGCACATGATCCATAGGGGTCTAACCCATCTTACCGATATTCTTAGGCCAAGGGCTCAAATGGAGCTTTTTGGCAACGGTCCGCGCGCGGCCGCCCCGTCAATGGGGCTGGTTCTCATTTCGCCTGGGCAGTGCCCGTTACAAGTGGGATCCAAGTTGAATACTTCAGCCAGTGCAAGCAGCCAAGAATGTGGTTGACCTAGGAAGGTTCCTCGGCACTCTAATGTTCCGTATGCCTACATTTTAGGCAATGCGACGCTAAGAAGTTTCTTCCGCGAGGACGGCAGGTAATACGGCGTTCTATCGCCTACCATGTCTCAGAGGTAAGATTGAAAATCCAATCTTGTCTCAGAGGTAAAATAAATATCCTGCCAATATTATGGCATCATCATGATCAGAATAACCGCTGAACAAGCTTGGAGCAATATTACTAACATAACATTGTCCCAATATTGAATATCCAAGTTTGTCTCGGAAGTAAAATAATGTCCCACCAATATTGTGGCAATATTGTCAGGATAGGGTTGGAGCAGTCTTACAAACCTAACCTTGGCACAATCTTTGGGCTCAAGCTTGTCCCAGAGGTAAAATAAATGTCCTGCTAACATTGTGGGAACATTAGCAAGATAAGCTTGGCAACTCTATTCAAATGTGAAAAAATGTCATACTAAGCTTGTACCAAGGTCAAATTTCCGATTGGGCAGCGCAACTGACCCATTGCCCCAAACCTAAGGAGAATCAAGGTATTTTTTATATATATTCATCAAATGGACGTATTTCTGTCAAACGGAACTAAGCGCCATCGGAGGAGGAAGGTAGAGGGGGGCTTGGATTGGTGGCAGAATCGGACGCCGGGCTCATTCCGTCCTATACTCGCAAATGCTTTTTCATGGCGCTTAGTTCCGTTTGACAGAACGCGCTATCCGGCATTCTAAATTCCTCGAAAGGAACTCTAATTGGCGCTTAGTTCCGTTTGACAGAAATACGTCCAAATATTGTTTAACCAAAGACATTTTTCCAATATTTTTCTTTTATCATTTTCAAAAAACCACAATTCATCAAAGGTGCAGTGAATTCCTAATCACAAGCCTGCGAGCATCGCCAGCAGTGTCAAAATGTGGAATGACCAAAAAAATGCGGAAAGGAGGAAACATTTTTTTAGGGTTTTAAGTTCTGCTTGTTTTCTTCAGAATACTTGCCTTGTGACTCTCTCTTCCACTACTCTCTTTTTAAGATTCATTTTCTCTCTGTTTTTTTAAACCATTTTCTTCTCTTTGCAGGTCATCTCTCCTTACAACTCGGAAGATTGTAAAGGCTTGTTGAAAGCTGCCATCAGGGACCCTGATCCTGTTGTGTTCCTAGAAAATGAACTTTTGTATGGTTCACAATATCCTATTTCTGACGAAGCTCTATCGAAAGACTTTGTTCTACCCATCGGCAAAGCTAAAATTGAGAGACCAGGTATATAAAACCACAGCCTTAAAAATTGCAAAAGAACACTCCATTAAATTATACTATTTACTAAAATGTATTTCAACATTAGATTTCTAAGCAAGAAGGCTGTCAATCTGTGTTAGATAATGTTCTCCATTAGATTCATTTTGAAGCCAATTTTTAATGAATAATTTTCCAAATGTCATTTCAATCCGTCTGATCTTTGCATAAAAATAACTCATACCCTATGGTCAGATAATTGTGCAAACATCTTGTAGAAATCTTCTAGCATTTGGCTTTGTTTTTAATTCTCTGTCTCGGCATTGGGACACCTCAACTTTGATAAAGACAACAAAATATGATGTTCTACAAAGACCAAAAATTGATCTGAATCAGTTTTTATCTACATTTAATTTTTTTCTGTTTATATTTTGTCATGTGACCTTGTTTAAAAATGTTCTTTGTCTTTTAATATCATAATTCATCGTTTTCCGAGCAAAGGAGTGTAACTTTATTCCCAAGTTGAAACTTGACTCAAACAATTCAACTTTTTTATGAAAGACGGTCCATTTTTCAAAATTATTTAAATTCCTGTGCATGATCAAGAATAAATTTGTGTACCTTTCAATAGAAATGCCTAACAGTCTTCTAAGAAAAGCCTTATTTGCAAGTCAAAATTTTGCAGAGTTGAAACCTAGTTATGTTCTTTTGTCTGAGAGAGAAACACCTGATTCTCTTTGAATCTAATGGTAAGCAATACATATACAGTAACCCTATTTACTATAACTTGATGAATATCTTTGTATCTTCTTTTCAAGGTCAACATATCACAATTGTTGCTCACTCAAAGGCTGTCGAAACGTCGCTTGAAGCTGCTCAGACACTAGCAGGAAAAGGAATTGAAGCTGAAGTCATAAATCTACGATCTCTGCGACCCCTAGATGAAGAGACCATTTTGAAATCTGTGGTGAAAACGAATCACATCATTAGCGTTGAACAAGGGTGGCCTCAGTGTGGTATCGGAGCAGAAATTTCAGCTAGGATAATGGAAAGTAAGTTTTACCTCACAAAATCATTTCGAATGGTGGTTTTTTTTTTTTTTTTTTTTTTTTTTTTTTTTAAATGGCAGGGGTGCAGAAAGTTTTTCTCCTACGAATTTTATGAGGTTGCCCTCATGATAGTGTCCACATGAGATTTGCGTTCTCACTAGTTCTTTTGCATAAGAGAGCGTGTCACACAGTTTCCTTATGCTAAAAGTTATGCGCTTAGCAGGTTTGTGTTTTCTGTCCTCACACTTACAAAATCTCATGAAGTACAAAAACTATGATCTCAATGGCATTGACTATCACCGTGACTGTGATCGAAAAGTTTTGCTCCAGGTTGTTGAGTCTTATCACTCAAGAAAACATAATTGACAGAAAATTTGTGTTCAAAATTTCATCAAATATGCTCAAAAGTAATCCATTTCCCCTTTAAAAAACGTAAAAAATCATGAACAGTCAAAGTTAATTAATAATTTGAGTTATTTTACATGATTAACGGTGCTCATGGGCCGTTTATAATATGTGAAGTTTAATTTCATATCACTTATTTTATTAACTTTATCGATCATATCTATCAAGATGTGGTTGATGAGGTACCGATGTTTCCAAAAATCGGTAAGATAAAGGTCTCATAACATCTCAATTTCATATCCTTTATTTTTTTACGTAGGTCCGATCCTAGGTCCCGGCACAGGATAAGTTCCTATTCTCTGACATTTAAAAGCAAAATGATAACAGTCGACACCTCATCCCCCCTTCCCTGAGAGTGATACATATTTTATGAATGACTGCTTACTTTACATCACCATATGCAATTTTTACTACCAGCACCATACATTCTTTCGATCAACATCAGAACCCATCTTCCTTTCTGTTAAATTCGTGAGATTTCTAAACTGCCCAATAAGCAACTCAGACCAAGACTGTACCACCTCTCTTTATTAAAGCATTTACTTACTTTGCAGGTGAGGCTTTCTATCATTTAGATTCACCGTTAATCCGAGTCACCGGTGCTGATATTCCTATGCCCTACACAAAGAGCCTGGAAATTGCTGCCCTTCCGCAAGCAGATGATGTTGTAACTGTTGTCCAAAAGGTCTTGGGTGTGAAATGATGAGCTTGAATGCGGAACCTTACATAAATAAGTTTAAGTTAATGAAATGGCATTGTGCTCCTTTTTAAATTGCTATCAATTAATAACCAAGTGGAAGAGCAATAACTGAATACCTAATGTTGGAGTCTCTAATGAATGGAGGAGGTAAGTAATGTCTCTGGAAAAATTGAGATATCAGTGGTCTCATGGGAAACCTGTTTCAAAGTAAACTTCGCACAAAATGGACCTCGGAAACGAATTTTTCAGTTCCATAAAATAGATTTTAACTGGGTCTTTAAGTCTCAGTGCTCCTTATCTCCTACTAATTTTTTTTTGTAACCACAAAAATTTTACTTATCTTCTTCATTCATGGCAGGCTTCAAATGTCTTTTTATGATGACTGATTTCCACCATATTGCAGCTTCATTTTTCTCTGAATAAGTTAAAAGTCCTTATTAAAGACATAGTACTGCCTAATATATCTGGACCGGATCTGCAGAGAGGGAATGTATCTTCCGGGAGAAAATTTTCCTTAACGTTCGTAAACTTAAACCTTACTTTTCTACAACCTAAGAATTTTTGTCATTGGACTTCAGTATCTCTTTCAATTTTTGAGATTATAGGGTCATATTCGGGCAAACATTTCCAGATTTTCCTCCTCCATGTATTAGCAAAAAGTTAAGGAAAAAGTTCTCGGGGAATATGTTATCCCTTTCCACAACCTGGTCACAGTTGTGTAATGAACAATAGGTCAGCTGTGTTAGACACAAAATGGTCAAAACATTATTACATGACTTGCACAGCTGACTCATTGATTGGAGTTTTCTTTCGTGTATTCTTTTAAAAAGAATAGAAAAGTGTTCAAAATTATGTAAGCGGAACAGCGCACATTATAGGGGTCTAGATAATAAACTTTTCGATTTTGTAACTTATGTACAATAGCTTTCATTGGATAGCAATTTTCCAAAAAATTTCTTAACAGTAAGGCCTCCAGTGCCAACCTTTCATGCTCTTTAAAAGAAGCAGTTCATGGTTTTCGACAATAAAAAATTGAAAATATTTAGGTCTCTAATTAAAGAAAACAAGCTTTGACTGTAAGAGCTGTTCGCAACAAATCATGGATTTTGGAAGTAGGACTGTCTATAACCACTATTGTCACAATTTTTTTTATTTGTCATAACTTTTCCCTTTCAATTTATTGTTTCTTAATTTATTCAACCTAGTCTCAGGTGTAATTTTAGTTTACATGTGTTAACTGAACGCATCCCTGCAGTGGGTTTGCTTATATTTACCATTCAATGTTTGTGTAAGGCATATGATGCTCTGTTTTGTCTGTTTTTTTTTTTACACTTTATTTCCAAAATTTTTAGAAGCGCTCAAAATTCTTCTACAATAATCCTCAAACTAGAGTTGCTGATGTTCCTTTTACTGTGGATGTTCTGTCTTTTGTTGTTAGTAGTTGCGTTTGAATGTCCAATTCTATAATCTAAATTGGACCGCGTTTAACAGAAAGGAACCAAGCCACATCAGCTTTTGCCAAATTTAACTGAGCACTTTAATTTTTGACGAGAGAACGTTTGTGCAGATTCTTTTGACAAATTTTAAGAATTTGCTTCGTACTGTGGAGAAAATTCACTTAAATTTGCAAGAAAATTTGCACAACAGTTTCCATGTGAAAAATTAAATTGCCCAGTTAATTTTGGCAACAGCTGATGTGGCTCGGTTCCTTTCTGATTAACGCAGTCCAATTATGCTTCATCCAAAAATTCATGAATTTTGATAATTTTGTGCCATTGCAGGTGTGAGAACAGTGAATTTAAGTTCAGGATGTATGGACAGAAAAAATGTACAAATTCAGAACTTTTCGCAGAATACATATTTTCTATGTATATTGGGATTCTCCCAAAAATTTCTGCATTTTAGTTAAATTTGGAGGAACTTTTTTATATTGTTGCCTCCGGCACGAAGGATCGTATCTTGATTGCACTTTCTTGGTATTCTTTACTGACATTCTATTTTTATAGGAGAATCTTCATGTGAGTTTGCTTGAAATCTTCAGCAATTTTTTTTCACACTTGCAAGAAAAAGCATGAAAACTTTGTGCCTAAAAAAATAGCATGTTTGTATGAATAGTGAAACAGTGCAGGCAAGATAAATTTCTTCCTGCAGGAAACGATGATATAATGCAACTTAAAAATTATATTTCTTGTTTTTTCCTCCCTTTAACTAAGCATTGTATGCTTCGTTCTATACTCAGTGTTATAAACGCGGTCGTAAACCCTCAAAGGAGTTTGTTCGACTTCTCAAAGGATTCTCTCAAATTCTCAATACATACTACGCTTTGCTTGTTTTTGTTTGAACGGTGAATTAGCAATATTTACTTTGCCATCTACGTTGTAATGTATATTTGTACATTAGTTGTTACATAATTATAGAGTACGCTCTATAAAGCTGTTGAGTTTGGTATTATACTGAAAGTTGTTTTTTTCTTTTTATAGTCTAGATCTAAGCTTGCCAAACAAACATAGACAAAACATATAAAATTGAAGACCGGCACTTGGTGATTTTTTTTTGCATACTAATTTCATTCGTAAATATTTTCTTTCGAAAACCAGCTGAGAACAAAAAATTTTAATTTCCAACAAGACTGTTACAAAAAATGGAACTCTTTGTTCATTACAAAATGTGGATGAGCGTATCTTCATTTTGTAAGAGGAATCATGTTTTTCCATGAAAAGTTTTGAATCATTAAAAATTGTTGTGTAATATGATATTTAAGAAGATTCCTATTTCTTACATTTTTCAGCATCGTTATGAAACATGATTCATGTTTATTTTAGGAAAAATAATTTGAAATTCTGAAAAGAATCTGTTGATCTTTCATTTGAAAAACGTCTTGCCTAGAAACTTGTTTTGCTGCATTGAGTTATTTCTATTGTTACAGTCTATTAAAGGTTTACTTTCTCTCTCAAAATTAGGATTTTAAATTGGATTTAGAATTCAATAGTAGCAAGCTAAAAATGATGTACTACTTAAAAGAGTTAAATTAATGATTAATTCCTTTTGGAAAAAATAATTTTGTTTTCCATGGCTCAATTTTTGAGCAATGCTGTATACATTCCTTTGTAATTTACAATTTGAAAATAACTTTCACAGCAATACTATCCTAGCAATTCATTTTAATATCCTGGGAAGCAGAGACCAGGAACCACAGCCAGGTTTTCTTGACAGGAATTGAAATTTTTTCTATAAAACTGCTCATCTAAAGTAACAGAGGTGGACTGGGGCGGGAGAAATGGCCTAAAATACCAGCTCATCAGTGCTTCGACCTTTTCAGTCGTTTTTAGCTGTCTGAAGGAGACAAATTGGTTCCAATAAATTGCCCCAAATTTCAACCCTACCGTGCTAAGGAAAAACGCTGTGTGAACATTCTAATGTTAAGATCTTTTACATTAAACTGCATCTTGAATTTACTGAAAAATTCTAAGGAGAATATTTGCATGTTTTCTGGGAAAGTCATATTTTATCAGAAAAATTTTTACAATAACTGAATGCACACACTAGAGTTTTTCCTTAGGAGGGCAAAAATTGATTTCATTAAGGAGAGGAACCAGAGCAATTAAAGTGTTTTTAAAATCGTGCAACTTGTTCTTTTTTTGAAAAAATATCAACATAGGTACAGTATTAAAATTTACAGTTATTTTCCTTTAAAAGTAACAATTCTTCGGTGGGAAGCCAAAATTATTTGCTATTCAAGGAGACTTTTTAGATAATTATGAAGGAGCAACATTTTTACGACACTGTAATTGCGCTGATTCCTTTTTGCTAAATGCGATCCAAATGGTCCACTGCAATCCTTCCTGATGTTCCAGCTGGCCTGACTGCCTTCGTAAAGTGATGCCAACTCTGCGTTTGAGCCCTTAGAGAAACTTCCTTCAAGAATAGTGAAGCCTATCTGTTGCTCCTAGTCTCTGCTGGAAAGTGTTATCATGTTAAGCGATTTCAAAGCGTTGCTCTCTTTTACTCGTAATTTGATGAATGAGATTAAATTTTAATTTTCTAAAATACTTGGCTAAGAACACTGGCAGTTTATGGGATACAAAATGTTTTATTTGGAATCTGGAAAGAGGGATTCTTCCTCGTATGGTTCTCCAATTAATTCAGTTCGATAACATGATAGCAATCTTGAAATCCCTTACGGAGCACACTACTTATGGGTCCCTCAACATTTTTTTTTTTTTTAAGGAATAAATGAAAAGGTTGAAAATAAGTCCTTGTGTTGTGCCCTCAGCTGTTGGTCTTAAACTCAACTGTTGCACAAGGAGGTTTTAGATGATAACTCTTTCTTCAGCTTAAGGGTGCACAGGCTTCTTTCTCTAGGCAGATATTATCACATCTGTAAAATATTTTGGCCGAAAATGCTTTCATATCTCATGACGTTTTGATACTCTGCAAGATCTAATTATTATTAAAGTATGATTTTAAGACATCAATGGTCTGATGAAATTTTTGGTTCAGTGAAGCAATGGTATACTTTCACAAGGAGAGGAGAGATGAAAAAAGAACTTTAAGGATTACAAAATAGAACACCGTTTACTGTTCAAAAATAAACTGGCACAAAACATAATCTTGGAACTGAACGAATGTAACAACATAAGAATTGAAATTAAATGGTAGAGGAAATGAAAAAATTACAGATTCCCTAAATACTATTGAAGAATTACGAGCTTAAATGTAGTAGGTTGCGATCAAGTTCATATGGATAAAAAGAAATATTCTTTACGTAAGACGCAAACATTTGAAAAGACTGCTTACATGCTGTAGATGCTAATTATGGGGAAAATAACAGAAAGGCATTTACTTCTTCATAATAAATCCTTCCATTAATTGACTCACTATTACTTTGAATACTGGTCAGATTAGACTATTTCTGGATGAGGCAATTGTCATAATTTTGCCTGATTCGTGTGGTTTTATTTTCCTCGAAGCGATTGAAAAATCTTGCTTGTCGCAAAATAATTTAGGAAAAATTTACCTTTAGATACTTAACTAATCAGTTCTATCTCTAAAATTGGTTAGAGTCCATTAAGTAATAATTAGTCTAAAATTTACAAAGAGTGATTATTGTGTTAAACCGGAAGATAAGAGTATGATGCTTGAATCATTCACCTAAAACTGTTACAATTTCAAAAATAACTTAAGATAAATGTTTACTCATTTCGTTAAACGCAGAAAAACTGCAGAGATTTAAAAATAATTATTACTTTAAAAAAATTGAGAAAAGGAGAGGAAACAAAAAATCTATCAGAAAAAATTTCATTCCATAGCAAGGTTGAATATTTTTGCCTTCATATTTTCATGAAATACTTGTTACAAACTGAATACTACGTAGACTGGTGTGTCTTAAAAACACTATTGCTACACATGAAAACGTTGAATTTTTAAAGCAAGGTGCAGAAATTGAAGGTATAGAATTGATTTGTCTGGTATTATGCAAATGATTAATAAAAAGAACTATGTTGTACAAAAATATCCAGCCTAAACAGAAAACAAAAAGCGATTGAAAATGCGATAGCTGCGCAAACATTGATCAAATCTAGTTTCTAGTTATTATGAAGTTCGATACACTTTGATAATACTTAAATGCAATATCTACTAATTCAAGCCAACAAAAGTTACAGGCTCCTGACACTGAAAAAGACTAGACAATATCCATTATGATTTTTGTTACAACAAAAAAACAAAAAACAAAAAAAAAAAGAGGTGATTTTACTGTTGATAAAAGTTTTGGTGACTTTCTCTCTTTCGGCATTTCATGAGAAAAATGAGACGATTTGGCAGACTACAGTTCAGAGATGCACGTAAATAATTAAGTGAAAAAAAAATAGAGAAATTGATGTTGGAACTAAAAATATTAACTCAACTGCGCAAGATTTCGATAAAATAATTAAAATTAACAGAAATCATTATGAGCAGGTAAGATGAGCAATAAATTATTTTCCCCACAAAAAAGAGAAAATATTAGAACCAGGTAAACATTTGAGATTTCGAGTTGGAAGCATTTTTTTCTTAAAACTACATACACTCGTTCACATGAGACTTCAGCTGGAGATTCGGGCACCTATAGTTACAATAAATGGTAAAAATAAGGAACATCTTACGACAAGACCTCAGTTTCATTTTAATTACTTATCTGACTACATATGTACAATTCCTTGGCAAAAAAAAAAGAATGGTAAGTTTAAGTTATTTGTTAAAAAACTATCAAGTAGCTGAAATGCGTTCATACCAATAAGATAGCCGACTTTCAGAGAGAGGTGGAAATTCTGTCATATTGATTCTAACATCGAGCTTCAAAATGGGAAATGAAACCAACACACCTCCGACCGCATTCTAAAGTCCGCCACCTTAATGGACATAAACTCTAGTAATGAATTAACATTAATCATACAAAAAGTCTACTTGTATTTACAATATAGTACAGTCGAGCAATCCTGCTGAAGTGTAAAAGATAAAGAATCATTCGGAAGAATGACAGGCAACTTTTTATTCTTGTAAAAACTAAGATAATTTCACGCATAAACTGGTAATAGAAATATTGGTACATACCAAATATTGGGTTCATAGGCTTAAATAGTATTTTTGATAGTAGATTTAATTTTTAATGATAGAAAAAACACACCATGAAAGGTAGGACAGGTGATTGTAGGCTTAGCAAATACCAAATTATCACTGGATTAATTAGATAATCGAATAGACTACATATTGCAATTAAGAACTACCATTTTTGACTTATGTGTGAAAGCACATAACCGCATAGGGGAACTAATATCACATATGTCGTACCTACAGAGTCAAGAACAGTAGTTCCTTATTGCAAAATAAGATTCAAATGCATTTCTTCAACCCACTGCTATTTAACTTCATACATGATGGACTGCATTTGTCTTACAGGAAAAATTACCCCTATAAAATTGAGAGCACACAAAAAAATACTCCCAGCAAAATTGTGAGATATTTTTAACAACAGCCTTTTTGTCGCAGCCTCAAACGTATCTGAAGAAATTACAATAACAAGAATTTCAGACTCCTGTCATCAAGAAGACGCAAAAATAATAATAAATTTAGAAGAGCAGACTTAAAATTCCTAAGTTCTTTGTAACTGCCGCGATTTTGAAAAATTGTCCTCTTGGATCTTCGATAGATTACTGAAAAACCAAATTCAAAAACTATCAACTACTAAAATAAACTTAATGGCTTAATAATGTAGAAGAGAATTAAATTAAGGGAGAGAGGGGGGAGGAAATACTGTTGTATGATGCTTAAAAACGAGACCAAGATTTTGCCCTCAGGAAGAAAAAAATTCCTTTTTTCTGGTAACACGACAGCTGTAGACGATGAGCTCCCTAAATGAAACAGATTACATCTGCTCTGTAATATAATTTACAGTCTAAGCTCATCTTCAAATACTTCATTCTGTCAAAGGAAAAAAAAGAAAGGGACAAAGAAATATGTAGAACTGCCGTCAAAATAAAAAATACGAGTTTTTCTTAAAAATTAAGTTACAGGATAGGATCTGTTCAGTATTGTCAAATTAGACTGGTCGATGTGTGATCGGCAAAGATTCCTCTACCGAAAAATCACGATCGGATTGAAAACAAAGTTCAAAATGAACTTCAAGCACATGTAGAGGCTACTCAAGTTGATCACTGATGTTGACGAGACGATTGTTTGGTTATCGAGGGAAGTGTCATGGCACGTTATGCATCCGATTGCCTGGAGAAGGAGACTGGGTTCACTTGGCGACAGAAGACCAGACTCCTCTGGAGTAAGGATACCGGTGAACAATATCGTATCACCCTCTTTCAGCAGGCGTGTGAAGTTGTAGAAAGCATTGCCGGCGAGGAGAGACACGCGCGTGGGAGGTTGCCAAGCGTTCATCGAAATTTGAGCGCTGATATTTAGAGTGTACCTGTAAACAGAGAAAATTAATATCTGGCCATATATACTATGTGGGGGCGTTACTCAGATGGTAAGGGTGGTTCAGCTAAGGAACGAGACAACAACTAGTATGGAGCGACAAAATATTGAGACTTGAGCGCTGATATTTAGAGTGTACCTGTAAACAGAGAAAATTAATATATGGCCATATATACTATGTGGGGGCGTTACTCAGATGGTAAGGGTGGTTCAGCTGAGGAACGAGACAACAACTAGTATGGAGCGACAAAATATTGAGACTGGAAACCCTCAGTCCTTGCTTACAATGCGGCTTCACGCTACATTTTTCACTATACTTCTACACTAAAACTTCACTTTTACTAAGCTTCGACTCTTCACTACTCATGTGTAGGACTGCGGACCTTCAGCTACACATCAGACCTCGGCCATTCAACTGCTTCACAGTTTTATGGCGTCGGATGAGGCGTTCCATGGCCAAGACTGAATCTCCAGCCCAAAAGTCCGGCCCAGGAAAAGCTTGCCTCGCACCGTTACTCAAAGTAAATTGAGCAAAAACTTGATCGGGCAATAGCCAATAAGCTACCAAAATGGGATTGTACATCAGACGTACTGCCCTGTTTCTTTTTGGGTTGGAAATGAGAATTCCTATTAACTCAAAAGTACAATGAGTCAGTTGTGCTGCTTAAAGAATTTTGTTTTGATGGTTTGAGCTTATAGATTGGCGAGAAATAATAAAATCTGATCAAACGCAAAGTTTCTACGTCCAATGTTAATGGAGATACCACTCATTGAAAAAAAATGGTGAGAGTTGCCATCCAATGCAGTAGTGCATGCCATGGTTTCTTCCACCTTGGTTGCATCCATTTTTTACATTAAGCGATCAGTGCAAATATGTGTGGTACTGATTAATGAAACCAAGGTAGGAGAAACCATGATGTACACAACCGTGGTGGAGTACGTCATACGACGTGTTTTGTAATAATAAGTGGTATCTCCATTAATATTGGATGTAGAAATTTGGAATCTGCAAGCTTGAACTATCATAAAATGATTCCATGACTACCGCAACTGACTCATTGTGTTCAAAATGATAGACTCCATCAAGGGCAGTATGGAAACAGCCTCTTTTTTTCCATCAAAAAAGCTGTTTTGAGCTTTTTTAAATTCTTTTTTCTTGCAACAGCCTCATTACCTTGGTACAAACCAGTAACTTCGAATATTTTAAGACACCTGAGACTCATGCAGTAATTCTACAGATTGAAATAAGTAGCATTCATTATAGAAATGTTAGATAAAGAAAATAGCAAAAATTGCACGATAAAAGACTTATTTCTAATTTCTACACCTATGAAAATCTTGAAAATAACAGAAATATATGTACCTGGTCAAAATTTCAAAGAAAACTAAATTAGTGTTACGCAGATCAAAGTTGCATAATTGCCACTGCAAGATTATTTCGCAGATAGATGATTTTCCGTGAAAAAGAGTGCGATATTAAAACTTTGAAGAAATGAATAGCTTCACAATTATTACTAATAAATATTGCATGATTAACGACTTACCTATTCCAGTTTGAAACATGGCATTCATTAGACAGTTTCTCCTCGAGTTCATTGTTTTTCAAAGCATCCATAGGAAATTTCTCACCAAACAGACACGCAGCAGATGATCTCAACCTCTGTAAAATAAAAAGAGAATTTAAAAAAGAGCTCATACATATCAAGGGAAGTTATTTGGTTTTGAAATCAGAACGGATGCACTTCATGCAAAGCAACTTATACTTGACGAAAATAAAAAAATATCTAGAACTGCATATTTTTTAAAAATATTCAATGAATTAAGCGCCAGATAATTTGAAAAAAACAATTGCTGGCTCCCTGATTGCTTCTCATATTTGTGCAGTCTTGGTCTTATATATTTAAATTTCAAGAATTTTTCCGATAGAGCAGTAGCAAATATTTTTTTCAAGGTTGTGGTATAGTCTTAAAAAACCAAGAATTTCAAAAAATCATTTCTGAGAAAAGAAAAGGCTAATCAAAATCTGAAAAATCAAAAGCTGACAGTTGATGAGGTAAGGCGATTGGAGTCTTTGGACTTTTTAAACGCAGGCTTGGTTGGTATTTTGGTTCCAAAATCACTCAATAAATCACAACACGTTCTACTCTCCTGGTACTTCCAGAGTATTGAATAAAAAACACCGGGTTTAGTGACCAATTAAGGGTATGCCTAGATGGTTAAAGAGACATTATTTGATATAGCTTTCATGCAAAATGTGTTGTTTGAAACATCAAACTCATTCTAGAAAGCAGATGACTTAACAATTTTTCCCTAAAACTTTTGCCATTTTGCCTGACATTCCCAGGTCTTCCTGCCCTTTCAAAATTCCCTGAAAATTCCCAGTTTTCCCGGTATACCCTGACTGTGGCGACCCTGAGTTGATGAAAGAGAAATTTAAGAAAAAATGAATTCTTTGATACAAACGAATCAACAAAAACTTACAAAAGGTAACTTATTGATGATGCTTAATGCAGGATTATCAACATTAGTGATTCTGACGGACTGCACAGTCCCGTCCCAAGTGACAGATTGGCCGATGAGCTGTAAGCACTTTGCTTTAGCGTCAATACTTGACCCATCCTGTTGGCAGTAGTCTTGAAACTCGGCCAAGGACAGTGACTGCTTTGTGGTCAATTTAGCAGAAACAGACGTAGCAGGCGGTTGGTCCCAGGTTGCAAAGAGGATCATTGCAGCCATCAAAGACATTATGAACTGTCAGGCAAAAAAGAAAAATTAATCTCAATAGATGAATAGAGCCCTTAATAGCGTTTTGATAAGGAGTTCGTGCAAGAATGGAATACTCGTGAATTAACGAAGTACACCTATACAAAATTATGTGTTAAAGGCAATGTTGCTGATGCTTTTGTCTGACACTAACTCTTGGACTCACAGAAACTCATGATGTTTTCATCATAATGCTAAAGTAATATGCAATTGTGTTAGAAACCACTTGTGTATTGGGTCTACCGCAAATTTCGGTTTAAGTGAGAGCAAATATTATTGCGAGAGAGAAATGGCTGAAAAATTTGAATGAGAGTACTGGAAAGGGCTAGAGACAATTCCTTACTTTACAATCTGCTTTCCTTCTTACAATCCCTAAATGAAACATCATTAATAAAATAAAACACTAAATCTGTAGTGTCAACTTTGGTCTTTCATCATCAAGATGTACCTCATAGAAGAAACATGGTACCGACCTGAATCCATACGAAATACCGCGCAGCATTCCACCTGGAGAAAATAATGGAAAGGATGATCGGAGATGACGCAACGATTATAGTGGTGATTACTCTTATGAAGGTATCATAATCTGCCAGAAGTTTACCAGCTGCAACAACAGGTAGCAGAATTGAGGCAAATGTTGCCAATGGCAAGAAGAGAACGAAACCAACCAGTGCTAGGGTACATCGAAGAAGTCCATACCATGTAGCTCCTGAAAATGATAAAATATCTGATAAAAGTAAAGTTAAAGGTCCATTTTCGGACACACTCAAAAATGACGAAAAGCCTTTCATTGCGAAGGCCAATGGTTAAATAGATTTAAAGTTAACGCAAGGATATTCTTTTGAATCATTCAAATGACAGAAATAAAACCCCATAAAATTCTTACATTTCCATTTCGACTTGAAATCTCCTCTTAATTAGTTTTATCTCAAGTTTGACAAAGTACAATTTACCCTTTTGTTCTGAACTTAAATACTGACATAGTGTGCAACACTTATCTTTTCTTTCATTAGACTTTTATTATTAGACATGCTATCAAAACCTACGTATTTAGTGCTTATTATTTGACAGTATTAATAGGAGAGTTTTCAATCAATTCCTGCAGTGAAAAAAGTTGACACATACATAAAGTCGCGATTATAGCGCCGCCTCGCGCTCTGCGACGCCCAATCGCCATTGCCCCCTATCCTCCCAGAGATCATCAGGCAATTGGCACCTTCTGATCTCCTCCTCCACCCCTTGTCGCCAACCTTTCACAGGACGTCCACGCCGTCGCCTTCCGGGAGGAACCCAATCGAAGACCTGCTTGGGCAACCGATCATCTGCCATCCTTCGCACATGTCCATACCAGACCAACTGCTTGGACCTGATATCGTGCACGATGTCCTTTTCCACACCCATTATCTCGCGTACCCTTTCATTGCGGATACGCTCTCTTCTCGATATCCCAGCAGACCTTCGCCAAAAGTCCATCTCGGTTGCCCTAAGCATGTCTTCAGTTCTTTTCTTAAGTTGCCAGACCTCACTCCCGTAAGTTACGATACTCTTCACGATGACGTTGTAAATTTTCCTTTTGGTCTCCTTGGAGATACTCTGGTCCCAGAGAACCCCATTTAGCATCGCGATAGCTTTCCTGCCTTGCACATTCCGATCTTTAATGGCCCGATCCAAATTTCCGTCCTTAGTTAACCGAACTCCGAGATATTTATACTCTTCACAGTCCAGGATCTTCCGGCCATCCTCCAGTTCAATGCTTTGCTGATCACCACCGATAACCAACTTCTCCGTCTTAACCACATTTACTTCCATTCCCCACTTTCGGTATACTTCCACTAGCTTCCGCGTCATGTAATTCGCATCTTCTTCGTCCTGAGCTATTACCACCTGATCATCAGCAAAGCACAGAGTATAAAGGGTGCCATCTTCACGTAGCGGGACGCCCATTCCCGAAAAGCATCTTTTCCATTCCTTTAAAACTTCTTCCAGGTACACTTTAAATAAGGTTGGCGACAAACAACACCCTTGTTTCAGTCCTTTAGTAATTAAAAACCCCAACGATAACTCCCCATGCGATTTAACCCTAGAGAAAGCCCCACCATAAAATTCCTTAATAGCACTAATTAGTCCCCCACTAAAACCCCTTTTGTTCAAGGCTTCCCAAAGTTTCATCAATGGCACACTATCGTAAGCTTTCTGGAGATCCACAAACACTAGATGTAATTCCTGGCCAACTCCCTTCTTTTTCTCTATGACGTGGATGATGGTAAATAAGTGATCAATCGTTGACCGACCGGCTCTGAAACCTGCTTGCTCTTCCGCTTCATGTTCTTTCCACTCCTCTTCAATTTTTGCTTTCAAGATTTTTCCATACACTTTGCTCAGGGTACCTGCAACCGACAGTCCTCTATAGTTATCACACTCATCTTTTCTACCCTTCTTCTTGTATATAGGTGACACCCAAGACTCTTTCCATTCTGTCGGTACCTTTCCACCGTCCAAGCAATCTTGCATCAGGTATCTCAACCGTTGAAACAGCTTGCAGGTTCCACACTTGATCAACTCAGCAGGGATATTTCCCGGACCTGGAGCTTTATCGTTCTTCAGCTCTCGTACGGCCTTTACCACGTCCTCCATATGGATCTCCAAGTTATGATTATCGTTAGTATACTCCAAGCTTACGCCTCCATCTTGAAATTCAGGTCGCCTTTCTGTCAGTAAATTTTTAAAATACCCCTCCAGTTTATCAATGGATATCGGAGATATTAAGTCACGCTTCATGTCCCTTCGCAGCCCTTTCAGCAACTTCCAGCTCTCAGTGCTTTTCCTTCCTCCTATGTACGTGTCTATTTTGTTACAGCTCCTCTCCCAAGATTCGTTCTTTTTCTTGGTTATGAGCCTTCGTACCTGCGTCTGAGCTTTTTTATACGCCTCTTTGTCTTCTGTTTTTTTAGAGGAAAGGAACTGATGATATTTTTTCCGTTTCTCCTGAATCTCCTTCTCAATTTCTTCGTCCCACCAGTAAGGTTTTTCGCTAACTTTCCTATCATCAGCGACACCAAGAGCTTCCATTGCTGCCGAGTGAATGCAATCCTTCAGGAACTGATACTGCTGTTCGGTATCACCGTCCCTTGATTCGCCCAACTTCTCATCCAAGCGCTTTCCATATAAAGCCCTTACACTTGGATGCTGCAAGCTGTCAATGTTATAGTTTACAAGCTTGACACGATCTTTTTGTTGGTGAACTTCTTCCTGTGCTTGCCTGGTCTCCTGGCTCCCTTTCACTGGGAAAGCTATTTTTGCCCCGAGGAAATAATGATCACTGCCGCAGGAAAGACCTCTCCACACTCTAACTTGCTGAATCTTCATTCCCGTGTCTTGTCTGACAACCACATAATCAATGATTGATTTCAATCCGCGAGTAGACTGAACCCAAGTAAATTTATGGATATCCTTGTGTTGGTAGAACCCATTGAGCACCTTCATGTCCCTTTGCTCACATACGTCAATGATACGGGCTCCGTTATCATTTAGTGCCGCCTCTCCGAAAGGGCCGACGATCTTACTTTTAATTTGACGTCCTATTCTACCATTGAGATCTCCCAACACAATGATTTCCCTCCTGGATCCAATCTTACCAATTTCCTCGTTCAATTCTTCGAAAAATTGGTCCTTCACTGCGACAGTGGAATCATCGTTGACTCCATACACTCCCAAAATGGTGATTTTATGGCCAAACACTGTCATATTCATCTTTATCATTCGGGGGTTAACAGCTTCCCATGTAGTGATGCACTTCCGTAGGCTCTTGCGAATAAGAATTGCAACACCCTGTTGAGCTCGCTGATCTTTTTCCACGCCACTATAAAACAAATCGTATTCCTTTACACTTACAGAGCCTTGTCCTTTCTTCTTCGTTTCTGTTAATACCGTGACATCAAATCCGTGACTCCCTATCTCCGATACCACTTCCGTCATTTTCGTAGAAATTCCTTGTACGTTCCATGTTCCAAAAACCATCATCCGTTTACGTAATTTTTTCCGATAAATCCGTTTATTTCCATTTGTACCGAGGCAATTGTTATTGGGTCTTTTAACAGTATTCCTTTTTCCGAGTATCGGGGAGTTAGCCCGATGACTCAACCCCCAACCTGGAGGACCGGGGTTTGATTTCGGAGTTTCCTCTCCTAGACAGGTTGCTTCCACTACAGCTGAGAGCCCTGTCTGCCCTTCCAATGGGTGGTTCATACGCCTTGAAGCCGGTGACCATCTCCACTACCCCATGAGGCAGGGGTTACCAGCTGGGGTCCGCAGGATTGCTAAACCTGTGACATCAGTCCCCCATACGGGCACAAAAAAGTTGACACTTCTGCAAAAAGAATTGAACAGGAGAAAAAATCTCACCTTGTGCTAGGATAAGGGTTAACTGCCACCAGGCAAGAGATACGCAATGTGGGATAAAAGATTTATAGATCCCCCTCCACTTGTCGCGGGAAGCCATTCTCACAAAAACAGCCGGAATCAGCAAGTAAAAAAGGGCACGGAAATTGAGACAGAATTCTATACCATTACCTGAAAAATACAAAGAAAAATTAAAAAATCAGCAAGAATAACATTTGAAGTCTCATCATGAGGCATAGGCTAGTCATCCACAGGCGAAGAGCCAAAAAATCGAAAATTGAGTGGGACGTGGCATTTCATTCTAAGCACCATGGGAAACATGCTGCATGATGGACTGAAAACCACCAACACTAGAGTAGTGAATACTACATCTGAAACAAGGAGTCGAACAAAATTTGATTTTGGATATTCCTGATATTCTTCTGATTTTTCCTGATATTTTACGTGAGATTTTCTGATTTTTTGCGCGTATACATTGAAACTTGTTAGATTTTACAAACCAACGGATTTAATGAATTAAATCAAATGTTGCACTTTTGTATATACTAAACTTCATGTTGTTGAAAAATGTTCGACGCACTCGAGATTTTCTGTTACATGACTGCTTTAGTTCCTGATATTTTCCTGATTTTTCTTGATGACATCAAATTTCCAGATATTTTTGGTTTTTACTGATGGTAGACACCCTGTGAAAGATGGAGTAGTAGGATGTTCCACAGCGGTATTCAAAGATAAAAATGTGAATAACTTAAAATCAGAATAGGAGAGAGGGTGTTTATGTAAGGGGTGTATGAAGAATATTTTCAGAGAAATGATGAAAAATTCAGTATTTTGAAGATTAAAAAATTCTGATCAAGACCTAATTAAAACATTTGAAAGGATTTTCTTGAGAACAGTTCGAAATGCGGTTCAAAAAGAAGGGTTTCGTCCACAAGAGATAATAATCGAATCTGTTGGGCCAAATCAAAAACACTGTACTTTCACTATAGAGATAAGTTAAGAATTTACCATGATGCTTTAACATAACGGATAAAATCTTCATAAAATACAGCTTCTGACTATTTGATAATTCACAAACTCACCGACAACATAGGAAGCAAAAGTGGGGACTTGAACATCCAGATAACGCCATCCTTGACTCACCACCGTGTCCGTTTCATACGGGTATTTTGCCAAGACATGCACACCAAACGAGAACAAAGCTAGCCAGTCAAATGATTTTGGACTGCTGATGCTTTGAGACCGAAACTGCGAAGAACAAAAAAGCATAATGATTAAAGATGGATCAAAAATTCCATTATATAAATAATTATTTGTATTTATTTTCTCATTTAATGGTAGAGCAATTTACTTGAATAACACATAATTTGAGGCAAAACAGGCACCAAGAAAAGAGATGATGCTCTTGAAAAAAAGTTTTGCCCTTTTGAAAATTGCATTATCCTTTCGTCTTGATTACAAAAAACCAAGCAATCATTCAAAATGTCATTTGGCGATGAACTTTTCTTAATGTTTGATCGGGTTGCGACAGATCTGGCTATTCGTCAAAATTTTCCCCCTTGAATTGTTTTTCTCCTGGACTCTTAGATGTCATTCTCTCTTATTTATTTAATTCATTTGTTTAAATTAAATTAGTCTCTAATTTTTATATTTTTCCTGTCAAGTTGCTTGAGTTGTTGTGATTTGGCATTCTTGATCGATTGTTACATAGTTTCTTTGCTATAGCATGGATTTGCAACCCATACATTTATCAATAAATAAAGAAACAATATTAGAGACCTCAATCTTCTAAAATAATTGTACAAGAATGAATCTCTGAGTGAATTTTACAATGATAAGAAATCTTAAACAATCATATTACTGATCAGGTAGGTACTGGCCTTGGAAGCAATATCAGGGCTAACTGAACTAATTTATTAAGATGATCATGATAGATTAAAAAATACTTACCGAAAATGATTGAAGGGAAAAAAAAGTAGCACAAAAAGATATCACAGTTAGTTCAGAGTAAAATTTTAGTTCATCTGCCACAAACGGGTATAAGCTTAGATTCACGAGTAACACTAGGAAAAATATAATATATGGCCGAAGATTGTTCTTTAAGTACAATAACTCAGCCTCTTGAGGCAATAAGTTTTCGTTTGAATACGCAATAAACAAGTTTGACCACCGCCGAAACTGGTGGAAGTCTCTTTTGCTGAACAATATTTTACAGGTAGAGACAATCAAAATAGCAAATGACACTGCATAAAGAGTTAACGGTAACTTTGCAACGACATCATCGTAGCCGATGATGGAGTAGAGTGCTAGGATTGCGACGATTTGTACGTGTAGAAGAGAGAAGTTTAAAAGTTTTCGGAAAAATTGGTATCTGCCGAAGTATTCTATGAACGAGAAACATGCTGATTCAAGGGCTTCTAGAGGGTGCGTCAGACTGTGCTTGAGATAACGAACATTCCATCGCCGGTGACTTTCTTCTTGACTCTGTTTCAGAGTTAGGACTCGCTGGACAATAGGTAGTTCGCCTTGGGCGTAGTGACTAGCAGCTAGAACGAGCATGTCTTCAGATAGTTTTTCGCCTCCACTCACGAGACGTGACCGCCAGTCTGAAAAATACAAGTTCGTTTCAGAATCGTAGTTTTTACAGTGACTAAGATGATGAAATACTGCAGTGCTGCCATGCTAAGGAAGAATGCCTCCAACACTTCCGAATTTCCTTCAATAAAATATTAATTTTCACGGAAATTTGTGAATATTTCTCTTCAGATTCCTCAGAAAATTTTAGGTGCAATCAGATCAAAATTACATGGAAATTTCAAGAGAGAATATTCATAAAATTCCGCAAAAGTAAACATATTATTGGAAGAAAATTAGCAACTCTCGAATGTTCGTACAACGTTTTTTCCTAGCACAGCAGAGTGATTCATGACAGCTTTCTGAAATCAAAATCAAGGGCACCTGACGATTTCTTGATGAATGAATTATTTTTCTAGGACTTGCAACACATTTTTGAGGTCTTAGAGAATGCTTTGAAAATAGAAGTTGCATTTTTCACACTTTATTTGCTGCTTGACTAATGATGACATTTCGTAAAAAAAATAAAGAAGGAAAAAAAGAAAAGAAAAAAAGAGTTGGTCTTCTGAAAAAGACACAAACCCAAAACTTAAGATGTTGCCATATTCAAAGGCTCCCACATAGATGCCTTGAGGCAATGAGCTTGTTGGGTGATTTTTAATTCTTGCGCATTAAAAAAGTAGAGGATTTTTTCCACAGGAATTTTCCTGGATTTTTCAGGACGCCAATGACCAACAAGAAACCTTCAAGTTGTTTTTTGTTGGATAGTACTTGTTGCTAAAATAATCCAGGAAAATTTCTGTGAGCCAAGTGCACGTTCTTCTTGTCAAAAATTCAATCCCTAATTGATATTTTCTCTCTTTTTTTTAATGTAAACAAAATTTAAAATATCATAACTACTAAAAGAACTATGTGCCTTGTATCTATCTACACAAATTAAATTTACGAGGATATTGAGGCCAGAAACTCTGGAACTCTGTCTTCTGTTAAAAGAAAATGAAGTGTACTACATGACTAGTTTAATCACATTGAGTTAAAAATTATTGTTTCGTTGTTCATTGTCTCATATTCAAGAACAGTACTTAGGAGAGCTTTCTGAGGCTTGGGGAACTCAACTGAGGATATAACATTTCTTTAAATGTCTGTCTAAGAAGTACATAAACGTTTAAAAGATTCTGATAAGATCAAACTTTTTGACAAAATAAGAAAATAGCATCATTTACCTGGTGCAGGTTCTTCTGAATCTTCATTGGGAACTGGTCCACCATTTGATGCGGAGGTAGAAGGCAGTTCAAGCCTTCCCATTTGTTGAGATAGTTGTTCTGAGGTAATAAAATCCTTGCCAGCAGACAGACTAGTGACAACAGTACGTTATAGTGTAAGTTAAAAGAAATACTAAAATATTGAAAACTAAATGATTGCAAAGGAATATGTAAAAAGATTTGATGAAATAATTCTAAGTGACAAGGCAAAAACTGCTACATCGAATAATTTTAGGTTTCTTGCAGTGTTTTCAAATACTTTAAAAATACACAAGAAAATGAACCATGGAAGAATTTTCTACATTTTCTAGATACTCATACACACATTGAATATCTTTGGTTGACTAAATAACATGATTTGAAGGAAATTCAACTTAAAATTTCAGGATATTGATCGAGTAATCTACTTTCTGCGAATTTTTAAATTTTCAAACAGATTTTAACCAGATTCAAAATGGCCGGATATTAGCATCTTCTAACATGTTGAACATGTATACCAACACACGGGAACATGGATCTGGATGCATGAAGGTAATTTTTCCAGGAGATCGATTTTTATCGAATAAGGGTGAAATATTATGATTTGAATTTTTGGCAGCAAATACTCTGTGGTGCCTAAGAGAATAAATAGCATTGCGGTTTCGTGTTTTTGAAGCCAAGAAAGAGTGAATCCAAAACTGCCAAAATCTGATAATTTTAGCTTAGAGACCCATGTAGCCTTCTTTCAAAACCACCATTTATATACTGCAAACTGCAAAGGATCATAGCTCTGGTTTATTACTCACAACAGTTTCTGTCGTATTTGCATTAAAAAGTCAACAAAACAATCTTGTAAGTGGTGGTAAGTACCAATACCTCAGTTATTAATTTGAAAGGCTATAAGACGACTTTTCTTTCAGACTGTCACATGTCAGAGATGGGCTTGAATGACATAAAGACGTAGAACTTACCAGGCAAACATGGTTCGCGCTGCTGTGCGAGCAACCTTTTCTTCTGTGGTCATTTCAAGACAAGCTTTGACATCTAAATAATTCTGTTCCGTAATTCCTGAAATGAAATTTATTATTGTAGGTTACGGCAGAAAACAAAGTTAGGTCAAAGAACTGATTTTAAAGAGAAGCAAAAATGGAAATTATGGCTCTAGTAAAACTAGATGTTACTTGAAAAAATTTGGGAAGAAACTTTCTGCTTCCCTTGTCAATATGTATATTTTTCAAATTTCATTGTGAATACTTTATTAAAACAATCTTCAAAAAATTTATCTGCATTTTTAAACTCACTAAACAGTTTCGATATGTTCTTCTTCAATACTCAACTGAAATTGGGTATCTGAACAAATTGCCTCTTCGACCAATAGCTGAGCCTCCCTCACAAGGAGTAAAAACTTCTCAACCATGCGAATGGCAAATAGCGATTGTTTGTGAGCAAAAATGGAAAGGTTCCGACAACAGGCATTAAAAATAGGAGGACCAACCCAAAACTTTTATACTTCCTGTGAAATCATGGTGAGAATTTCCTGCTTTGCAAAACCCTGGTGAAAATCATGGATGTTTCGCAAAACACAAGCAATGAAGAGGGGAAAAGGTCATCATTCACAGCTTTTTTTAAGTGAAAAGGGTGTCAAAAACAGGGAGGCCAATTTAAGAGATAGAAAGGCTAAGATTTTTCGGCATCCCTGCCTCCTCATTTTCTTTGATAATGGAGATGTTGCATGTGCGAGGGATTTGCGATTTGACCATTGATTCTTATGTAAAAGTTCGCAAGTAACACGATGGTGCCACGGGTTATCTCTGAAATCATCTCCCAAGCTCAAAAAAAGCTCTCAAAGTGAGGCCAAAATGGAGGAGATATCCCACCCCACCCTGAGAGTCCACCTCTACATCAAAACAAACTCTCCATGCAAAGATAGGGAGCAAATACATTGTCAGGGCTGCCACTTTATTTGGGGACTCCAAAACTGAAAACACGGCAACACTGCTAATATATTTGCTCCCTATCTTTGCATGGAGAGTTTGTTTTGATGTAGAGGTGAACTCTCAGGGTAGGGTGGGATATTCCCTCCATTTTGGCCTCACTTCAAAGCTTTTTATGAGCTTGGGAAATGATTTTAGAGAAAACCAGTGGCTCATCGTGTTTCTCGCGAACTTTTACATAAGAATCAATGGTCAAATCGCAAATCCCTCACACATGCAAAATCTCCATTGAAATAAAGACTTTTGAGTTATTTGTATAAAGTATCTTCATTCCTTAGAGAGGAAAGTATTTATAGCAGCACAATTCGGGTAAAAGTACTAAGTTACCTTTTCCTGTCTGTAAACATTGTTTCAATAGCTCAGTGGCTTCAACATGCCCTTGCTCAGATGCTTTGATCAACCAGTACACTCCAAGTCGAGCTTTCTCGTCAGGATCGCCATCTGTATCTGAAGTAGATGAAATGACGTTAATATGACAACCTCTAATGCATACTAAAAAATCATAGGCATTAAGTTTATAAAGAAGCAAACATTAAAACAAAATTAACCATGACAATACAAAGGTAACTCATACAAATTAGAATAAACTAAAAGAAAGAAAAAGAAAAAAATCAGCAAACATTGAAATGCAATGTCTGAGGGTAGTAGCACTGAATATATTGGAGTTTGGATTGTAGCCGAGTGCTAGAAATAATGTAAAATTTCTTTAAAAAAACTTACATTACTTATATTAACAAATTTAGACCAAAGCTTAAGACCGATTATTAAGAGTGATTTGATCTAATAGCTTCTTATCAATTGTTACCATCAGTGAAATCTGTTACCTTGTTTGAAATTTAAATTATGGCCTTTGTGATATTGATTTTGTGACCCTGACAATGAAGCGTTCGCTTCGAAAAGCTTCGGTCTAAATTTGTTAATAAAATGTAAGTTTTTTAAAGAAATTTTACATTATTTCTCGCACTCGGCTACAATCCAAACTCCAAACTGAAAGAGTAAGGTGACAAACAAACAGCTAAGGTTCAGTTTGCGTGGATACTTTTGAATTGTTTCCGTAGTGTCAAGTTGCATCCAGTTCTTGTTTAGATTTGGGACGGTTGGTTTACAAATGTATCAAGTAGAAACTGAATTTTGAGGAATTTACAATGCTGTTGGTTGTTAAAAATATAATAATGTGTGGATGTGAAGTTTGGCAACCAAAGAAACCGAAACAGGATATGCTAGGAGCAATGGAGATGGAATTCTAGAGGAGGTTGGCACGCTTTCTAGAGGAGATTAGGTCCGGAATGATAGTGTGTCAGATCATAGAAGTCTAAAATGACATTGTATCCTACATACCCAGCTAGTCTGGTATAAGAATGTAAACAGAATGACAGTAAAGACGGCCAAAGAAGATGCTTAATTGGGTTCCTCCATGGAAGAGATGAAGGGGATGCCTATTAAAAAGATGTTGACAGGGGGTTTTGCAAGAAATGAGGAGTGCCAACTCCCTGATAGGCTGAGAGAGGATGGGGGACTTGGGTGGCTAGCTGTCACAGAGCGCTAGAGAGTACTGTGAAAGCGGCTCTTATGTACCTAAAAGAATTATAGTTCTTTTTGACTCACCACCATTTTCCTTCAAAAGTTGTTTCCCGAGGTCCACTTGCGAGTCTGGACATCCATTCTCAGATAAATAACTTCCAAGACGTTTGAATCTCCCACCGGGACGATTATCTGAAAAGAGGAAATTAGAGAGAAAAAGTTTATTTTAAGCTTAAAGCAGCCCCATAAGACATTGAATGGCGATAAATTGCATGTTATTATCATGCTATGTCTTGTTTTGCTTTGCCGACATAGTTTCCAGAACCAGCCTGCTGGAGCACTCTTCTCACAATTACAAGCATTGCGTCTGACAGTCTGAAAGATGTAACAGAAGAGAGCTTCAGGTGCAACATGACAATTCACGATATTGGAGCAAAGTGCTTGAAAGTAGGTATCAAGACTTTGATGTACACAATGAGGATTCGATAGTGACATTCAATGCTCAGGTTTAAGTTAAATCATTGCATTTAATCAATCTGCCTTGCTTACCTACTCATTAGGAACATAATACTGATTGGCATTCAAAAATTCAAATCCGTTTTAATGCCCTAGGCTAGTACAGACCTACATTTTTCACTCGCTATCAAAATGACAACAACTCGATAAAAAAACGAAGAACATGCAGTGAACATAAATGTCCCCAGGATGCAAAGTTGCTCCTCAGGATTCCAGAATTTCAAAATCCAGAAACTTTAAAGAGCAGAGATTTTGAAAGGTTGTTGCTGATACCTGTTACATCGGAGCAGAAAGTAGAGGAAAGAATTTAGGTTAAATCTCACCATGCAGGGTCCATTGCTTTCGTGCAGATGTTTTGACGGGCAAAGGAACAAAACCGGCCATTATGTTTAGAGCTATTTTGATGTATGACACAAAGCGAGAAACTTTGAATGATTATGCTCGAACGTTCACATCTTACGAGGGTTTCCAATGATAAAGAGTCTTTTCCACTTATGGGGCCCCAAACTGAGAGGCAAACGAGGTACGTAAACTTTTGAGGTTATGTTATCTTATCAATAACCTGACCGGAAACGCTATCATCTGCCGGAAACGGGGCGGTTATTGGTTAAAATCATGGCGCGAAAAATGCGCGGGAAAATTATGGCGGTAATTTAAAATATCCCCGCCAAATTCAATTTGACGGGCTTTTAGCGCAAACTATTTTAACTTTTAAAGCAATTTCTTTTGATTTTTAAAGCAAGTTTTCATCGAAAAAAGTCCTATACTCCACATTTAAAAGAGGATGCTATAGTATATTGAAGAAAATAACTGATGAGTTCGCGCAAGCCCTATTATTGAGCCTTTAATCGATCGCGTAAAGTGGGAACCTTTTCATTCCTTTCGATAGCGAAATTTTCAAACCATCTTTATCGTAATTTTTCGCAAGTTTGGGGAATACAATCTCTGTCCGTTTTTTATTCCTATTTATTTTATACTTTTTTCAAACCAAAAAATTCATAACAGCGAGGATTTTATAACGTCGTTATTAAAAGTCAGGATCAATGTTTTGCGGGCTCTTACTGTTTTTTTTTTTTTTTTTTTTTTTTTTTTTTTTCATTATCGGCCAAAGGGCGGAATCCTCAATAGAGTATGACGCGTTGCAGACATTGCTTTTTTGCCTTCAATTTTCGAGATAGGCCAGAAAACATCCTCTGTGGTTAAATAGTTATCTATTCAAGGATTTGTGTCTGATGTGCCAGCAAATATTGTTTCGCAGTGAATTATTTCAAAAGCCCGTTCGACAATTTTGATGCTGGCTTCGTTTTTCCATTCGAGTACCTACCTACGATTCATAGTAGATAATACTAGAATAATAATTCACCCTAAAATTACTTTTTTCGTAGCATGTTTTTTCTATCTTTCTTTTTTTCTTTCTTTTTTCTATCTTTCTTTTCTTTTCTTTTGCTATTCATACGTTTATGCAGAGACCGTAATTGAAGAGAAAGTCAGGGAGGGGAGGAATTTTACAAGCCCTTATTCCTCCAACCAGTTTTCCTACCATCTTCCTCTGAAATATTGGATTGATTTGTTTCATCCAATCTCATTTGTTTTTGAAAAAGATCGAGCCAATCTTCAAGCAACTCTGCGAAGTTAACGCATTTAAGTTTCAGGTTCGCTTATTCGGCGTAAAGTATACATAAGGTGTCCCAAAAGCACCGGGACTTGTTCTGTAACTTCGAAAGTAAGATAGATACAGACATGATTTTGATTTCATTTTAAAGATCAACTCAATACCTATCGATTAAAACCAAGATCAGCTCAATCAAATAAAAATTGACCAAGTTATGGCAATTTGAAATCAGCGAGGAAAGTTTACGCCTACGGTTTTTAAGGAAGATTCTTCATCGCCGTAAATCGAAAAGTCGGCCTATAAAGTGATGCTTATTGTGTTTTTTTCATTTTCGAGGTGTCATTTATCAACATTTTGTACCACCAAACATAACAGTTGACAGTGCGTATTATTGCAAAGTGCTAAAGGAGTCGAGAATGCACATTTCCCGGAAACGGTCGGACTTGAAAGCTTCGTGGATACTCCATCAAGACAAGCGCGGCCTCACACATCGAGCTTAAAACGTGAATTTATGAGTAAAAATGGAGTTGAAACAATCCCTCATCCCCCTTACAGCCCTGACTTGGCTCCATGTGATTTTTGGATGTTTCCTACGCTTAAAAAGGAGCTTCGCGGACGAAGATTCGAATCGAAGACCGAAATCCAGAATGCAATTCAAAACTTTTTCAACGCCATCCCAGAGGAAGAATTCAGGAAAACAATGTTGGATAAGGGGCAAGAGCGCATGAAAAAGTGCATCCGGTTTTATGGACGGTACTTTGAAAAGCAAAAGGAAGTTATGGAAGATTCGAAGGAAAGTGGATACGAATGTTAACTTTTTGAATCCTGGTAAGCGAACAATCATCCTAAAAACCGTAGGGGTAAACTTTCCTCACTAATTTCAAATTGTCATAACTCGGTCAATTTTTATCCGATTGAGCTGATCTTGGTTTTAATCGATAGGTATTGAGTTGATCTTTAAAATGAGACCAAAATCATGTCTGTATCTATCTTACTTTTGAAGTTACAGAACCAGTCCCGGTACTTTTGGGACACCCTACGTATGATATTTTTACTCTACACATATGCCTGAATACGCATCATAGGGGACCTATGTGCTTCCTAAGTTGCCAAGTATTAATTATTGTTTGATGATTGGTCTAAAACATTCAATACAACCAGTAAAAATTAACTGTCCCCTGCGAGCAAGGCGGATAAAGAATGGTGGTCGCATTTCGTACCCTCTGGACGTCACACGGTATCGGGTACATTCGGGTACATGGGCTGGCCGAGGCCGGGGGGGCCGACTCAACCTCGGATTGCACGGCAAAACCCGTACCCTCCTGACGTCACAACGCTTCCAGATGGCAGCCAAAATCGAAATGCGACCACCATTCTTTATCCGCCTTGCCATGCGAGATTCGAACCCCCGGTCGCACAAAATGTGACATATTCCTACAGTCAGAATGGTGTCTCTGCTGACTGAGCCATATCGCCGTTCGTGAGCGATGGGAGAAAAGAAAACAATTAAGTGATCTCGGACGCTGAGGGGGGCTTCACAAAAGACGACCTTGAGATTTCGGCAGTTCGGCCACTGGCGTCATAAGAGACGACGGATTAAGCGCATTACTCTGTGAGACATTGTTTACCTATGCTGTCATATGTCACAAGGTTCATCTCGGCATGCATTTGCGATCGCGGCAGTAAGCTGAGGCAATATTTCTGTATTCATGGATTAAATCCATCAATCGAGTTCTGATTTTGGCTCATATATCCGTAACGGGTCCTCCAGAGCAATTTTCCACCTTGTAAGATGGTTATTATTTCTTTATATCTATGTTTAAAATTTGAGGTGGGATAATGGCGGCTTCTCAAGAGCAACGAGGTAGGCGATCTTTTGCACCAACGAACAGAAAACTGATGGCGAAAAATAACCAATCGGAACCTCCCAAAAAAAAAAATTGCCTAAAATCGGAACTTCGTGGTTCTGCGCAGATTTACCAGTCAGACACGACATCTCAAGGTGGAAAAAACTCGCTGAAAGCGAATTTTAGAAATCAACACAACTTGACGTAGAGACATGATTGGCTAAAAAATACAACGGTTTTTGGTACATCGGAAAATCAACCAAAAATCGAAGACTGGGCGAAACGCTCAAGGTCGCAGAGGCATAGGGAATCCCATAGCGATAGCAACGGAACGATTGTAATATCATGGGGCACTCCGTTCTCATGACAATAAATAAAGAAGTAAAGAAGGAGAAGAAGAGGAAAATATTTGCGTTGTTTTAAATAGATCGGCATTCTGCATTTGAAGTTTTATTTTTTACTTTTAAAGGAAGGGGGCCTCATAAAGAGGACTTAAATACTTAAGTAGATTGAAGCCGGGAGTTTTTTGCATTGCATCAGTTCAGTTTCATCGGACAATGTATTTCTTCACACTAAACAATCGCATTTTTTTTATTTTCTTCCTTACTTTTCCCGTCCTGATGAATGAAAGATCCCTCGCAGATAGAATTAAAAAGTGTCGAATAAAAGGCATGCTTATGCCAAGGGCCGAGAAAGAAATTAAAAAATGTGGAGAGAATCATACTTTTCAGCATATCACCCACCAATTGACAGATGAAGATAATCGAAGAACTCTGCTGCTACGTAGTGTATACATTGTTCAATATCGATTTTCCGGGTCCCTTTGATTTATGGACGCGGTGATGGAGTGGATCGAAAAAAAATCAAGTTTTTTCTGTATTTTCGAATGGAATTTGCGAGTGCAAAATTGTTGATATTTAAAACTTTGATTCATTGGTGTCCAGGGAAATTTTGGGTCGAAGGGCCTGTTGGGACCGATCCCCCCCCCTTCCTCAGTCCTCTACGGATACTCATAAGAGCTCAACATCAGTAATTGAAGTATTTGAACCTTGTTACCTTGTTTCCCTGCAAAATAGGGTGGATCCAGCACTTCTTTACCACCTTCCTATCAACTTTAGAGAGTGTAACGTAGAGTCCCATTATACCCAGAGTTAAGACAACTCGATTATCAGCTGACTGGCAGCCGGCCTTGGCTGGCCATGGAGGCCGAAACGGTTGCACCCAAACGAACGATATTGAGGGATAAGGATCAGGAATCCTGCGATGTCTGTCACACAAAAACAACAACATCAACAAATTGATCAATTAAAAAGAAAATGAGATTGGTTTGTGAATAATTTCTTAATCTATTTTCATTTTGGACCGAAGGTAATAACAATTTACTCTTGATAAACCACAATTAGGTGATATTTTCATTATTTTTGTTCACATTCGAGGTACCGCCATCTTGGTGCACTCGTTTCGGCCTCCATGAGCGAGAACCAATCAGAATTGGATTCTTTTTTAGGCCACTTTCAACCCAACCCTGGCCCAACCAAAAGTGAGTTGTCTTAACTCTGGGTATAAAGGGACTCTAGTGTAACGAAAACGAAGTGCAGCTATAGGATGAAATATTAGAACGTCACGCGTGTGATTATGTAAACTGAGTAAAATATAAGAGTAATCGAAGATTGAACTTTTTTATGAATAAATTGTGACTGTCCACGGAAAAAGATGCCTTAATCCAAAAAATCTCAAACCTTAATTTTCAAATATCATTTTTTAAAGTAAGGAATTAGAACTATTAATGTTTCTTTTTATAGTGCTCACATTCTTCCTTTTCCGCCCGATGTGAATTAATTAGAACTATTGAATAGAACTATTAATATTCTGATTGAAATAGAAAAGTCTAATAGATGCCCCAGAATATAGTTTTGAATATTATAGTCGAATTGAATAGGACTTTTGATATTTAAAAAAATGTAACAATCTCAGTCATCAAAAATAAAAATTATTATGTTACAAAAATTTTCGAAGAGTTTCATTCTTTATTTGTATTTTTTTAAAGTCAGCGATTCTTCAAGAAAAAATGAAGAGAGAAAATCTTAAAAAAAGGTGAATTGTATTAAATTCTTTTTAAAAATATTAAAAATTACTATAAGATGGGAAAGAAAAAAATAAAAACGTAAAAAAAAGTGACGACAGTAACACGCGTATTTCTTTTTTGCTCCAAATTCATCTTTTCGGGTTCAAAAAATCTTAACCCATCAGGTCTCACGCGCGCATTCCATATTCACTATCACAATAATGGTAAGAGCCTAAGTCAATGACTTATATAGTGTAAATTCGGCCGACTGAGACATAAGCCCCGATGGCTGAGTAGGTAGGTAGGGTGTTAGGTTCGTAAACTGTAGGTCCCAGGTTCAAATCCCGATAGGTAGGCCAAAATTTGCAAGTCGGTACTTGCCATGTCGAGTCTTCGATACTTGCAGATATACAATTGAATAATTTTTTTCATTAAAAATTCGATAAATTGATCCATTTTTTGCAATTATTGATTAATAATAATACATATGGTATGGGTGCAGTGTGCATACTTACCTGCAGTGACTATTAACTAAATTTAAAACAACAATTGGCTAGAAAAAAGTAAACGCGTCTGGGAGTTATGCAACATCCATTCTGGCCGGGCGGCGTCCCCGTTTACTAATTCTAAGTTGGTTTCAATAAAATAAACGCGCATTCCCGTCCAACACGCCATTTACTAATTTTAAACCAACCATTAATTTGAAGCCAGTAAATACACGTGGGAGTTACGCATCCGTTTCCTATTTCTAAGTAAACAGTTTACCTAGATCAATACGACAGATACTCACTTCAAGCCAACGATAATTTCTTAAATTTAGGACATATTTTCACGGCATGGAATGTTTCCTTTTTTCAAGTAAACGCTTTCTTTTTTCAAGAGAACGTGGAGCGTTGGTTTGAGAAAACGCTATTTCTTGATCCAATGCCGCAATCAGACGCTGAATTTAGCAGCTGAATGTGGAAGTCAACAGTCATCGCCCAACGGCTGAAATTTAGAAAATTCGAGTTATTTTCATCCAGATGTGTATTAAATCTACTCGAATAGTTCAGACAAATTCAAAATTGGTCCGATGGTTGCTGAGAATCGTTGCTGAATTTTGCGCGTCGACGCGCAAAATTCAGGCATCGGGCCGACGACTTCCACATTAAAGCCACATTCAGCTTGTGATTGCGGTGCAAGGTAACTCCGATGTCTTAGTTCAAACTTCCGTTTCTTGCCGATACTTTTTAAGTATCCGGTTTACTTGGTCTAAGACGGCTCCGCCTTGTATTTAGGAAACATTTTTTTCAGTGTTGTCTCCACGAGCCGTTTCACGAGATTTGTCCCGGGGAAAAATCCCACTTACGAAGTTGGGAAAAGTATTGAGTTAATCAATATTTTTCCCAGTACCAAGTATGGTACTTGTACCCCTCTAGGACCCACTGAGAGAAGAAGAAGAATTGAAAACAAATTGTGCGATATTTTATTCATTACTACATTGTTCATGTTTGTTTAGTTAAAATAATGTGTCTAATTGTCAATTGTGTGCAATTATTACTTTAATCCCAGTTTAATACCCGACTTTAACTAATTTATCTTCCCGCGCAAACTAGTCGCAGGACTGTATGAGCCCCGTCCCGTGGAGACGGTAACTGGGAAAAATCTCAGAAGTTTCATTCCTGCGATTCGAACTTGGGAAAAATCCCATGAAAACGTCCCGTGGAGACAAGGCCTTACAGATACACTGTAATGAAATTTGATGAAAAACATTTACTGTCTATGTCATAAGCTGCTCATTATGATAAGATTTAATTGATAAGCGTGGATCAAATGTTTGATTTCTCCAACATCCTATCCTTGAGCCTGATGTAAGTACTGCATTGAAAGCGGAGCATTATGGCTGTAAAGTGTCGATATGTGTTTTTGAGGAGCCGTGTAAATGAAACGGTTGGATAAGCCCTTAAGCAATACAAATTCTTTTGTGTGTGGAAAATAGCTGAATGTCCAGAATTCTAAACATCTGAACATATCTCGAGAACCCGAAGAAAATATTGGTTAGGTCAGAGTCCGTGAATCCTACGTACCTAACAACTTTACTAATTTAAGTTAGGTAAGTAAGAAACCGCTCCGATCCATCAGATTATGCCTATAAGTATTTAGTCCATAACTTAATATTGTGAAAAATGCTTTGAGGGTGAAGTGCTCATCATCTGGTGGAGTTTTTGAGATATCTTTATGAACTTTTCTTCCAGATTCTTCTCCCACTTTTACCAAAATTGTCTCTTCCGCCACCATCATTAAGTACTTCAACCTTGCATTAAATAAGGAATGATGTATACGTTATCAGCTTTGTCTTAGAATTCCTACAATTTGGAGTCGTGAAACAAATAAAGTAGCTTCGACGTTAACATTTGCTAGCTTAGTTGGCAGTAAAACTATCTCATTAATTCGGTGAAAATAAAAGTAAATGTTTTTTCTTCGCTCATTTCGATGATAAAACACGACGAATACATATAAATTGTGATAATGGATGCAACTAATACTAGGTACTGTAATATTGGAAAAATAAACTGCGGAATCTTCCAAGGTAACGCTCTGAGCCCCTTACGGTTCTGTCTTGCTCTAAAGCCTCTATCAACGATGCTAAACGCCACAGGCTACGGATTCAGAATCAAAGGAAGATATGTAACATTCAGGCAAATCTGACGCATCTGATGCATGTTGACGATATGAAGGTATACGCTGCAACTGCTAAACAGCTAAAACGTCTACTCGACATAGTCCAAGAGTACTCAATAGATATACATATACGTAGACCGTGCATCCTGTGTTACGGAAGGCGAGACAACTTTGAAAATTCTCATGCGAAGAGTGGTGGCACCAACCCACATCGATGAGTTCGTGTGTCCCAGTTGCGCACAGCTGCGCATGCGCAGTAGCGGCTCCAATGAATTTTCGTCGGATTGTAAGGCTTTTTTCCTTGGTTAATAATTAGTTCGGAAAAATGAAACAATGCAATTCGGGTGTAAAATTACGTGTTCTAAAACTTTTTTCCATAGGAATTTTGTCTGAAAATGGACTCTAAACGAGATATTTGTGAAAAACCGAGCGCGGGCATGAATTCTCCATTGCCTCTCTGCAGTCTCTTCGAGTGCTTGGGACACACGCTCTCTCCCCTTCCCCGCCCGCCCATCATGAGGCTCCGAGGGACTTGCTTCGCTCCGCCTGTACTAAACCGAGCCGGACGCACGGTCTACGTGGTTCAATGTCTTTGCCCTGTATCCGCATGAGCTTCGGAATGGATAAATGCAAACCTTGACAATTGGAAAAGGCCAGCTTCGAGTAGAAGCATACCAAGCTATGAACGGTATCATGAGAGGCTATGCAGGAGGGAGATGTTTACATCTCAGATTCCAACTAGCAAAACTCATCGAACACCAACAGATCAAAGAGAACCTCAAGGACCAATACTTCAAGCGAATCAGCTCTGTACTTAATTCGAACGAAACTGAACAGGAAAAACCATTTCAAAGCAATTAACGCCTATGCTATACCCCTACTCATGTACTCATTCGGTGTTATCCAGTAAACCCCAACTGACATCGACAGATCGAACGCAAAACGAGAACTCTCCTAACCAAACATAACGTGCACCAGCATCCACCATCCCAAGGCATCATCGATACGGCTCACACTACCCAGAGCAGAGGGTGGGAGAGGCCTTATAGATCTCAGCGTACCACTAGTAAAACAAAGTTGAAAACCTCCAGGATTTTTTCTACAGAAGACGGCAAGATTCGCCACTGCACGAAGCAGTTGTGTCTATGGATCAAGAACTCACCACTCTCAACCCACAGAACAACGAAAATAGACCACCAAATAAGGCTTATAGCACGCAAGAAAAGCAACGTGAATGTATCCAGAAGGAGCTCTACGGCAGATATCCCAACGATCTTCAGCAAAGTCATGTCGATAAAGATGCATCGAACTTATGCCTAAGAAAAGGGGACCTTATTAGTGTGAGTAAAAAAAAATGAAATTCTGAATGTTCCGCTCCTGTTGGGATCTTGGATTGACTATTTCCTCCAACGAGAGAGAAAAACTCCAACACAATGAAATAACTGCTAAAACATTTATTGTACAAAACTCGGAAACGAAGAACAACAAACGAAGAAGAACAAATTGTGGCGTGGACTCCTGGTCGCGGGCCTTCCAAGAGTGCCCCTAATGATCTAACGATCTCTTTTAAATTACTGGTTTCGGGTGGCAAAGCCGGACTCCGCGCAGGGTGATTAGATAGAGGGTGGAATGTGCAAGGTCCGGTAATGTGACGTATGAAGAGAAAGAATGCAGTTAGGTATAGAGATAGGGCAGGAACACAACACTCCCCAGGCGGCAATCGATATGACGTTTGGTAAAAAAAAACATGTTTGCCAAAATTTGGGCCAATTTCAACCATTTTAAATGGTGCAAAAGGTCAATTTTGTGATGAAATTATGATATTTTGGTTCAGACCTGATCGATTTCGTACAAAAAACTCGATTTTACGCTGAAATCGTGCGATTACGAGGAAAATGCCAAACAGCTCAAGTTGTAGAGGATGTAATTTTACTCTAGGAAGACGCCTGTACGTGTAAACGATGAAAATTAAATTGAACTAGAAAAACTCAACTCGGTATTTATTTTTTTGGTCCTCAGAATTTCCGAGGTCTTACAAAGTAGCGGTTTAAAAGACTCGTTTCTCACGAAAATAAGTCGAAAAAGGGTATAAATGAACTATAGGCAAGTGTTGAGGATGCAAATGTCATCAGTACTTCCTCAGGTTTCAAAAAAGTTCCAACTATTTGGCACAAACCTCCAAAAAGTGTACGGCTCGATAAGTAGGATCGTGCTATAATAGTAAGGGAGAAGTGCGGTTTGACCGAAAAAAATTGCGTAGCAAACTTTCTCTATGTATATCGTCATCTGTAGGTCCCCCTGAACAACTTCCTAAATGTTAAAAATGGCCCGACCCTGGAACACCCCTCAAAGTAGTTAAAATTGGAAATGGCGGCCGTAATGAGGGGGTCCGGGAAATCGGTATTTTAAAATGCTCATTCTGTCTCATGTGAGGTATCATTTCCTATGTAATATTGGTCGTAGATTTCATAAATGAACTCCACAAGGCCCCCCGGTCAAAGGGGGCGCTCCAAATCAAAGATGGTGGCCAAATGTGAAAGGCAGGAGGTTGCATTTTTTAAATATTCACCGAAGGCACAAGGAAAGTGAAGTGTCTCTATTTTCATGTATTTATGGCCAAGAAACCTAAATTTAATGTTATAAATGTATATAATAATGGAAATTAAAAGAAACATACGACTAAGGAGAGAAACGAAAGCTCAAAAAATGCAACCTCCTGCCTTTCACATTTGGCCGCCATCTTTGATTTGGAGCGCCCCCTTTGACCGGAGGGCCTTGTGGAGTTCAGTTATGAAATCTACGACCAATATAGCGTCCAGCCCACGTACAAACTGGGGGTCTCAAACTGGCACTAATTCTTCTATTTCTCAGCCATTTCTGCACGGAATGCCTTGAAAATTTCAAGATCTGATCTGTAATGTATCCCGAACACATCGGTTACCCTCAAAGATCGTCGGCCCGACGATCTTTGAAAGCCAACAGTCAACAGTTCCATCGATGAGCCTCTTTGAGGCCCCTAGTTTGTAGGTGGGCTGGACGCTTTCTACATAGGAAATGATACCTCACATGAGACGGAATGAGCATTTTAAAATACCGATTTCCCGGACCCCCTTATTACGGCCGCCATTTCCAATTTTAACTACTTTGAGGGGTGTTCCAGGGTCGGGCCATTTTTAACATTTAGGAAGTTGTTCAGGGGGACAGGCGTCTTCCTAGAGTAAAATTACATCCTCTACAACTTGAGCTGTTTGGCATTTTCCTCGTAATCGCACGATTTCAGCGTAAAATCGAGTTTTTTGTACGAAATCGATCAGGTCTGAACCAAAATATCATAATTTCATCACAAAATTGACCTTTTGCACCATTTAAAATGGTTGAAATTGGCCCAAATTTTGGCAAACATGTTTTTTTTTTTTACCAAACGTCATATCGATTGCCCCCTAGATAGCGGAACATTTCAGAATTTCATTTTTTTTATGCACCCTAGGGGACCTGTTCGGAGAAACCGAAGGATTCATTACCGCGATACAAGATCAAGTTATCTGCGCGAGAAATTAGGTATGCCAAATATGTAACCAAAGACCCGAATGTAACCGATGACACCTGCAGAAAATGCCGTAAGTCACCTGAAACAATACAACATGTTACCGGAGCCTGTTCAGCCATGGCACAATCGAACTACCTCCAAAGGCACAACCAAGTCTGCAACATTCTACACCATAACCTAGCCATGAAATACGAGCTTATCAATAAGGAAACGCCGTATTATAAATATCCTCTAGACATTGTGCTAGAAAACGATAAGTGTAAGCTCTATTACGATCGGAGAGTAATCACGGATAAGACCACCCCACATAACAGGCCCTACATAATTCTGGTGAAAAAAAGCAAAAGAACAGCCTACCTGATGGATATAGCAATCCCCAATAATCACAACATGCAGAAAACGCAACAAGAAACCGGCCAACCTATGCGTGCAAGCGTCGCGTAGCGGCGCTACGCGCCGGCGTATGGGGGGGGGGATTCACCCCTCCATCGTGGTGCAAGGATCGCACAAGACTTTCTCACTCAAGCCGGTATAGATAATTCTACTGGAATATTAATACTGTGAATCCACAAAATCATAAAGTTTGATTGGAATTTTGATCGAACGATGACGGTTATGAATTTCGGATGAACTGAAAGTTCAATAACTTAATCGATGTAGAGAATTTTGATGCAAATTAGTAAAGAAAACGGGGATTAATACAAGAGAGAGGGAAAAAGAAAATATTGACGGCGCGCAGGCGTACAGAACGTTGGCTCTTATACATCTAGATAGAGGGTTTCCAGCGAGACAGCAGCGCGGCGCGGTCTGACAAGTCACTCGCCTATCCTCAGAAAGGAACCGCGGAAGACGGAATCTGCTGGGATGCTTACTTAAGTTCACGAACACCGAAGTAGCTTTCAATAAAGATCTAATTGTAAGTATTAGTTCTAGTGTCAGCTTGCATAATTCATACTATGTAAGTACCCAATTAGTCATGTAATTTTGTTTCATGTACTTGTACGGAGTGATTTTGGAGGTAACGCATTTGAAGTCCTAGGTTTTACCTGACTTAAAGCACTATCTGAGTTTGTATAGTTTATTCTTCGGTCTTTTTCAGCGGTGAACCCTCAATTGTAAATTTCTGGTTTTTGCCCTACAGCCCTCCCCCTCAAAAAAATATTAAGGTTCCTCCGAGATACTTGAAGGGCATTAGAACACTTAAATCATGGCCAGCGCTATCAATTTGAGCGATTACTCGCCGATAAATGCTCACACGCCCAAAAGTTGAAGTTGCATGCGCGTAGGCGGTGTCGGCTCTTCTCCAATTTAGAGTCTAGTCCAAAGATATTTTAGGAGCTGAAAGAAATGAAACCTTAGTGATGCTTGATGCCAACTTTCAAAGAATTTAAGGCATTTCTTCAAAATCTATAGTCCGTCTAAGTGAGCCAGCCCTCTGTGTGATCTCTTAGAATACAGTGCCCTCCGTCAGTGATCCCACTTGAGTTTAGTCCAGAAATCTTTTAGGAGCTTAAATTAATGACGCAGATGGTGTTTTGTGCCAGTTTTCAAAGAATTAAAGGCATTTTTTCAAAATCTACAATCACTCAAAGTGAGCTCTTCAAGTGATCTCGCGAACAAAGTGCCCTCGGTAGGGGACCCGTATCCCTTCAATTTTTTAAGTTTAGTCCAAAGATCTTTTAGTAACTTAAATTAATGACTCAGGTAGTGTTTTGTGTCAACTTTCAAAGAATTAAAGGCATTTTTTCAAAATCTACAGTCCGTCAAAGTGAGCTTTCCGTGTGATTTTGCTAAAAATTAGGTTTGGCCCCTAGCCCCCCCCCCCAAATTTTAGCGTACCCCAAAGTCATTTGACGTGCATAAGAAGACCATAGATATGGTGTTCTGTGCAAATTTTGAATGAAATCGAACGGATAGATTCTGAGATATCGCTGTAGACAGATTTGAGGGACGCCGGACGGACGGACACACATTTTTTCAAGTATGGTTATTTTGACTCCAGGGACGTTAAAACGTCTAGAAATGATGAAATTTCAACTTTCTTTTCTGTTTCTTGGAGGATGACAATACTTCCTCTCTACCCTACGGGAGCGAAAAAGTAAAAATTCTAGCGTGGTTTTGATAGTGATTAATCCCACTTTAACAGTTGATACCTTTCTTGGAGGATGACAATACTTCCTCTACCCCAGGGGAGCGAGAAAGTAATAAAAATTAATAAATTACTCTGTGTGTGTAAGCCTCTGAAAACCTCTGAAAATTATAATTTGTTGAGAAAAACGATTTGACACAACAGGCTGAATGCGTGTCTGTGAAAATGAAACGTTAAGATCCATGCATGCAGAATGGCTTTTAGGATATTAGGACAATAAGAGTTGCAACCTTTCTCCTTCAATACAAATCCGACTCTATGCAGCATTTCTGCGTGAAACCAATTATGTTGAGTGCAGAATGTTGAAAATCTAATGAAGTATTAATGCATGTTTTTAATTCTACTTTTGATTTATATTTTTTTCAGTTCTTCTGTCAACACAACATCATCTAAAAGCGATGAAAACGTGTTTTCTGGGGTTCTTCTCAAAGACATAAGCATTGCAGCTATGGTTGAACTTCGTAGGTTATGTAAATACTAACCAATAGCATTGGCAGGAAACTTTCTTCTTCCACCTTCGGTGTAGCCGTCTTCGCATAGTGGATAGTTCGTCCTTGCATAAACTGCACCTTGAATTGAAAAAAGAAGATGGTTACATAAGAACACCTATTCTGTGAATGTCTTTCAATCCAATCTAGATTAAAAACACATAAATTCATCGCATTCTCTTTCCTGGGAATTTACCTGTTGCTTTTAAAAACAATTGAACAGACTATATAGGTACTTGTAGTCTTTTCTCATTTGCAGTTGCTGACAAATTCTTAGGCACAGTGAACAGTAGGGTGTCCCTTAAAAAAAAAAAAAAAATCATGAAAATCCGAGTCGGGGTGGTTACAAGTCCGTTCGAATTAACATGGAATGACCCATCAGGTATTTGGATAGGCACTGCATTGTATCGAAACGTATGACTTTTCCGAATTAGTATTTTTTTATGCGATCAAACTTCTTTTCAAAAACTCCTTGAAACTTTGAAATGTCCTTGCATAATTTTTGAGAAGTCCTTCTAAAGTTTTCAAAAGTCCTTGATTTTAAGTTCCATCAGTCTTGGAAAACTCCTTGGAAGTCCTAGATTTTGATTTTACATTTTTGCCACTAATCCTGTTCACTAGGGTGTCCCTTGAAAAAATCGACTTTCGAATTTTCAGCCGGCCCAACCGGAATTAAGTTCTAGTATATAAAAAACCCCTAAATCCCAAATTTCAGCGAAATCGAACAACTTTTAGGGGTCGCAAAGAAATTGCAAAGTTCTGCAGCATTTTCAAAATGGCAGCGCCACTTTCCCATTAAATTCACGATTTTCAAGGTATTCGGGGCGAAAACTGTGGGGGACCGGGAATTGTTTTGATCCAACCGACTTAAAACTTGGTATACACTTGGTCCAAAGGCTCGTCAAAGGGGGTGAAGAATAGAAAGAGGGGGTTTTAGGGGTCGCTACCCCCCCTCTCTATGTCTTTTTGTCTCATATTTAGGGATTAGACATTTTCCTCTGGTAAAAAAAAGTGCTGATGCGATAGGAGCATGAGACTCGGCCTAAACATTCTTCTCAGGTATTTTTTTGACATGATTTCTTCAATTGACCCACCGTCACTCAGGGCCCCCGCAGCCACAGCCCCCTTCTCTCTGCAGCGTAAAACCACTGATTTCTTTTAGTTTTCAAGGTGTACAATTTTTTTGGTCGGCTCAATTACCAATCTTTTTCATCTCATTGTTTGAACGAGTTAAATCACACGCGCCGATCAAACTTCAGGTCAATCCGACCATTATTCTACCCCCGCCCCCTTTTTTCTGCGGAAAAAATTAGAAAATTTATCAGAATAACCGCCGCCATTTTGAAAAAAAATATGACTCATGTCTTTCTATTCTTCACCCCCTTTGACGAGCCTTTGGACCAAGTGTATACCAAGTTTTAAGTCGGTTGGATCAAAACAATTCCCGGTCCCCCACAGTTTTCGCCCCGAATACCTTGAAAATCGTGAATTTAATGGGAAAGTGGCGCTGCCATTTTGAAAATGCTGCAGAACTTTGCAATTTCTCCTTGGTATCTATTTTAAAATATCAATTCCATTACATCGCCGAATTTTCAGGTCAAAAGAAGCACATTTACCTCCCTGCCCCTTATTTTTCGTTCGCTGTGGAAAAATAAGGGAAATAAGGGAGGGGGGGTTTGCGACCCCTTAAAGCTGTTCGATTTCGCTGAAATTTGGGATTTAGGGGTTTTTTATATACTAGAACTTAATTCCGGTTGGGCCGGCTGAAAATTCGAAAGTCGATTTTTTCAAGGGACACCCTAGTGAACAGGATTAGTGGCAAAAATGTAAAATCAAAATATAGGACTTCCAAGGAGTTTTCCAAGACTGATGGAACTTAAAATCAAGGACTTTTGAAAACTTTAGAAGGACTTCTCAAAAATTATGCAAGGACATTTCAAAGTTTCAAGGAAATTTTGAAAAGAAGTTTGATCGCATAAAAAAATACTAATTCGGAAAAGTCACGTTTCGATACAATGCAGTGCCTATCCGAATACCTGATGGGTCATTCCATGTTAATTCGAACGGACTTGTAACCACCCCGACTCGGATTTCCATGATTTTTTTTTACTTAATCCATCGATCATTATAAGAAAAAACCAAAACTTTCAGCTTCATATCTTCAATACTTCTTGAGAAAAAAATTCTTGAAGTTTTATGGCCTCTTCTAAAAATGCACTCTCCAAACTCGGAAAACGGGGATGTCTCGTGTTTGAAAAAGCCTCATAAGTTTTGGAGTTTTAAAGATTTTAAGTTTAAGTTTAGACACACTAGTTCGTGTTGGTATGTTTTTTAAGGGAAAAATCCCCAATCGAACCCAACTCACTCGAAGGGCCAACCGAGCTGAAGATACGACGTTTCAGCCCTGATTTTTAACGCTAAAAACTAGTTTTCTTAAAGTGGGCGTAGCAGCCGAAGCTAACGAGATGTTGCCAACTTTTTTTTGTAAATCAATTTCAGAGTATGCTCTAACGGATTAAAAAATAAAAATCGTGGACATTCAGCTTCTTCCTTGGTTAATCACACTTTTTAGCAAAAAACGCTCTTATTTTTCGAATTTTCGAAAATCAAATGTCTGACCCCCCNCCCCACCCCCATGTAACGAGGCAAATCCCGTTTCTTCAGAGGCACATACGTCCTTCGGTATAAGATAAGCCAACGTTACTGTAGTTGCCGGAATGAGCTCGCCGGGATCCTGGATTCGGGCGCCAATTTAAAAATGATGAGTTTGGAAAAGGGGAAGAATGATCCAAAATCTTATGTCTCAAATTTACAAAAAGAATGTCCTTTTATTAGCTAAATTTGTGAGGATCCTACTCGAAGTACACTCAAAATTTTGATAATAATAATTTAGCCGAAGTGCCACTCACTAACGTGCACCTCAAGGCTTGAAATTGCAGTGTACATGTAAGAGGAGAGGAGGAGTGAAGCTGGGCGAGATGCTACTCACTAACGTGCACCTCAGCACAGAGGAAGAGAAAAGAGGAAAGTGAACTGGACAGAGGGCTCGACGAGATGCTACTCACAAACGTGCACCTCGAGTCGAGAAAGAGTTAAAAAAGATGAGAGAAGGTGACCCTCCGGAAGGAGAGGGTGATGAGCAATGTTTGGCTTAGAGGGCCATCAGATTGATTTGAAGCTATTGGAAGACGATCTCGACATTCATTGCAATATTTTCGTTACAAGAGAAATTAATTAAAATATAAAATTTACAGAAATGGATGTAGGAAAATTTCCTACAGACGTTTATAGTAGTTTAGAATTTTTTACAATTTTTCGTTATGGGTAAATCTACGGAAAACCCTGATTTCGTAGTTATCTTCGAGAGAGAAAAAAAGAGAAACTGTATTCCATTTCTTTTCATTATTCAAACAGCTGATGTACCGTCACCGGGCGTCGTGGCGCGGTGTCGCCAAGCCGTGACACATTTGTCGCTATTTTGGTCTACAAAAGAAGGGGAAAAACTTAAAACGGAGAATGAAATTCTTCGTTACACCCCCCACCCCCATAAAGTTGTCTTTTGGTGTGAAATGAACGTACAAAAAATTTCCGCTATCAGAATCGGACATGGGAACTTTCCTGCCCATAATGTTAAAATTAAAACTGCCGCTACCAACCTTTGTCAATGTAAACAAATCGGAACCATCGAACATATCCTCCTCGAATGCCGAAATAACAAAACAAACCTCAAATACCAACTCTCTAAACACATCAAATTCCCAACAACCCTCATACAAATTCTTTAAAACCCTGAACCCATAGTATACAAAAAAATAGCCATCTTTCTCTCTCACAACAAAATCCAGCTATAAACATCATCTATCCTCTTACTCATAACTATACTCATCTCTTCATGTCTCTACCCAACAACTTCCTGGAATCTGGATATATGTTTTCCATGGCTCAGTCCTAGGTTAGCATCACAAGTCGTTCCAGTCGAGCCTCTTTGAACGTGAAGTAGCCTAAGCCTTCAACTAACTATCATAAAACAGATAAATCTAACTCCAACTCATAAAACTCCTCTAATCTTCTATCCCCTACAAATCTTCTCAAATCTCTAAATCTATACCTAATTAACACTCCTATCCTTCTATACGTAAAACAAACTAAGGAATGGACGTATTTCTATCAAACAGAACTATGTGAAGGTGAGAAATATGGGGTGTGCTCGATAGTTCTCTGGCCGTAAGAGTGAATGAGAATAATAAAGCGCCAATGACGTCAGCGGCAATGATCGAGCCCCCGAGCGGGGGCGCGATTTCGTCGGGGGGGGCATTAACTCATGAGCCCTGTTCACAACGCTCTCGTGCCATGCCCGCGGCTCATGAATTCCGCATTCAGATGGCACATAGGTCTGTTCGATAGAATGTAATATCCCGCTTTCTCAATTCTTCAAAAGGAATCACGCCCACTTTACATTGCTTCTCATGCAGCTTCGACGAGCACACCCCATATTTCTCACCTGCACATAGGTCTGTTTGGTAGAAGTATGTCCAAATTACCCTCTTAATATTTCCAGACCCCATCCAAGGCCGCAGTATCTACCCGATAAAACGCCTTAAACCCGTATATATATATATATATATATATATACTAGGGGGCCCTGCCCCCTGACCGCTACGCGGCCCAACCCCCGGGAGGGCGCCTCGCACCCTCAGGCCCGCTTCGCGGGCCCTATACGCATATGTATAGGCAAAAATGTTCTTCCATTTTAATATACACCATTTTGTGTTCGAGCTGCATCGATTTCAAAATTTTGGACGTAACACTCAGATTTGTAAATGATGAGGAACAGCTGGATTTACATAATTTCACAGTTCACTTACTGGAGAAATTTCCATTTATTATGTTATTTTTAAATACTTAATTTAAAAAAAAAATCGGATTTCGACCGTTAAGAGTTAATAATATTTGGTCCGTCCCGACGCGACGCAGCGCCTGCCTTCTCACTTTGTACCTGCTGTTTATCTGTTGTAAATATTAATAGAAATTCAGCAATCAAGTAAATTGACCAATGCCACACATCGAAGCCGAAAGAATACAGGAAAAATTGAGTTAAACCTTATACCTTGGACCTTGAACCCTGAGCGATGCACCGTTCCTCAACTCTTCGAATGAGGAGCCCTTCACGAGCTT